GTTGCCTTACCCGACGGGGTCTAGGATCACGGGGCGGCCGGCGTCGTTGTAGGCCTTGATGGCTTGCTTGTAGTTGGCGAGGCCTTCGGGCGTCACGGTACCCATGTTGACGACGAGAGCGCCGCCGAGCTTGGCGAGGTCGGTGGCCTCGGCAGCGTAGTTTGACATGATGGGACTGGCGCCCACGGCGAGGGCGACGTTGGCGGCAAAGTTTTGCACAACCTATATGGGGGAGAGTGACACGGGTATGTTAAAAAAAAGATTTCGGCTCCATCGTGTGAATGATTGTAAAAAAAGGGGGGGGAAGAATAGATAAGCCCGGGGGGGGGATAAGTATCATGACCTACAAGATTCGTCATGTTGTGGGATAGCGGCGTCGTCCGGCCCACGGCGCCCACGACGAGCGGAATCGCGGCCACGGCAACATGGCCGGCAAGGAACCGGGCCGCTTCAGCGGGGTCCTCGGCGGCAATGATGGCGCTGACGACGGCAACGCCGTCGAGAGACTTGGCCGGGGCGGCGCTCGATTGCGCAAGAACCTTGGCGGCATTGTCGTTGTTGATGCCGCCGATGCAGACGGTAGGGACGGCGCCGTGGCCGGCTTCGACCATGGCTTTGAGAATGGTGCGGACGCCAGAGGGTCCGATGATGGACTTGGTATCTTTTTTACTAAGGGGTTCGAAGCGGTTAGTTTTTTTTTAGGTCTTTTGTTCTTTTGTATGAGAAAGTCCAACGCAACGCACGTGGCGGTAGAGAAGACGGTGCCGAGACCTAGATAGTCGGCGCCGTCTTCACAGGCTCTAATGGCTTCGTCGGCATTGCTTGCAGTGACACCGATAATCTTGTCGTTTCCGACAAGCTTGCGGGCTTCGTGTACGTCTAAAAAAAGAAATCCTCCCTTGTCAGCAATCACATTCACCACAATTTCCCGTCGTCCGTCCCTTGGAGCTTGGATCATCGCTGCGCAAGACAAAAAAAAAATGAAAAAAAAAAAAATCCACTCACTCATGTCATCCTGGCCAATGTGAATGCCCTCGCAGCCAACCTCGACAGCCACGTCGACGCGATCATTGATGAGCAGAGGCACGCCGTAGCGCCGCGTCAGGACGTGCAGCTTCCGGGCCGTGGCCACGACGGCGGCATGCTCGCCGAGCTTGTCGCGGTACTGCACGCACGTCACGCCGCCCCGCAGCGCCGCCTCGACAACTTGTGCTAGGTCCCGGTCGCCGAGGATCGCGGGCGTCGAGTCGGTGACGAGGTAGACGCCGTAGTTGGGTGGAGGCGCGGGCGCCGTCGTCGGGCGCTTCGTTGTAAGAAGCGAGAGCATTGTTGCGTCTCCTCACCGGGTGGTTTTCGGTCCGAGGGTGAACGGTGGATGAGTTAGTTGGTGAACGGGGGGGGAGAGAGAGATGATAATTGGGCGTCACTGATGATGAAGTCGAGATGAATGTCCAAAATGTCTGATATCGAGAAACTCACTCAAACTTGTTGGAGAGATAGAGATGGCGGGGGCTGCGCGATGACGGAATTATGGAGCTCCCCAAACTGCCGGTCCTGGTTACGATCGGCAGGGCACTTACACCATCGTGACATGGCGATGAGAATATTTTGTAATCGGGTTTATCATGATTTTTTTTATCAAATTTTCAATAGTCGGAATCATTTACCCGTCTGCCCAATTTGCCTGTTTGCTTGTGCATGCTCCGAGCAGGCCCGATTCTGCGCCGTCAAGTTGTCGACTTGATATACCTACCATTCCATCCTGCCTTGTCAATATTGCAACGCTGAAAATCGTTCTTGATCCGGAAAAAAATAAAGTAACCTAAGAAATAGTATAGTCTAGATTGTAAAAAAAAGCCTCGATTCAAACAGCGTAGCTCGCTTAGAACCGAGAAATGTCTCGGCCAAACAGAGCCGTTATGAGCCATTGAAACGGAATCTTAAACTTGTTTCGCCAACTCATGCTCTTGGTCAGGTACGCAGTGCGCCAGAGGATCCACGCCGGCCAGCCCTTGAGGCCATCGGCGCCGTGCTGGTGGATGGCGCGCTTGCTGCCCAGGTACGCCATGGCGCCCCAGTTGCGAAACTTGAATTCGTCGGCCGTGTCCATGTCGCCCTTGTTGATGCGCTTGCCGAGCCACGCCGCCTGCTGGCTGGCAACCTGCGCCGTGGCCGGCAACCGGTGCTCCTCCTGCACGGTGCAGTCTCCGATGGCGAAGACGTCGGGCAGCGGCTTGCGCGGACCGTCGCCGCCCGCCTCGAGCCCTGTGAGTACCCGCATGTGGCCATCCGTCATGATGCCGCCCGTGCGCGCGTCCTTGACGATGCGGCCCAGGCCCGGAATGTCCTGCTCCAGCAGCTTCGCCACCAGCGGGTTCTGCATCAGCCCAGTGCTCCATACCAGCAGACCCGCGCCCACCTCGGCGTCGTGGCCCTTGATGCGCAGCTTGAGAATGTCGCCTTGGCGGCGAATGCTCTGCAGCGAGTGCTCCGTCTTGACCTGGATGCCCTGCCGGTGGAAGAGGTCCATGGCGTAGCTCGCGAGCGCCTGGTCAAACATGGGCAGCACCTTGGGGGCAATGTCGTACACCGTCACCTGCACAAACTTCATCAGCGACGGGTACAGCTTGGCCAGGTCCTCGTGCACCAGGTCGTGCAGCTCGGCCGCGAACTCGATGCCCGTCGGCCCGCCGCCCACAATAGCAAAGTTGAGCAGCTCGCCGCGCTCCGCGTCCGTCGTCGACGGCAAGTCGGCCTTTTCAAACGCTGTCAGCACCTTGAGCCGGATGGCGCGCGCGTCGCCCACGTCGCGCAGAAACGAGGCGTACTGCGCCACGCCCTCGGTGCCAAACGTCTGGCTGTAGCAGCCCACGGCAATGACCAGCTTGTCATAGGTAATGTCAAACTCGGGGCCCTTTTCGGGCCCCCTGAGCGGGCTCGTCTTGCTGCCCGCCGCCGCGCTCATCGTGTTGGCCTCGAGCCGAATCGTCTTGTTGGCAAAGTCAATGTCCGAGGCCCACGCCTGGTGGAACTCGTCAAGACCGAGACGGCGCACTGGCTCAATCGTGGCACGAAACTCGAGCGTGCCGACCGTCGTCGAGGCCAGCAGCGGCGTAAAGACAAAGTGCGACCGCGGCGAGATGAGCACCCGCGACGCCTTGGAGGGTTTGATGGTTTGCGCGAGGCCATAGCCTGCCCAGCCTGATCCTAGAATCACGACTCTTTCCTTTTCGCCTGGTTGCCCTGTGTCACTGATTAATACATTGCGCGATTTTGATTCACGGTATTTTTGTTGGAGCTCACTTGTTCTAGGTGCAGCAGCTGTGGTACTCTGAGCTCTGACGTAGCTCGGCCGAGCCGGTAGAGCTATTCTTGCCCTGCTCAGTACCGTCCTAGCGCTCTTTGCCGGCCTTGTTGTGATTCCACCGAGACCATTCATTTTGACTGCGTAAACTGCGACAAAAATAATTCTGCTCCGATGACTTGGGAAAGCACAATGGACGGACCAGAATATCCTTGTTTCGCCAATGGGTGGGTGCAGGGTACGCACTAATAATGATATCACCAGCTACTAATAAGTAGATGTAGATCCGCTGCGCTACATACTAGCACCTAGGTAGTTTGGTAGTACTCCATACTGTGGGAAGCCAAAGCTTAAAGTAAAGGCTTGTGCATGTGCTTGCGCTTTCGGAAGCTGGAAGGGTGTCAGGGTTCGTCAGCAATTGCTTGACCGGGCGTAATCATGTCGACCCAATTGGCTGACTGCAGACAGCCTTTTTCAATACGGTACATCGACTTTCTTTGCCGCATTGCCCAAGCAATGACACTTTGTGTCTTGGACGATAATTCGCCGGAGTTCCCGGAGCACCGACGTACCTGATGGGCCCCAAGGCCCCTTCCTTATCCGCACGAGTCGAAATCTTGCCCAGTTGCCAGCCAAGGAAGAGTCCAAGAATGCCCAAGTATGTACTAAGCCCAATGTTAGCTTGTGCCTTCTTCACCCAAGCTAACGGCAATGCCCTACCCGATGAATGCGGCTTCGCGGCTGCGATAGCCACTCGTCTTCTGAAGTCTTGACAGCTGACAACGGACATTTCGGGTCCCGAGGGCCACAGCCAATAGATCCCTACATCCTCTGCGCTGTCTATCTACTTAACGGGCCATTCACAAAAATCCGCTCCGGCTCCAGGCTTTGGCCTTGGTTCAAGTTGCTCTTCTCGATTTTCTTGACATCGCCTCGCAAGCGCAACAATGCCATCTATGTATAAAAATAATGAAATGTCCGAATCCATCTTGACGACCCAATATACACCGTTTCTAATGGAAATAATGAAATCAACCAACCGATAATAAAGCCTCATGTCGGCACCCCGTTTTACTGCAGCATGGCGTCCAGGCTCTCGCCGAGCACGCCCTCAATCTTGACGATCCATCTATGCGTTTCTCGCTCCACTACTTCGTCGTCATCTTCCTGCAGCTCGCTGATCCTCGGCAGCATCTCGTGCAGCATCGAAAGCCACTCTTCACCCAGTTTGTCCGTCAATGCCTGCTCGCACTTGACAGCTGCCAGTCGCACAGCCGTCTGCTCGGAGCGCAGGTGCTGCAGGAGACCAGAATTGAGCTCCTTCTGATGTATTTGCGAATCAGCCGCGGCAGCCAATTGAACAGTCGCAGGCACTAAATCGGCTTCCACGTCCATCTGTGGGGCCAGCAGGAACTGTCGCAGCAGCACGGGCGCAATTGCGCCAAAGTGCGCCGGAGCTTGCCAAAAGTCATCCTGGTCGTGCTCGAAGCACTTGCTCAGCGTGCCAAGCACGCGTTTCCACAAGTCTCGGCTTTCAGCATTTGCTTGTGGCTGAATCTTGCCGAGAATCTTGACTGCATCGTCTACTACATACGTAGCGTAATTCGTCACAATCGATTTAAGGTTGTCGAAAAAGGTCTGCAGGAACCCGTACACAGCGAGCTGTTGCAAGGCGTATCCCGTGCTGTCCGACTTCGGAATATTGGAACCAGGCCACTCGACAATCTGCTGGAAAACCGGCCGGAACGTAGCGTCATTCAGTTTATAAATCATCTTCATGGCCTTTTCATGCACTGCAGCTTCCAGCTCCGATACTTGCCGTAGCATCTTCTCCCCACCTTCACCGGCCGCAAAGATACGTCGGCGCAGATCAAAAGCTTTCAGCAAAAGGCCAGAGATGATACCAGCGTGCTTGGCGACAACACTCTTCGAGTGACTCTCAATGGTCAGGCCGAGCATGTTGATAAATTCAGAGAAAGCCTGGCGCGTAATGCTGTTAGTAAAAGCCCCACGCCTCTCAAGCGATCGCGAGATATTACTCACCAAAGGACCCGCCGCAAGCGCAAACTCCCAATCGCGATCCAAGCCCGTCAGCATTTCCTTAGCATCCATCTTCTTGGCAAGAATCTCGAGGCAGAGCACGCGATTGCCATTGGTTTCGGCATCCAGATCAGCTGTAGCCGAGGTGTTTGACACACGCAGAATGTCGTCCATATATGTAGACAACATGTACGGCAAATGCTCTGCGAGCGAGGCTAGGAGGCCGTAACTGGCCGAATGTAGCTCCTCATCTACCGAACTCGCATCGAGGCTCTGCTCCAAATAGGCAATGGCCTTTGGCACAGCTAGCGGCAGCACTGGCACAATGGCTTCCTGCAAGACATCCACCAAGGAAGTCAGACAGAGCAGTGCCATGGTGCGCAATAGCTTCTCACTCTGTCCCAGACAATGCTCCCCAGCAATTGTAGATGCTGCAGCTACCACAGCCTCTATATCTTTCTTGCCATACTTCTCTGCAATCTTATCCACACATGTAACGGCAGTATGCTTGTAGCGTATATCTTGAGACTCGCGGATGACGGCGGTGAGTTGAGGAAGGAACGTAAGAAGTGCAATTCTTGCGTCAGCATCGTTGTTGCTTTCCGACTCAACACGAACCTCGAGGGCCTTGAGTACCTTGTGTCGCAGGGTCAAGTCAGGTCTATCCAGAAGGTTTTCGACGGCCTTGATGAATTCACCAATAGACAGGAGGTTGAGCAATTTGGCGAGCGCGACTCCGCAGCGGGTGCGGAGAGCTTTGTTGGCCTTGACGGTATCCGACAGCAGCAAGATGTTCTCAAGCAATGTAGCATACGTGGAGCGAATCTCAGCAGCCTCCATATCGTCGCGATCTTCGAGTTTGGCAATCTGCGACACAAGTGCCTTGCTTGACAGGAGACTAGGAAAGGCTGCCAGCTGGCGCAGAGCGACCTTGTTGACGTCTTTGATTCCACCATCTTCGCCGGCTCCAAGAAGAGTAGCGGAGATGCCTGGCTTGGCCTTGAAAAGGTCTGCAGTAAGACCAAGAAGCTTCACCAATGTTTCAAGCTGAATCTCGATGCTGAAGCTATCGAGGAGCTCAGCGCTGAACTGCAGCAAGTCATCGCTTGCGTCGTAGCGGTTGACGAGCATGCTGACCAGAGCGAACAGGAAATCCTTTGGACCAAGAGTTTCCACAAGAGCGAGGAACAAGCCTGGTCTCCTGTGAGATGGGACATGCTCATACGCCGTTGTAAAGCTGACCAAGATATCAGATGCACCTGCAAGAGGGTTCTTTTGCCCCTTGCGGAGGCTGGCGATGAGAGGAGGCACAACCTCCTTGATTGTTTGAGAAACAACGTGTGCAGAGTAGTCGTCATTTTGGCGCAGAACCGAGGCGCCCATGAAAGTGAAGATGGGCATGACACTATGCAACACTAAGCTAGGAGCCGTTGTCGCTAGATTAGCAATGAGGAGCAGGGCAGCGTTTTGAACAACAGGGCTAGACGACTTTTGAATGCAGTTAACCAGCAAGTCACCGTAGCCACCAGAGCTGTCGATGCCGAGCTTCTTGTTTGATTTGTAAGCGGGCATCATTGCCAAAAGACTGCGAAGAATGAGGTTTTGCAGGTAGCCAAGCTCTGAGCCAACCACTGTTCTAAAGTGCTGCAGCTCGGAGAGAGCCGTGAACAGACCATCAAGCAGCTCCGGATGATTCACGGGCTCAGAGTTGTCCACCAACTGCAACACGAAAGTGACTTTGCGTAGAGCCTTACTTAGCTCAGGGGTCACTTGCATCATGAGTTCGCGGTTACCATCAGTAGAACTGATGCGCCGTCTTTTGTTTGGTGGCGGCTCGGTAATCATCTTAGTACCAGTCTGGATGGAATCCAAGAAGTGTGAAAGAATATCAGTTGTAAGGGGTACGGTTCTCAGAAGGTCCGAGGCCTCCGTGGCCACAATTGGGAAAGAGTCGTCTTCTCCTGACTGCTGTGATAGTTCCAGGAACTGCGCTGCCACTGTAAACTTTGACTCGGCCTTCATCGATGGCCACATTTTCCGAATGCGAGCAAATATGGCCTGGACAAGATTAGGCTTCTCATTGACCTCGGTGCTGGTCAGTGTCTCGATGAAGAATTCAAGACCAGTTGCGTCATTTGGGACAACGATATCGACGAAGCGAGCATCTGCTTCCGTTCGCTCAATGTGTTCGGCGCGGCACATTGTTTCGATTTCCGTTTCGCCAAGTGCAGCCCACCACTGAAGCGCAGGTAACAGAGATCTTGTTCGAGATGTGCCACTCACACTCTTGACCTCATTCAAGAGCTTTAGCAATCTTTCCTTCACAAGAAGTATTGGGGTTGCGACAGCATGCTCGGAGAAGAATGACAGCAGAGATAGTCTACCAGAGGAGGACAGGTGGTCTTTTTTATCCACAGAAGGTACAGGCTTGACGTGATATGTACCGAGCTCGATGGCACCCTTGATAACTACAGCAATATGGTCGGGGTCCATCACACATTCTTCGATAGTTGGCAGCAGCTGAAGGTGCAGCATTCGCATGACAACTTCGGAAGTCAGAGGTTTGCTAATTTTGGACTTGCCATAAAGCGTGTCTGCGCCCCAGACCAATTTAAAGCTGGCTTTTGCGGTGTATCGACTCGAGAGAATAACAATGAGGTCTGCTGCAGCACGCCGGACCCGTTTGGAAGGATCAGAAAGCGCAGTGACGCAATAAGGAATCAAGTGCTGTAGGTCGACCTTGAGATCGTCGCTGCCTTTCACGTTATTCTTGACGACCTCCAAGGCTGCCGTGCGGGCGAGAGCAGGGTACGGCCCAGACCAAATGCGGATGAAGAAGCTGTAGAAACCGCAGTCCTTGAGAGCTGTTTGCCGGCGCAACTTGGGGCTTTCCTCGAATTGAGAAAGCAGAGCCGAGTCTTTCGAATGTTCAGAGACGATAGAGAAGAAAAGATGGCTGAACTCGGTGAATATCTCGCCTGGCTGAGGCACAAGGCAAATCGACAAGACTTCAGAACGTGAGTTGGCACCGTCAATAGCCTCTTGAATATCGTCCCGGTTTCCGGGTTGAGTGGCAGAAGTAGGATCCGTTTTGTCTTCGGTGGCCTCTGGGAGTCGGCGAGATCTGAAAGATAAGTCAAGCTTCATCTCAAGCTCCTCGATATCGAATTCGACTTCTTCAATAACTGACTGAACAATGTCGCCAGCTCTGCCAGATATTTGGGAAAGAGCGATTAGGACAGAGCCGAGCTCCCTTCTAAGTGACCCAGCCTCGTCGTTATCAGTGTTGAGCTTAAGAGCCGTGAGTAGGAGAGACTTGAAGATAACAGCAGTCTGCTTTTCTTTGAGAATTTCTCCGCTCAGGATGGCCATTATGGTTGAAAGACCACGAGAATCACCCTTCTTGGTGAGTCGCTCAATCAGTGCCAAGCAGAGGCCGTTGGCAAGCTTGTCAACACGCCGTTCTTGACCAATCTCGACGAGGAGAGCTCCGACATCTGGAACCTTCATGAGAGCCTTTGTAACCTTACTGTTCATCTGCTTGGCAGATCTGAACTGGGCCATAATGGTCAGGCAGACAAGACCGGGCCGGATCGTCTCAGTTGACCAGCCAAGCACGGTTTGCTGCATGAACGCAGTCACCGCAGCGTCCTCGAGGCCACCCTTGGACACAAATACTGTCATTGCCATATATGACGCAATCTGAAGACTGGGTACCGCCTTCATCATAAGTGACTCGGCAAAGATGGGCCCGAGTCGGTGCAGTAAGGCCTGGATATTTTCAGCCTGAACTGCGGCTCGTCCAGACTTGGTCTTGTCGAGCAGACCATTGACTGATTCTGTCATCAGTCCGGCCCAGAATGTGATCAGGGCAGGATAGTGATATTGCTTTCGACATGACTCGAGAGTGTATTCGGACACCAGCGACAAGAATTCGGGGTGGTTTATGGCTTGATGCACGAGAATTGATCTGGGCGGGGTTGTCAGAGATCGAATGTAAGGATCGAGAAATCGGATCTCCTGAGGAACTGTGCGCGGCAGTATCGAGAGTAGTGTAGCAAACGCAGAAATGGAATGATACGGCAGGAATGCGAGAACTAATGAGACAGTATTTTCCTCGTGGATTCTGATGAAAGTTAGAAATGCTTGATTGAGATTGCAATATATATGTACCTGAATCGTCGAATGAGCCACTCGACGGCTTTGATTGCTGGCATCAGGCGGAGGCGGCCGCCGACAAGGCGTAGAAAGGCTTCGACTTGGCGGTTGAGCTCAGCATTTTCGGCAGAGGTTAGCTGGCTTCGGTCTTGATCTTGGCTCTCTTCGCTAAATATGGTGCCTTGAAAGGGCACAAACCGTGCGTCCAATTGGCAGAGATCTTCGAAGCCTTGAAAGCAAGTCACATAGAGCGTTTGAAGGCTCTGTGTAGCAGCAACTTTGGGCTCCCAAATTAGCGATTTCGAGTGCGCTGCTTTCTGGGCCTTGACGTTCAAAGTCGATTTCGACTTGGCGGCAACTTGCGCCAACTGCGCAGCAAGCGAAGTCGCCATTGCAGATACCTCACAGCTCTTTTGCTGGTTAAAACGATCGTGAAAACTGGCGGGGAGACCTGCCTGCAAAGAAGCTGGCGCTCTTGGCGGATTTTTTTTTTTCTGCCGAAAGTCGAACTTGGGGTCTATCGATAAGGGACTTGCATCAGGTCACATGACCCAATTGTCTCTTTGTAACTACGATGTATATAATTCTGTGTTGCATAAACAATGGAGATGTCGTGATTTGCGATTTTTAGCTTTGATTACATTTCGAGGAACATGACTGTGTTTTTTTTCCGGCTGTTATCCTTTGGATCTGCCGATACTAGATGCGCAACTTGTTGGCTTTCCTTGCGTGCTTAAAGAGGGGCTAGAGGGGCAGTCAGCATTTACTACTTCCCTTCCGATGAAGCGAGCTTCTGTTGTATAGGAGATTTGCTCGTGTTTTAATTTTGAGAAACTGAGACGTAAAAATGGCTGTAAGTGCTGCACGTCTTGTGCATGTGTATGCGTATCAACTGACAACGCTGTCGTCAGGTTCCATATCCACAAGTCGTTCTACTAGGCGACTCACTGTTCCAGTTCTCTGTCGACACTGACGAAGGCTTTTCGTTCGAAGCAGCTCTGCAGTCTAGTAAATGAGTTGTCTGAAAAGATGATGGAACTAACTCTAACAGACGATGTCTAGGGTATTCCCGTCGTTTCGATGTCGTAAATCGCGGCTTGTCTGGCTACAACACTGCCAACGTCTTGAAGTATTTTGATCGCCTTTTTCCGGAGAAAACGTCATCGTCTCCAGAAATCAAATATCTTGTAACTCAGGTCGAAAATAAGACCTAGTCAAAGGCTTGTAGCTAACATGGACAGGTAATTCTTCTCGGTGCTAATGATGCAGTCTTGCCGCTTCCCAACACTTGGCAGCATGTCCCCCTGGAAAAGTATGGCGAGAATTTGAGCAACATCATTGAACACCCACGTATCCGAGCCCACAACCCAAAAATTTTGCTTGTAACGCCACCGCCATTGGACGAGATCAAGACAACAGAGGATGATAAAGCAGAAGGATTCCCATGCAGCATACGTCGAGCAGCAACGAGCGCTCAATATTCTCAAAAAGCCCGAGATGTCGCTGCGAAATACGACAATGTGACCCTCATTGACCTGTACCAGGTTCTTATGGACAAGGCCATTGACATGGTACCAGGCGACTTTGAGAAGGGTGGACCTTTGCCAGGCACACTGGATAACGGCAAGCGCGCAGGACTGAAGGAGCTTCTTCCAGACGGGCTTCATCTGGGAGGCACGGCCTACAGAGAATTCTACAAAATTCTATGGCCGCATATCGGACATGAATGGCTTCATCTGGCCGAGGGGGACCGCACGGGCTACGTGTTTCCAGACTGGCGAACATTCGAGCCCAAGAAATGAGAATGGGATAAAGATTAAGTACAGTGTTGGACGTGACTGTGAATATAGAGGTATAGATAGACCCTACTTCACGGTATCTCATAACAGTTCGCTTGCATTTTGTATGCCCGTTGTCAGCCTGATGATGTGGTGTCTGGCAGTACACTACCTTAGAGACCTACCTAAATATAGGTAGGTACCTATCAAACAGCAGGTAATATGTCCTTATAACAGGTGCCACAACGCCAAAAACACCCCGCCATCCCCACCGTGGCCCCAAGGCTACAGGGGCTACCTAATAGCGGGGGACAAAACAGACCGCCAGTACCTACGTACCTAGGTACCTAAGGTAGGTACCTAACCTACCTACGGAGGTTAGGTTAGGTACTCATCAGTACAATGGCACAGTACTAAAATAGCGAAGCTGTGTGCCAAAAGCATGATTTCAAATGGTAAGATAAATACAATCTAGTTGTTTAATATTTTTTCATATAGAAAAATGTAGCCCAAGATGAAGAAGTACTCTATCCAGGAATCCATTCTTTGTAAAAATAAGCTACGGCGGCTGAGTAGGCAGGCGTGGCAGGTACGGAGTGACTCCAATTAAATAGCGGGAGCTCTTCTTTCTCAAACGTCCAGCGCCACCTTTCTTACAATATCGTTCGTCGTTCCTTACATTCGCGCTAGCTTGCTCCCTTGATCAATCAAACTCAGACTTACCTCCAGCAACACACTCTCTACGCCTGTACCAAGGTGTCTTTTGTATCTTTGAACTCATAGTGGATGCATATCGACTACAGCTGTGCGATCAATTATCACAATACTGTTATTCGGCGCTCGCTTCCCCGCAGCTTTCAGTTCTGTACGATCAATCAAGTGACAGCCCTTCTTGGCACCCTCAAAGAACCGGACGCACGCACGAACGAACAAGCAGCCACGCTGCCACATTGCCTTCGCCGCGACATCTTTGGCGCATATGATTCAGCTTCCCTATCAGAAAGTCTTGCTCTACCACGTCGTATTCCTGTGACCGTCCCATCTCGGCCGTCACCTCAAAGAGTCGACAGTCTTGCAGCTTTTCTTCCCATCGCCAAGCTACCCCGGTCGCCTTGCTCTTCGCCCAACAAACAGCCCTTCCTCTGGAGTACAGCACGGCACTTTTGAATTACTCAACTCTTTTCGGCACCATCGAAGAGGATCATAGCATTTCGAGTCACAGACATACTACATAACAGACGCCATCGGAGGGTATCCATGCGCTTGCTGGGCCAGGCCCATGCAGCTGCACACGTTTGTTGCATATAGCCTGACCGGATCGCGAGCATGGAGCAATCATTCCCAATCACACCAGAGGACCTGTACAACCTTCAGATGGAGGTCAAACAAGTTCAATATGCCCAGTCAAGTCACGCCGAGAGGATTTCGAGACTGGAGAAGCGTCAAACGGATGATTTAGCGCTCAAGTCTGTTTGGAATTCGCCATTTCCAGGAGTTCTTGCAGGCACTCCTCAGCAAGGTCAGTTTCAACTTGTGAACATCTTTCGTCGGCCACAAGAGCTTTGAGCATCAGCGTTGACCCTTTATAGGACCTGTTCAAATTCCTCACAATGACGTATTTGACGACTCTGATGAGCAGGGCGAGCAACTTCTGGGATCGTTACATCTAGGACCTGCAGAAGAAGAACCTGTCCGTCGTGGCGCTGCATCTAGAGCTAATAGTGTCCGATTTGACGAGAGTGCATTGCACGGTTCTGGTTGGAGCGGTGCGCAGAGCAACCGCCACTCAGGAGACTTTGGCTCGCGCCCGGCAAGTGGCATCTTCATGGAAAGAACCTCATCACACAAATCCGATGGGCGTCACAGCTCGGCAGGACATTCAATTCACTCACATCATTCTGTCGCGTCTGGTCGCGCAAGCAGCGTAGGTCGAGACACTGCAGACGACGATGACACGTCTTCATTCGGCATTCCAGAGCCTCCAATTTCTCTTTTTGTGCTAGGCTCTGTTCCATCTATAATAAGATGCTGGCTGACGACAAATTTTGCCCACCGAACACTGCTCTACGCAGACGTTTGCAGCGGATCCCAAAGATCGACAATTTCGTACTCATTACTCGAGGAACTTGATCTTGCCGAAGAGGTTGAAAAGGATGTCGACGGAATATGTCGCGCTCGCCTCCAGGTCTACTTTGCAGAGGCCGTTGTGACTAGGCGTGGTCGCAGCTCAGAGGGGTCCGAAGGGCTAGTACCATCGATGTCCGTTGCTTTTGAGGTCGTTGGGTCAAGCCAGTCAAATCCTATAGGAGAACGAAAGCCTATTCGCGTTTTCATCGGCAGTGATGCCCTGAGAGCGCATTGTGCAGACATATTGTTTTCCAAAAATACCATGGTACTATATGGAAACGATCGCGATAGGCTACGTGTCCCATTCGTACGGCCTGAAGATGACGAGGTGTTTCGACATATTAACACCGCCAATGCGCCACCCGAAAAACAAAAGTTGAATGCTACCGCAGCACCCTTTGTTCTTGCGGAGAAGGCTGATAAAAACGGCCAAGAAGCGCGTCATCGTCCACGACGGACGCTCGGCGATGATGCCGATGTTCCAGAGCCAACGTCACCAACCACTGTGCACACAAGGGGAAGGAGACGTGGCAGTACGAGATCTCGTCGCAGTACAAACGAAGCTAAACAGCCGCGTGACTCAAGTCATGGAGGTGCTTTGTCTGGCAAGGAAGATGCCACTGGCTCCGAGTCCTCGAGACGAGAATCCTCTGCTGGCATTTGGGGTTCGTGGCGACATGGAGCGAGTGGCGGCAATGATAAAGACGCTGCCTCGATCAGTGGATACCAGCCAGCGCCAGCGAGAGGCTCTCGTGGCATGAAGACTCTGAAATCAGGAAAGTCTAATTCATCTGCCAAAACTGGCGCCGCCTACGAAGCACCCCTTCCTTCGCGATCTGACGGGCGACGAAAGAGCCAGGTCAGCGTGGGCGGCGAAAGCATCAATGGGAGCAACAAGAAAGACACCAAGCGATCTGTTAGCGCGACTAGCGATGTCCAATCTCAAGCGTCAACGCGCGACAAGAGCGCTGCACCGCCTGGTTCTCGTGGGGTTAACCCAGTCGGTGTGGCGTCTGCTTTTTCGTGGATGACGCCTGGTAGTAAGCCTAAAGGTTAGACAAGGAACTGAACTGGTGCTGGCAAGTTGGAATCACATGACATTGAGATAATGTGAGATGATGTCTTGCTTGTCGACATGCATTGTAGAAATGAGCCGGGACAGAAATTGCTCAGTTATTCACATAGACATGTCCGGCGCGAAGCCCTTGGTTGTTTTTTTTTTGTTTTTTTTTTTGAGCGGATACTAGTATACTCTGGCCCATGCCTGATAGGCGTATCAATAGAAAAGAAAGAAACGTATCTTGCTGCCAACAGTCGGAGCTAAATTTTAGGCATCGGCGGCAAGCTATCGAGGACCTTTTTCGTGTTCTCACCCGCGCCTTTGACAATGGTGATGAGGGGCTTGAACGCCGGGTGTCCGGCGTCACCGAGACACTCGTACATCCAGCTCTCGCTCGACGTGACGACGACGCCGCGCTCGGCCCGCAGCCTGTCCAGCGCGACGACGACTTCTTGCCGGTTGCAGCTGCTTACGCCGTCAGCAATCACATACACGGCGTGTCCCGCGTCGCGCAGGTCAAGCGCCGTCTGCGTGATGCAAATGTGCGCCTCTATGCCGACGAGAGCAATCTGCGACCCGGGCGCTAGATCCGCCACCACCTCGGGCACCACCATTGAGAACCGGGTCTTGTCGATGGGCGCTGTCGTCAGATGCGCGGCGACGCTGGGCACCGTCGCACCGAGCTTGGCAGTCGTCTGCGTCGTGGCGCGCACGGGCACGGACGCGGCGGCGGCAAAGTCGAGGAGCTTCTCGGTCGTAACGACGCTATTTGCCGCCGGGAAGAAGCGTAGTTGTGTCAGTGAAAAAAGGCCAAAGAAGAGGGGGGGTTGGTTCGTAGAGAAGAGGGGGGGCGAAGCGCATGCGGAAGAACGTACACCTTGTCAAACTCGTGAATGGCATTGCGAAACTTTTCTTGCAAGTCGCAAACACTGTATTTCCCCAATGGCAATTAGCTACCCAGTCTCGTTTGCTGTCGTCGTCGTACTGCTAGAGCAGGCCGAGGAACAGTGCGCAGAAAACAAAAAGGACGTACAAGACGGCGGGGTTCTCTGCGCACGCGCGGGGTGTTAGCTTTTTTTTTACTCTTTTCCCACTGTCAATTTGATGAATTGACAGCCGTATATGGGGTCTTTTTTTTTTTTTTACGTACTGAACCGCATCTGAGCAGCTGTTTGTGCCATGGTTCGAGAAAACGAAGGGATCGCGGCCAAAGGGCGAATTGGGGCAAATGACGAGGCGGAGTGTGGGCGGGCGGCGGCGGCGGCGCGGAAGATGAAGTGGAAATGTCTGGCGAATTGCATTGAACTCGTAGAATTTAAAATTTTAGGCTAGCAAGCCACTTTTGAGGAAGAAAGATTCCAATCTGCTCCGTTTGAGAGGTAACGAATTGGACTTGACAATTGCAAAGTGGAAAAAGACGAAAAGAGCTTTGGCGAAATGCCGTCACTGGAACCAGTAAGTAAGTGGGCGGCGCATCTCGGACTTCGGCATGATGCGGGGTGTGTGTGGATGGTGAGCCAGCGGCCGCTGAACGTGGCGGCGCAAGTTTAATTCACCAAAGCTCAAAGACTCATACTGTAATAGTGACTGTAAAATTCATGTCTATAGATTTTGCTTTTAAACCGTGCATCGCATAAAAAAACACACAAAGTAATTCCATCATAATCAACAAATTCCAATAAAACGCCGTGTCCATGCAAAAAAGAAAATGTGTCGCAGTATCCATCTATATGCTAGAACAAAAATAATAAATCACGAAAAAAATCATGAATTGACCTCGGCGAACCAAGTCCGTAGCAGCCCAGCCAGCGCACTCGGAAGCTCCTCCAAGTTGTGAACAATCAGGTAGTACTGAAACGGAAAGGTATCAAGGTATCGCTCAATGACGACCTTGCTCTCGCCGCCCTCGCTGACAAACTTGGCCTCCTTGAGCTCCAGCACGCTGTCGCCCACCTTTTTATCCCTGTCGTCCATGATGATGAAGACGACCATGATGCGCTCCTCCATCGCCTCGCGGAGCAGCCTGCGAATCTCGTCGTGCGCTGACGACGGCGTGAGCCCGTCGGAGAGAATCAGCGCCAGCTGCCAGAGATCCGCGCCGGCGCTGCCGCTGCCGACCTGCTGCCGCGCCAGGCGGAAATGGTCCACCGTCTGCCGAATCAGCTGCGCAATGTCGGTGCGGTCCTGCGAAAACGAGAACCGCTGCAGCACCTTGGCGCCCGCGTCGGCGGAAAAGGGCTCCGAGAGCGCATGTGCCGTGAAGACGTCGGCGCCAAACCCGAGGACCCCGACCTGCCCGACCTCGAGCATGCTGAGGGAGCGCGAGACCATGACGAGGGACTCCATGGCGAGCGTGCCGGACGAGGACTCGCCCATGCTCCTCGAGTCGTCGACGCAGAGCATAATCTGGTACGTGCGCTTGGTGGGGATGCTGCGCCGCATCCAGATCTTGTCGCGCTTGTAGCTAGAGGCAATGTAGGGGATGATGCGCTTGATGTTGAGGCGCTTGCCGGTGCGGAAGGCGCCGGAAAGTTTGGTTGACTGGGAAGGCGTGAGGATGAGGCGCAGCTGTGACGTCAAAGAGAGCGAATGGCTGTGTGTTTTTGTCTGGAAGTCGGACCACTCCTGTAGGCACTCGCCAAAGTCTCGCAACGGACGGTCCTCGTCAGAAATGTGTGTAATAGAGAGCTTCTCAGAGGCATTTTGAAGCGAGTCATCTTCGTCCGACTCTTCCTTCTCAACGCCATCCTCTTCGGGCGTCGGCTCTCTGTCGTAGTTGCCCTGGCGCGTCTTGACGCCAGATCGACCGTCATCTTCTCGCTCATTGTCGGCCTTGGTGCCCTCTGCGTCTGTGGTGTCCATCTCGTCGGGGACCTCCTCTGGCTCTTGATCATCAGCGCCCTCGGTGACACGGCTCTCGGGATCCTGCTTCTCTTCATCAATGGCCATGGCTTCATCCATTGGCTGGACGTCTTCATTGTCTGCGGTGCCCATGGCCTGAGTATCAGGTGCAGTGCTGTCGTCTTGGAGATGCTGGAATTCTCGCTGCGCCTGCTCATCAGGCTGATCGACCTTCTCTTGCTTGACGTCTTCGGCTGGTTGAGCCTCCTTGATATCAGATTGCTGACGGTGCCAGCGTTCCAAAGCATCACCAAGCTTCTTGAATGGGTCATTGCGCGCCGTGTCAGGCTCTGCTGCATCCTCCTCTTGCTGCTCGGCCGACTTTTCGGCTCGGGAAATGGCGCCCTTGTTTCCGGAGCTGGTAGCCTCGTCTGCACCAGCCTCTCCCATATCACCCTCGTTTTGCTCCGCTGCGTTGGCTTGGAATTGCTCATCCAACTCCATGGCATCCTTGTTCTGATCCTGTGCAGAGCTCTTCACATCGCTTGGGGCAGCATTGTCGAGCTCAGCTGCATTTGTGGGATCAGACTGATTCTGGGTATTCTCTTGCTGCTCTTCGTCCATTTTCTCGTCCTGCTCCGGCTCTTTTTTAACCTCTTCGTCGACTTCATCTTCGCCAACGGCGTCAATGTCCTCCTCTGGCTCTTCTTCTTTGTCACTTTCTTCACCTCCCTCGGGCTGCGTTGGCTTTTCCTGCGTCTCATCACCAGCATCTTCATCATCTCCTTCCGCAATGTCCTCCTGCTGTTCAGGGACAGGCTCTTCTTTATCAATGTCGGAGAGATCGTCAATGTCCTCGTCACCGGACATTTCTTCCTCGTCCTTCAAATCCAGATCCATTTCTTCAGGTAGCGCAAGCGTTTCCTGTTCTTGGACATTCTGGTCTTGCTTGTTGAGCTCTTCCTGCGCTTGGACATCTTCCTCTTCATCTTCGGCTTCTTCCTCTTTCTCTTGTGGATCATCCTTGTCGTCACCATCCGCCTCCTTTTCGGCTTCTTCCTTGCTGGGATTGGTCTCGTCAGGGACCGGGTCGTCATCCTTCTTCTGCCCCTGCGCTGTATCTCCTTGTTGATCCTTGTCGGCCTTCTCCTCATCTTCACCATCCCACATCTTTTCATCAACAGCAGTAGGATCCAAGTCATCAACATCGCCAGCTTCCTCATCCATATCATTTTCTTCCTCCTCTTCTTCCTCCCCATTCTTAGATCCATCTTCTTCATCCTCGTCAGCGCCGTCCACACTGCCCATGTCGCCCTCGAGTTCTTCATCGGCCATATCAACAGCATCCTTCTCGTCCTCCATCTCACCACTGTCTTCTTTGTTCTTCTCTTGCGCGAGTTCCGTAAGGTCTTCGTCGGGTTGGACATCCTTGCTGATATCATCGGCACCTTCACCATCGCCAAGCCCAGTACCGGCTTCGACTTTGCCTTCTCCAGAAGTTTCGTCTGATTTTTCTTGAGGGGTGCAGAACCCTTGGTTAGCGATTTGGGTAAACGTACGCGTCAATATGAATCCCATATGCGCTGTAGATCTATGCACCTTCAGGGCATTTTCAACCGCTTTCTGACAAAAGAAGACAAATTCTTGTAGGATTGGCGAGACAACTGCGATCATACCACTGGCTGCGCTACTTGTTGATGTTGAGCTCAAATCCAGTTGCTCGAGCAATTGCAGCGACTGTTCGATGCTCTTGGCGAATCCATCCATGCGAAGTGTCTTAATCACTGAGAATAGACCATCGTTGTGGTTCATGAACCAGCTTGGCTCCTCTTCGTTTGTCGAAACCTCAGAAGCCCTTTTCTTAGCCGCCTCTATAGCGACCAACATGGTGTCACTGAGCCTTGCCAGAATGGCCCCGAACTTGGCTAGAGGGATATTCGGTAGCTCGAGATCTGTTGGCTTGGTCTCGACATTCGACAAACTTGAGATGTAGCGAAGAACGAAGGACAGATTGGGCGATTGTTGCATCATCTCTGCTAGCTCGGTGCGCAGCTGAACCAATGCGTTCGAGATATCTGTGTGCAGTATTTCGTACGACTCTGACGTGAGGTTTGTCGGCAAACTTGGTAGTGCGTGCAGAGTCTTGAGGTATCCATCGAAGCGTTCCGCCCAGACTCCGAGCCTTTCAATGACTGAATCGTGACCTTTGCCGAGAAGCTTTCCGTGAGAGTGCACGAGCTTGATGCCGAATCTCAGTAGCTGCAAGACCCAAGGCAGCAGGGTCTCGATATTGCTATCTGAATCCCGGTTCTGGATTTTTCCAAGCTTCTCGAAATGCCGCAGCTCAGTGAACGAGGCCACAGCACTCTGGAGAAAAGAGAGAGTGCGAGTGGTTGTAGCGATGCTTCGCCGCTGCGCTCTGGTGAGGTAGATGAAGCCTTCAACGAAACCGATGCTGCGAGTGACTTCGGCAGAAGTCAGATCTTCCGAGTGATCGCGGGCCGACTCGCGGACTTTGGGCGCCAGGTCTAGCATTTTGTGGAAATAGTATTCTGCTTCGCCGATTGAGGCAGAGCTAGTTAAAGTGATGTTCGCACCAGATGCTAGTACGACGGCCAACGAATCTTGCTCCGCGAGAGGTTCTTGAGCAAGGTTATGTCGGAGTCCCATGTTGCGCAGCTCTCGCAAGGTGTCAGCAAAGAGCTTGCGCTTTCTCGTCTTCAGATGCTTCACTTCTGTCTTGTTCTCCTCGGTAAGAAGCACGGGGGTTTCTTTGCGAAGCTCCGCCATAGATTCTTCCAAGCTAGATATATACGATTCGAGGTTTTCGGCGACAGTTCCGGTGATTTGAGGACTATTGGCAATGCTGTTCATCACAGAGACCGTCTTCGTAACGTTGGCTAAGCGCTTGTGGCTGGCAAGCCAACCAGGAGCATTTGACTCCAGCAGGGCCAGCATCTCAGTTGGGACACCATGCTCGCCACTATGTGCGATGCTGGCGGTTCCTGAGAATGTTGTTTCATCGGGCAGACCCTGCGTGATCAGGATCCTCATTTCTTGGCCCAGAACGCCACGGAACTTGCGCACGAGACGGAAAAGCTTGAGATGGGACTTCTTGGCACTCTCGCGGAGAGCATTGATGTTCGTGTCCTTCCAGCTAGCCATAAGTAGCACATCCTTCATTTTCTTCTCAATCGGAGCACGGCCGATTGTAATTGTCTTATCCGCAACAGTTTCGAATCTTGCATAGAAAGCAAGAAAATTGGCAACAGCCTGCGTGATAATTGCAAGATTAGGATAATCTTGAACCAAGGCCTGCAAATGAGCCAAAAGCTGTCTGAGGAGAGAGACTCGCGTGCGAAATTGGCCCACGATTGATGTAGAGAAGTATGACTCCAAGGTTTGTAGAAGAGACGTCGCATATGCTTGCAGCTCAGGTTTCGAGTCTACCATTGAGAGTGGCACGGCAATAATAACTTGATAGGCGATGAACCACCATGAGTATGCGTCCTCCTCGCACTTGGTCTTCTCCATATCAAAGAGATTCCCCCATGTAGACAGCTCAAGTCTGCGCCAGCGGATAATTGTTGCCGTCAGGGCATTGTGCAGGTTCAAGACGCCGTACTTCTGGCTGGCCCAGCCTCCAAACTGCCACTCATAAACGAGGGCATGCAAATGCTCTACCTTGTGAGTAATCTTGGCAAGGGGCTCGGCGTGAACAATTTCCAAAACTCCGTCACATGCCTGAATGACATCGGCCAAGGGCTGCATATGGCCAATTTCATCGACCATCTGCAGCTCTCGGAACTTGGCCCGAATATCATGCACAATTGCAACCAATTGACGCGCCTCATTAAGGTTTGCGTGCGTGTAGAAGTTGTAGGTTTTGTCTGTCGGCGGTGTTTGAAGCTCATGCACCTTTTCACTTAGCAAGAGGACCACAGGCACGACAAGTTTGCTCGACAAATCTCTATCGAGGTTGGAGTGGCCCTCGGATTCGCGCACAATGCGATTGCAAATACTGAAGCACATGCCGCGAAGAGCCGCTGAAGGCCCGTCACTCTTCAAGAAGAGTTTCTTGTGAATCTCTGCAACCTTCAAGGACGTCTCGCGAACCTCGTCCTTATTCTTGCTTGGCTTGATAGGGGATTGCTCATCGTCATACGAGGGGAACAGTTCGTTGAACTCTTCAGCATCCACCTCTTCTTCGTCTTCCAGAGAGCCACGGAAGCGGTACATGCTTGTCCTGGCCGCTTCCTCTTTCCGATCCGCTTCGAGGCGTTTGCTCCAGTCGTCAAAGAATGAGTGGAAAGTTTCAAAGACTCGCTGTCGTGACTCATCGTCGAGCTCCGACTGCCCATTGATGGCAACTTTGCTGTTCACAACGTCGAGGAATTCGAATGACTTGTCTGACTCTGTAGCAAGTCCGCTGATTTGTAGACCTCCAAAGAAGGGAGTGGCATTCGCTATAGCATGGATAGGGCTGGCCAGCTTCGCAGCATTTGAGGCTTTGCAAAGTGAAAGTCCGACCAGGAAGCAGCGCAAGAGACTTGAGACCGGCCGTGTGATATCCTGGTATGCCTGGAAACGTGCCCCGAGGCGGTCAAGCAGTCTCATGATGTTTTCTTTCAATAGGGCGAGGCCGGTCTCGCTGTCGGTGGAGCTCGCATCAGACTGCAAATTCGTGATAATATCAGAGCCTACGATGGCCTTCAGGACGTTGGAGAATTCGGCGTGTATCTGGCTCAATTCGGACCGTTCAGGTCTGAAGACAGCAACGACCTCTTCAGGAAGCGGGTCCAGCTGGTTGATTTCGTCGATCAGAAGCTGCTGTCTGGCGCTTGAGAGCTGGCCAGCAAAGATTTCGTCAAAGACCTGGATGTGTGAGAGTTTCTCGCGCAAGAAAGTTTCTAGCTGCTCAAAGAATTCGCGTTCCATCATAGGGCTGAGCTGAGGATCAAGGATACGGTCGGGGACATAGAGCTTTGTAAGGCCGATAGTGAACTGAACCCAAGCCAGGCCGGATTGCAGCGTGCTCTGGGGACCAGAAATGTTCGAAGTAGCAACACCAACAATAGAAGGAATGAAGTGCTCAAGAACAGTCTCTATGAAATGAGCAGGTATGTGTTCAGTCGCGGAGCAAGCATCTCGCAAGGCGTTGTCACAGCCGTCCATTGTGGTGCTGAATTGTGATGCCCTGGAAAATAATTCTAAACCGAGAGCACGAGACGTTTCGCCGTGACTTGCAAAAATGTCAAGCAGCAGGATTTGCAGCACCCTGTTTAGCTGAACAGTCGGGTCGGCGGAGATGTCGGAGGTCATTTGTGCCATTTGTCGACCCAAGGCTGGCAGTTCAGTTTCGAGCAGTTGGAAGGAGTTGAGAGTGACTGAGCTGATGTTGTTGAGCTTGTCCCAAGTGGACAGCATCAGGCGGCCGTCCCAAGGATACTGGTCTTGATAGGCCAAGCAGTCAATGTACTGAAGCCAGGACGCAGGACCACTCGTGGTTGCGAGCATCAACCGGGCTCTAGTGGAAATATCGGACAAGATACAGAGCTCATAATTTCCTGCCTCAGCAGTGGGCTTAGCGCGCAGCATGTCGATTTGTCTGAGACTCTCAAACTGCGAGGCAAAGAATGGCACTCGCTTCCCTGTTTCGTCCCCAATTTGACTCTCGAGCGATTCAACGACGGCAGAAAGCTCTCGCACAAGTTCGTCGGAGCTGTTGGCACCCGAACGCACGATGGTGTATGCTTGCTCCAAAGTCTGCTGAGCCTTGGCGAGCTCGGGAATGCTGGCTCTTGTCTTCCATCGTAGCTCATCAAATCTTGTTACTAGCCGATCCAATTTCAATACCTCATCATAGACGAACTTATTAGGGATGGGAAGAGGCCGAAGTGTATTCCAGAGCTGCTCCATGCTTAGGCCCGTTGATAGCTTGAATCCACTGGCGAAGTCGCTTTGTAGCTTTCCGAGGATATGTGAGGCCAGGGCAGTAATGGATGGGGATTCAATTTTCGCAAGCTGCTTCTTGAGTAATCTTGTGCCCTGTGTTAAGTGAGCCTGGAACTTGGCTTCATCCAAGGTCTCCTCAGTAGCCAAAGCAATTGTTCGCAAAATGTAGTTCCATATCAGACTTAAGAATCTGGTAGAAATCTGATGCTCGTTCGACGGCGCTTGGCTAAGGTATGCACGAATAGCACTCAGCACGGCATCGATAAAGGCTGCCAACCTCACGGTAGAGTCCTTTGACACAGCAGCAACACGATCGCTGATGAGCGATCGCTGCAGCCTGTTCAAAGCGCCGAGTTTCGATGTCCGAGCCAGAGACTTGTGCTGGTCAATGGACTGCTGAACGCTAAACAGCTCCGTACAGGTATCGTATATTGTCGAAGTCCACTCTGCCGAATTTCCATTTTGCGCAAGGCGCGAGACAGTATAGTTGTTCATTGGGTGGACAGGCTGAGATTGGGCTGTACCGCCGGCAAGAACATCAGGGAGTTTCGAATATAGGTCCGAGACGCTCTTTCGGGCGTCAGAGCCGTGGGGAGACTGGAGGAACTTGACAAACTGCTGCAGATGAGCTGACAGAGATGACTCTTGCGAAAACTCGTTTGTAAAGCGCAAGAGAATTGCTAAATCCTGAAGGCTAGTGTTCTGCAAAGAGATTCGCAAAGCATCAGAGGGCTTGTTGTCCTGCTCTAGCCGCTGCGAGATGTCCAGAGCTGACAGGTATCTCTGCAGAGTGCTCTCAACCGGCGCGATGTATTGGAGACTGGAATCCACACTTGGAGGGCTATCGCATAGATAGATTTCCACGGCTCGGTTACGCATGGCGCGAGAAAGCTCGCCATATCTTGGATCCACGGTGAGAAAGATTCTGAAGTCTGGATGGGGTCTCACAAGGCGTGGTTCACCTCCTGGCCCGCAGTGCTCATTCACACTGAGGAAGCCATTGGGCTCCAGAAGCGAGTTGAGTCGATCCAGCACCGATGCGTTGCAAAGGTTAGCGTTATCCAGGACCAGCCACTGGCCGGATTCTAAAGCCTTGATAATGACTCCGTCGAGCCATTCAAATCTAGGGTTCTCAAGCACCAGTGGCTGCTCGAGAAGTGCAGCAACTTTGGAAAGATGAACGCCCACATCTGAATTGGCAGGGAGCTCCTGAAGAAGCGAGGTGATGGAGAACTGAATACGAGTAATTTCATCGCGATTTCCAGAAAAGTTGTCGATCTCGTATAGTAGAACAAGAACAGAATCGGGAAGATTATTCGGTATCATTGCCATGATGGAGTCATGGAGAAAGGCGCGCAAGTCGCGAATAGCAGCATTAACTTCTCGAAGAGGATCAGCTTGCTCAAAGCCACCTACAAGGTCCATAGTGTCGATATCTGCATTCATTGGGAATACAACAAGCGGCTTCCCTGATAAAGCCGCGACATACTCCAACAAGGCCGTTTTTCCGTGGCCTGAGGGGCTAGTGAGAATGCAAGGAATATTTTGCTTGACACAAATCATGAGAGACTCAAGCTCAGGCAGGCGCGGAACAATGTTGATGGGTGGCAAACGCTCAGGTTGCGAGGAGGCGTTTCGAGGAAGTAGTGCGAGGCCAACTTGGCTAGACTCGGCATTCAGATCGTGGTAAAGACTGTGGCTGCGCGGTTCAGCTCCGAAAACTTGAGTGTAGAGCTTAGTGACTTCGGATCGATCCTGCGGCAAGCGAAAGCGTTGCCGAACCATGATGTCTAGAAAATCGTCGGCCTGGCCTTGCTGAAGAACAGGGTCGGAAGAATTGAGCAGATGCAGCCAGCGGAGGACATCACGCAGATTGAATTCCCAGGGTCCGCCCTGTGCACCAAACGAGCGATCCAACACAAGTTGCTTGTCCATGTCAGTGACGAACCGAATCAGGTTGCTGACCAGGTCGACGGGCAAGCTTGGAAAATTGTGAGATGCGATCAGCCTGAGATCCTCATCGGTGAACACGTCTGCATAGACGACAATGAAACGATTGACAAAGGATGCGGGTAGTCCCTTGCGGCCACCGCCCTGATGGTGAGGATTTTGCGCAGCAAAAAGGCGGAAATCGGGGTGGCGCTTAAAAACTTGGTCGAGCTCCGACACGTATACTTCACCACGATGATCCAGGCATGCGTTAAGTCCCTCCAACACAGATTGCGACGCCAGGTTCATCTCATCAAGGAGAACCCATTCACCCTTCTGCATCGCTTGCAGAAAGGGAGCATCACGCCATGCAAAGTTACCCGCCTCGGCTCCTTCAACAGGCACATCGGTACCAAAAAGATCCATGAGATCAGTCTGGTCTGACAGGTTGATTCGAGTGAGCGGCTGGCCGCAAGCATGGGCTAGAGCAGCGACAAGAGAAGTCTTTCCTACACCGGGGCTGCCCTCGAGAAGTATTGGCTTGCACATCTGCAGGGCTCGGACGACTCGCATGGTATTTCTTCTCGTAGTTGGGGCGTGGAAGGCAAATTCTGCAAGCGGCGAAGCATCCGGAGCGCGAGGGATACTGAATGCGCCGATGGCCAGGCTGTCTGGCGTTACCTTGAACTCCGGCTCAGGATCATAGATTTGCGAGGCATCTTCGCCAATGAGTTCTGTCAATTTGTCAAGGCACTGCTGTCGCTGCCTTTGGGTAGCCTGGGTATCTGTAGCAAGCATCGCAGAAGGATTCGCGCCAATGCTGTCAATGAAGATAGCCGACGCGCCATGGACCAGCGCAAAGGGCATATTGCTCGAGGAAGCTGAATTCATAAATTGAACCCAGACCAAAATCTCACGAATCGAAAATGGTGTGGTGGCCATGGGCCGGAAAGTGGCGCTAAACCAGACTGCAAAATCAATAATCGCTTTGGTAGCCGGCTTAACATCATCCTTGAGTTTTGTGTGGATGATTTCGTAAATATCGTCATCACCCGACAGCTGGGGAACCCAAATCTCAGTGAAACGATTTCGAAGAGCCGGTGAAAGTTCCTTTTTGCCAAAATCACCACCGGGATTCATGGTCGCGAAGAATTGGAAGCCAGGCGCGCCAACCACGAAGGCATCATTACTGCCCTTTTCGGCTAAGAGTAGCGTTCTTTGAGGCTCGAGAACCGAGTTCAAACGCTCTAGTACGGAGTCGTCTGCGAGAGAAATCTCATCCAGTAGAAAGAATTGTCCGTCCTTCATGGCTTCAACTAGAGCGCCATCAGACCACTCAAAGAGGGCCTTGCTTCTCGTGACATTGCTTGCAATTTGGTCCTTCAGCTCTCTGTTGACTTTGTCATTATTAATGGCCTGAGATTGATAAAGCTGGTACTTTTCCTCAGGTGATGCAGGAATAGCGATGCCTGCGAGTGAGAGGGCGAGAGTAAGATCCTTATCGAGTGCATCAAGAATGGCTGCGCGATTGCGAACAGGTCGCTGAGAGCCAATCAAATCTCCAGTTTCCGTGTTTTGGTGAGCGTTTACAATATGCAGCTCCTTCTTGAGAGCTTCCGCGAGAAGCTGGCAAACAGTAGTCTTGCCGCAACCAGTCTCGCCAACGAGGAGAACGGGCTCGTTGTTCTTCAGTGCCCGCGAAACCAGGACGTAGAGTCGGCGCATCGCATGGGTCCAGACAACTCCTTGGCCATTCTGCTGGGCAGCAAAGCTCTTCAATTCGGGTGCATCCTTCGCCGAGTACAGTTTTCGAGTATCAATCTTCACCTTGAATACCCTTTCGATAATTTCCTTTACAGCTTCTCTCTCCTCGTCATTACGGACTCGTTCGGCGAGAAGCATGAACCCATGCGCAGCAATGTCTTCGCGGGTCTCTGCTTCGCGTAATGCCCATCGGAAAAGATCTCGAAGTGTAGCAAAACTGTCCTTTTGCTCAAAAAGTCGACTTGTCTGGCGAAGTCTGGAGAGCTCCTTATAGACGGACACGATACGGCGACAGTCAGGAGGGGATGTATTACGACTGCGCTGTTGTAGAATAAACTCCAACTCGTCTTCTGGGATGTCGTCGAAATGCAGCTCCAAAAAACGATTCCGGAAAGCACGCGAGAGAACTTTTCGTCCACCATAGAGACCGGGTGGATTCTGGGTCGCAAAAAGAATAGAATTCTCATGCGGTCGAATAATTTCTTGCGTCTCGGGAATAAGTAGCTCGCGGTTGTCATCGAGGAGTCGGTTGAGAGCTTCAAGGACATCGGTGGGGGCTAAATTCAGTTCGTCAAGGACTATCCAATGTCCAAGTCTCATCGCCTGAACAAGAACTCCCTCCTGGAACCTGAGTTTCCCGTCTGATCCAGATACATAAGTGCCGAGATACTCCTGTAGGTCTGTATGTTCGTGGTTGTTGATTCGTACAAATTTGTTGCCAGTGAAATTAGCAAGATACTCGATCATACTTGTTTTACCAGCGGAAGTTGGACCCTGGATGAGGATGGGAAATCTTCGTGTAGAAGTGGCACGAACGAGGTTGAGCAAGTTGCGCTCAACGTACGGTGTAATAACGTAATCTGCTCTCTCCACGGGTTGTTCGTCTCCTTGAAAGAGCCAATATTGTCGATCGCGCGCCTTATTTTGAAACTTCACATAGTTCCTACCGTCATTAGGATGCTTGGGAGGTTGCGATAAAAGGGAGTGTGGGTCACCATGGCTATCTAGCAAGTGATGGTAGATGAGCGGCACTAGCATATCCTCGGATTGTCGGTCAAGCAGTGTCAGAAAACCCATTGAGAAGCCCTCGTACAATGCTCTACGGACGCCGTATAGAGATCCAATAGTATTGACGTACGTCAGTACACGAGTAAGGGTTCGCAGACTGAAATGCGGAACTTCGTTGGCTCCATCAACGATTCTTTTCTGCTCAGCCAGTTTCTTGGTGTTGAGATATAGTCTCGCAATATCGTTGGCTGCTTTATCATTTTTGTTGCTTGTGCTGCCCAAATATGTCTTGATAATTTGAAGTAAGTCCTTTTCGTCCGTGTCCGGACTCTTGACATAGAGTTCAGTAAATCTGGAACGGATCCCGGCTGGCAAGTCTCTTTTACCGATATCTGTCGCCGGGTTCATCGCACCAAAAATGCGGAAATCGGGATGCGCGATAATCTTTTGAATTTCGCCAGTCTCGGAAAGCAATATCGAAGGTCGCTCATTCGGCCCCGTCAGTAAGTCTGCGATACTCTCCAAAGTATCTGGAGACGCCAGGTTGATTTCATCGAGGAGAACCCAGTCACCATTTCGCAAGGCTTTGACAAGGTTGCCTTCAACGAAGGAAAAGGCAAAACCACCCGGTCCTGCTGCGATTTGAACCTCAAATTGTTCAAGATTTCGAGTGAAAGTCTCCCATCGGGGTCGCAGGTCGAGCAGGCTTTGGAGCTTCGACTGTGTTTTCCTTCGCTTTGTTGGCTGAGAATCGTCTTGTCTCTCCTTCTGAGCTTGGGCATGAGCCTTTTCCAGTTCTGAAACGATTTTGACAAACATTTTAGGTGCTTCTTTCCACAATTTTGCAACCTTGGACCATTGAGACTTGACAAAGCATTTACCAATCTGCTCCAAGTACTTTTGGTTTTTGGAGGCCGAAATACCAGTCGCGTCGAAAAGATCTTCAAATTCTTCCTTGAGCGGAACTGCAAGACTTCGCACATTGACCGGCTTGAATCCACCAAGAAGATCTCCAACCTCGCTCTGTTGCGAAAGATTTACCGCAATAAGCTTGTTACCTAGCGAATCTGCCAGCTGCTGCACAACAGTCGTCTTGCCGATACCAGTCTCACCGACCAGTAGGACTGGCTCCTCAAGCTTGACAGCAACGGCTATCTGCTCAAGAAGTCTCTTGGCATGCACAGTACTGGCAAAGGGCTGCTTCGGCTTGGCTGCCTTTGGTTGAACCCGCTTCTTCCTCAAGGTTACTCTGCCAATCGCTAGCTGAGTTTCGCTTTCGTTTAGGGGGGGTATATTGGCAGTCAAATAATGCTCTGCCCGGTCCCTAGACAAGTGCATCTCTTCAGCAATGGCAAAGGCCAGATGCTTACTCAAATCAGCATCTGGACAGCTTCCCAGAAAACAATCCACAGCTTCCATGAACATCCAGTCCCTGGTTGTTTCCGAGATAGGCTCCTCTCCAGTTTTCGATCCTGCGACCAGCAGACATTCTTTTAAGCGACGACACCACTTCAACAGATCTCGGAGATTGGACTGTCTATCCATTACGCTGCGTCCACGAGCGGTCGCAACAGGAGCGCTGCTCAATCGGGCCAGCCGACGATGAACAGCCAGAATTCCAACGATGTATTTCCGAAGAATAGGGTATGTTTCGACGACAACTCGCTCAAGCTCGGAATCTGTAAGCTGTTCTGCGTGGAGGGATTGCCAGAAACGCATTCCAACCAATGAAGGCAAGTTTTCGCGGCCGTTTAACCCTCGTGACGTTCTGACTGTAGCGAGGAGACGAAAGGTGCTAGCTGCTCGAATGGTCTCTCCACGACTAGGGATGAGGAGTTCATTGCGCTCGATCAACGGTAATAACGTGCTGAGGACCTCAGTCGGTGCTCTGTCAAGATCTTCGACGAGAACCCATCTTCCTTCTTTGACGGCTGTAGTTAGCACGCCTGGGCGCCATTGAAAGCTGCCCGGCTTCGTATCGGTGGAGTATAGGCCAATGAGCATTTTTGCGTCAGTCTGTTCATTCAGGTGTAGCGTAACGATGCCAGAATGCATTCCAAGTTGAGTCGCAATCTCCTGAACTAGTGCAGTCTTTCCAACTCCAGAAGCACCATGAAGTAGGATTGGCCCAGGGTTACGCAACAGCTTTGCGAAATTTTCCAGGTTAGACATAGTTGTGTCTGTCAAGACCAAGCTAGGCGGATCGCCCGTTGGGCCGTACGGGCGTGGCAGTAGTACATGTCCGTACGCGACGGAATATGGTGTTGATTGTTGCATGATTTTTTCGGTGGTATCTTGTTCTTGGATGTCTTGCAAGATTTCTTGTCGCAAAGCAAGCACCTTCTTCACTCGCTCATGTTCGTGCAGTGACAGAAAGCCATAGTCGATTTGGACGCCGTCAAATTCGGCGGTAATAGCTTCATCACCTATGTGCGTTTGTATCAAGTTCTCCAACTTCTTATCCGAGGCGTAGAGTAGCTGGCAGAAGATACGAATGGCGAGATATCGGACAGCGCGACTATCATGGGCGAACAGGTGCTGCATGAGCGCAGCAGAGACAATGGAGCTAAATGCGCGCAGATCAAAACTCAGAAGTCTCCATGTTGACAATAAGCACTTAATCAAGTCTGATTCGCCCAGGATTGATGAAATGTCGTCTAATTGCAGAGGTTGCAGCCGTAGCGGCGAGGACTGGGTGAAGCTCTCACGAGCAGGCTGGCTTCGGAGAAAGGTGGCGAGGTCGGGGCTAAATGGTAATAATCTAGCTGCAGCGGAGACAGCATATATACGCTGCAGGTCCGACTTTGCGTCGAGAGCCCAGCGTGCGCAAATGTCGGGAAATACATTCTCAAAATGCACATATACGCGATCTGTAAGTGTCGGAATGAGAGCCGCCTGCGCGACGACATCCAGCAGGCTTGTGGAGGGCTGGCTCTGGATCGCGACCAGTAAATCGGCGGGCAGATGGTGTAAAACAGTCGAATCCTGTAAGAGCGACCTCCTCTGCCGTGATACATCGATCAGGGCCATTATGGCGACTGTCTCGAAGATTTTTTTTTTCTTGCAACCTTCAAACAGGTTTGCAGAAGCGCCAGTGACTTTTGGCCGTACACTGAGCTTTCTGCTGGCTGATAGCTTAAACTTTTTTTTTTTTTGGCTAATCTGGCAGGGATCTCAGTCGGTGGTGGTACTACAAATATCCGAGCCAATCAACGGCGGGAGAATTGGTAGCTGCGGGCCGCTAGGCCTTTTGCTTCGAACCTGACTGCAGAACACCAAAACTTCAGGGTGACTGTCAAGCCACGAGAATCTGCACGCGACTCGGTCCCTCACTGCATCTCCTCGCCCTCTCCGTCCAGCCACGCATCTCCAGGCACACCAATTCCTCTCACACAGCAATGGCCATGTCCTGCCGGTACGCGGCGCGTTCGTGCGCCCGCCAATTGCGCTCTGCCAGCGCTCTCCGAGCCCCAACACAGACTTTGCGCCTCGGTGCCACATCGAGACGGTACAACTCGACAGAAGCTGCCGTCGAGGCTCCCGCGAACCCCAAGATTGCCGAGATTGTCGACCAGATCAGCAAGCTGACGCTTCTCGAGACTGCCGATCTCGTGTCCAGCCTCAAGGTACGATTTGCGCCTGCCGTCCCAGTCTTCTGGAGCAGTCGGCAGTCTAAAGCTGCTATGGGCATCGTCGCTCACACCTGACATGTATGCTGACGACACAACTCTCAGACCAAGCTCAACATCCCCGACCTTCCCGTGGGTGGCTTCGCGGCCGCTCCCGCCGCTGCCCCCGCGGCCGCCGAAGAAGCCGAGGAGGCTGCCCCTGCCGCTGCCGAAAAAACCCTCTTCACTCTTCAGCTCCAAGAGTTTGATGCTGGCGCGAAGGCCAAGGTCATCAAGGAGGTCAAGAGCTTGCTCGGACTAAGCTTGGTCGAGTCCAAGAAGTTTGTCGAGAGCGCGCCCAAGATGATGAAGGAGAATGTCCCCAAGGAGGATGCCGAGAAGATTATTGCCACCATGAAGGAGCTCGGCGCCAAGGTTACCATGGAGTAAAATAGAAAAGCGTGTGTCGCGTGCATCGCATCGGGTGTGAGGCTGCAGGATATGAGAGGGTCGTGGTTCCCATCATCAATAGAGCGCCTCATGACATGTATAAAATCATGTGTATTAGTATCTAGCAGAACAAAATCAGATTTCATCCCTGTCCCAAATAGCGCCGATATCCAAAAACACCTTTTCGCTACAGGGAATGCAGTTTTCAGTATCGCTCATGCGACAGTCTTTGGGTATCTCGACCACAGCAGCGCCTTCAACCATGAACCAATCATCCAAACGCCATAATGCCCGACAATTTTGTATTCACCTTTGATTAGAATTCGGATCAAATCATATCCATCTGCTACCGACGCTCGCCATTCGCAGCCCGCTGGTGTTGACACAGCTGCATTTCCATTTCGGTGTCAAAGTCGGCGTTCTCCTCGGTAATGAGTCGGTCGTCGTCCTCGCCAAAGTCGCTCGTCTCGTCCCAAAGCTTGTTCATCTCAGCACCCTCGCCCTTTGGAATGGCCCAGATACTCTCTCGTTCACGCTTGTGTCGTTCGCGGTCCTCCTCGAGGCGCTGCTCGACTTGACGCTTGTCCAGCCGCCCCGGACCTACCCGCTTGGCTTGCTGACCTGGAAGTTGTTGCGGCGTTTGCTCCGCAAGTTCGGCATTTTCCACAGGAGATGAAAGCCCAAGGTCGCGGTCCTTGGTACTGCGCTCTTTGATCACGTCTTCAATCTGCGCTGCGACCTGGTCGTCGAGGAAACCTTTACCTTGCAACGCACGGAGGACCTATGGAGCATGAGCATGGCATCGGGCTCGCACGGTGAGTGATTTGTGCTTACCTTGCGGACAACTTTGACATTGGCAGCTCCCGATCCATCATCTGGGGCCACGGCATCTACGACGCGAATGATGTCGCGCTGCATCATGCGGACGTAGTCTGGTTGGCCTTCTCTACTTGCCTGGTCAAGGAAGTGCTCAATGAAGTACATTATGTTGGCCCGGGTATTCATATTGGTCTGCCTTTTGATTAGCGAATGGCATAGACACAAATTGAGAAACTTGGGCAAACAAACCCGCTCGACTTGCTCGAGAATGCAAGAGTGCAGGTCCTCGTGCCATTCTTTGTATCTCAGAGCATACTGGGTCGCCTTTTGAGCTGAAGCGACGGACGCATTGAGATGCTGAAGCTGGGCGCTGAATCGCATGCGCACTTCGAACGGATCGGCCATCTTTTCGATGCGGCCAGAGGAGGCTGTGATGCCAAGTGTGTCTCTGTGCACAAAGCAGCAACAGAGTCTGGCGCTACCGTATGCAAGTTATTGAGGCACACAGAGAGTGCTATTGGCAGCGACAGAAGCTCTGTCAAGACCGTGAGTTGCAGGTGGAGTCACTGCCTGTCAGCATGGTAGAACAAAAAAAAGCGGGCGGACATCCCCTACAGTTGAGCAGGCGTTGCGCTGTAGCCCGCTGGAAACCGTTTGTGAAGCACCCCGCCACAGGATGCGAAATCGGCCAGCTTCGGGGTGACGTCGAGGCCACCATCGTCGGCTCGATATAAAACCTTTACCCATCTTCAACCAACCCGTACTTGACGCTGCGGAGCTCCATTCTATATTGTCTGCTCGAGATCAAAGTTCAAATCACAGTTTCTCTATAATATTGTATTGGCTACTCGCTTTGATTGGCAGATCGTGCAGCTTCACGTTGAACAATTACCCCTCCAAGTCTCTGCGCGACATCTCGCTACCCGTGACCGATATGTCTTCGGATTCTGGCTTCACCCTCACCGTCCTGGGCTGCGGTACGTCCGACAGATAACGATTTCACCTCATATTTCAAGTCATTGCTAACTTCATTGCCCAGGTACCATGGGCATTGCCATTGCCAACGGCGTTCTCACCTCCTTGGCTGCCGGCGTCACACCCGGCGACGACGTTCCCGCTACGCTGCCCTCCAAGTTCATCGCCTGCGTCCGCAGCGAAAAGAGCGCCGAGCGCGTCAAGACGGCGCTGAGCGCCCACTCCTCGCGTGTCGAGGTTGTCCGCAACGACAATGTCGCCTCCGTGCAACAGGCACAGGTCGTTCTCCTGGCCTGCAAGCCCTACATGGTCAAGGACGTGCTCGGTGTCTCTGGCATGGCCGACGCCCTCAAGGGCAAGCTCCTCGTCTCAGTCTGCGCGGGCATCACCGCCGAGGCCATGGAGGAGGCCATCTACGGCAAGGTGCTCACGGGTGACCCTGCAGAGGACGGCCGCTGTCGCTGCATTCGTGCCATGTGCAACACGGCTGCGCTCATCCGCGAGTCCATGACTGTCATTGGCATCTCGAACCCTCCGCTCCCGGACAAGGACAATGCTCTCATCACCTGGATCTTCAAGCAGATTGGCGACGTCGTCTTCCTACCTGCCAACAACATGGACGCGTCCACGGCTCTGGCCGGTTCGGGCCCCGCGATGTTCCTCCTGATGCTTGAGGCGGCCACAGACGGCGCCGTCGCCATGGGCATTCCGCGCGCCGAGGCCCGCCGTATGGCTGCCCAGACCATGAGAGGCGCTACCGGCCTGGTCCAGAGCGGTGAGCACCCGGCTGTGCTCCGCGAGAATGTTTGCACTCCCGGTGGCTGCACCATCGGTGGTCTGCTGGTTCTTGAAGACGGCGGTGCTCGTGGTACCATCTCCCGCGCCATCAGAGAGGCCACAGTTGTTGCCAGTCAGCTTGGCAAGGGCGTCCAGAACGTCAATGGCACTCGTCCATACCTGCAGTAGCTCACAATACCACAACAGCTGGGCTTCATGAAATACGACCCAAAAGTACGAAGAGTATGATGAGTTTTTTCTTAATGACCACTGGCCAACGCGCATACCCAAATCCTAGATTACAGTTGACCAGACATTCTGTCCATCCTGAACGCCGTGAATATGACCCCTAATGTACCCAACCATTTCCATTCAGATGAAAGACTTTTACTCCTCGTTGACTCGAGTCCGCTTGCTGGAAGTGGATTCCGCATCATCGTCAATTTTGCGCTTTTCCTTGGCTGCGACGGGGCCGGAGCCATGCGCCGCCAACAGCCGGGCATATTCGAGCTCGACACCCAGTAACGTCTCGCTCAGCTTGTCAATACGCTCAGGGAGTTCGATTTGCGCCAAGATGTCCCGGTTGTGTCTATACAGTCTCTGCTTGACGAGAAGTTGCCACAATCGCTCCAGATGCCGGTCGGCGGGAGTTTGTGACGGAACCTTCATATCGTAGTCGATGCGCGGGCGAACGGAGTCCGGGAGTTGTGACATGATGTGCATCTCTAGGACGCGCGCAAACTGGCGCGGTGCAATCTTGGTCTTGGCTCGGATTACCTCGAGATTCTCGCCGCCCTTGATCAGTTGCGGGATCAGTCCCTTCTTACCGACTGTGACGCCTGGGTCCAATCTTAAAGCAGCAAACTCGGGGACAGTGCGCAGAAACTTCAAGTCGCAAGCATCGCGGAGCTCGTCAAAGGCCTCATTTGGGTTTTCAACCGTGAATTCATGCGTTTGAGCGTGCTTGTGATAGTGTTCAAAAATCGATCTGTACAGTCGCGCACCATGCCCGCTGCCTTGGAAAGGGGGTAGAATCAAGAACTGGGAGAGTCGCGTTCGGCAAGGCAGTTGTGCCAAATCCATATCACCCTGAGGCAGCTCCCAATCGTGGGTTGGAGACGCGGGAGGGGTCGGCGGAGGCTGGAAGTAGAAGAATCGGTAAACTGTTGAGTAGCCAATAAAGACGTACGAGCTCTTCTCCGGGTCTGCGGATGACGGCTGCTTGCGGTACAGCAGGAACACAGTCCAGCGATCTGCATCGGGCATCTCAGTCTCTGAAGAGTCGGAATCCGGGGTCTGGCCAATGTAAGATCCGCCTTCGATGAAGAGAGGAACCAGCAGTTGGACGCGATTGTTCATTTGTTTGATAGCAGGGTCTGCCAGTGTGCCCTTCCAGATCTCGTATGTACCATCGGTGCCCTTGAAGCTCGAATGAAGTTCTCCAGGAGGTTTCCAGTCATCGCCAAGATTTTTGGAGTTGCTTTCGAAGTCTGCAGCTTTGCCGAACGCAACTAGGAATCGTCAGCGCTTGTTCGTGTATTTCAGCTTGATACTGCTTACTATCAGGAAGCTGAGCATCCTCCTTCAGCATGCCCATAACATCCATGGGTTCGGTTTCGCCAATGGGAGCGAATTTGCTGCTATACGACATTTGTACGTGCGGGCGCATATCGTTTGCGCGGTATCTAAGATTGATCTTGAGATCCTTGTAGCCAAAGATTTTCTCATCTTCGCCAAAGATTGGATAGGTAAAGCTCGGATTGAAGGTGGAAAGCGATTGAAGACCTGAAGCTGTTGGCGCAACGAGACTGATATTTAGGGCTGTGTTCGAGTCGGCGAGCCCTGTACCAAGGGTCAGAGATTGCACCAGCTGAGCTACAAATTCAACGACTTACAGTCTTCAAGATCTGTGAGGGCAGCCATGGTTGATCAGGACCGACCCCGGCTCCGTGCGAGTATGAATTTCTGACGTTGGTATAAGAGGCGTGTGGAAGAAGTTGTCCGACTTGGTGGTATGGTGAAGCTTCGGGACTGGGGGCGATCTGGCACGCGAACCGCGTCGTGCCTCGCGCGCTCGTTAAGTGGTTTCTGCCTGAAACCTGAGGCTAGAACATTCAAGCTACCTATCTAGGTAGTTGACAGCCATAGAAGCCATCGCTGGTAGCCTAGTTAGTTTTTGCACTTCATGCAGGTTAAAAGAATTAAAAGAAGCGAAAATCAGGCTCGAATTTTTTCGGGTCTAACAAGGAATTCATATGAGTTTTTACATATGCCCATCTCTTGCAGTGAAGTTAGACTTCAAATCGGCCTCCTTACAACGGGTAGCCGCCGCTTCAGTGGCTCGCGGTGGAATCATTGGGCATTTATTAGTACAAGTCTAGGAGAGACAATGGCAAGTCGATTGGCCAAATGAGTAATCAGGTGATAAAATTATCTGATAGTTGTGACCAGTTCTTCCCTTATTGAAAACGCTCTTGGGAGGTTATTTACCCCATTCTCAGATATTCTGGTTGATCCATGCTGCGGAATCGCATATAATCTCGTCCCTGGTCTGAAATCCTTCTGTCGAGTTGAAGGTGGTGCTACCGAAGCACTGCCCAGGCCAATCAGGATCCGTGGCGCTGTTCCGCCAGCAAACTGCATTGCAGGGATTACTTTTGCCCGATGCAATTGCCGTCTTGTTGCGGATATTGTACTCGGCACATTTATCGATGCAGTCATTGAGGCTCGCGACAGGTTGGTTGACGAGGTTGACTGGGGGCTGTTTGTAGCTTCGCGCGCAAATTTTGCGAAATTGGTATGAGTCGGAGCCTTTTCCGTTGTATATAGTGTTGTCAGACGAAGGGCAGTCGCGGTAGAGCGTCTGCGTTGGGCTGACCACCTCGGTAGAGGTGACGAGTGTCGCGGGTCCTCGAGTAACTGATGTGGGAGTTGCTGAGCTGGCGCTTGAGGACACGCCTGATGAGCTGGAGGATATGGCCTCTCCTGAGGATGAGGAGCCTCGAGACTTTGAGCTTCTGGCAACAACCAGGCCCGCTGCTACGCCAGCTGCTACAGCGGCCAGTAGAACAAACAGGAGGACGAGAAGAAGGGCTCTGGTGCGCGTGAACTGGATGCTGCACAGATTTTTTTCTCGCCGTGATGGCGGCTTTGAGCCATTGAGATGCGAGGATTCTTGTTTTTTGGTGGTGATTTGGGTAAAGATCTTCTCCTCTTGCACTGGAATCGGCCCCGTTGCCGCTGTGCCGTGATAGACTTCAAGATCAGAGTATCCGATCGCCATGGGGCGCAACACCTCAGTGTCTGAGGACGAGAAGCCGGTGAGCCGATGCAAGTTGCAAACTTGAAATTTGCCTTTCGATGTCTACACGAAAAAAAAAAAAAAGACAAGAGTTGCGTACGATGCTAATATAGAGATGCATTTAGCTGTAAGCGCCCACTTCCTTCAACCGCCAGGCGGTTGTGGGGGCGTTGTGATGATTGGACGAAAGCATCAGGATTCGAATTCTCCTGGCAAGAACGTGTTTCAGCTGCTCGAGATCCGCTGAGCTCAGCATTGTCGCAAAGTGGCTCTGACTATTCTGCGATTTTTCTGTTTCCTTCCTGCATGGGTGGTGAACTTGCCTGTCATGCTACTGTAAACGTCAAAGTCGCACAAACTCATCGATTCGGTGTACTACAAGATGTTATTAGGCCTGGCTATGTCACACGACGGAATCTAAGTAGCTTCCAAGACTGTGTCTGGACACAGGGGCGGAAGACAGACAGTCGTACGGCAACCCGTGCGGGGGCCCGCATGGCTGCATAGACTATTGGCGGCTGCATGCATGGAATATCGACGCCGTTGGGAACGGAGCTGGCACGCAATTGAAGCCCTGAGCAGCTTGCACTGGACTGGCAACACTGGTATCAGTAAGGGGGACCCCAACTGCGACGAGTCGGGGTCGAATACGGATCATAGCGTGCTCGGCGGCGGTGTCGCTCACTGCAGCTGACGTGGTTGCGCGGAGTTGAGCGGCGCGGAGCTATTGGATGCATGTCAGTAAGAAAACTTGCGAATGTTTGCGAACGGGCGCGATAGCAACATACTTTTTGCGACCCTGACAAAACTGCAGTCAGCGGCGCCGGCACGCATGTGACAATTGGCACATCCGCCGTTCACTTGAGGGAGCACGACACATTGCTCGAATGCGCCGCTACCACAGCGACATCTGTCGCAAGCGCTGTCACCCTCGCGAACCTCGCCATACATCTATCTGCTTGATGGCATCGCACTGCGTCTGGGCCACGCTGCCAATATCCAGCTGGGTCGAGCCAGCATTAATATGATACCTTATTTTCCGTTGGAGCAGGCGACGAGGCTACATGTATGTCAGACGGCAAAGCCAATGATCGGTGGCTAGAGCTACGCTATCTGTCGACGTAGGTAATAAACACCGTGCTGTGAATCAGAAGAAGAGTGCCAAACGAATGCAGAACTCCGGCCACATTCTCAGGCACTTATTCTTCCTCTGTACTTTAACAGTGTTCGTGTCAAAACCTCGGTTGATCTACACCCACACTTTGACATGTTTGACATACTGGCGCGTCGGACCCACGGCCTAACGCCACAGGCTACCTAGGTACCTAGGTAGGTACGGTAGGTAACGCCACAGGCTAACGCTGCGTGCGGTGCGCTGAAGTGGCAGCTACAGTGGGTTGTAACAGTGGCTTCACGAACCAAACTTACGTCACGGGGCTGCTGATGCAGGTTGCAACTTTGCGACAACACATTCCTCATATTACTTTTCGCAAACGTCCATCAGTACAGCTCGGATGGCTTCGAAATTCGTCGCCGAGCATGTTTAATACAGCAAGCCGCCCGCTGCCGGTGGGCTCCATCATCTTTTCGATCCTTGCGCTCCTCGTCGTGTCCCTGGTAGTCCTGCTCATTCTGCGGCACTACCTGCCGCTTCGGTCGACGCCAGGTTTCTACTTTGTGCCCATCTTCTTCGCGATATGGCTCCCGTCCGTCATTGTGCTTCTGGTGCCGATAGACCTGGCCTCGAGTGCGGGGACGGATGATGACGGGACGCGAGGTATTTGGCTTCCCGAAAGGGTCATTCTCGTCTCGTGGAGAATAACATATTGGCTGACATTCGCCTTGACTTGGTTTGTATAAGACGGCGTTCAACCATGTATACTTCTAACATGATGCAGGTTTATCCTACCGATCCTTGGCGAATACTCCGACGCTGGATATCGCGAGCCACACGACCGACTGATGTACTCGCTCCGGTCGAATGCCCAGTTCTACGCCATGGTGCTGGGTTCTGCCATAGTTGGGCTAGCGTACGTGGTTATTCGATATGACGTTACCTATGATTCCCTCAAGGGTGTCGTGATGGCTTTGGCCTACTGCTGGGGCTTAGTCTTTGCCATCTACCTCATGGGACACGGACTGGTCTCCATACCGAAGCGCCTGATTCGCGACGCCAACATAGCGAACAAACTACGCCGTCTTCAGGCAAAAGCGCCAAAGGCATACGAGAAAATGGAAGATTCCGCGACGTCGTTGGAAGAGATTGAAGCCCAAGTTGTGGAACTCGCGAAGCGCAAGATCGGCAGCGCCGCCGACTTTCGCGACTGGATTGAAGAGCTGCAAGAAATTGCCAACGTTTCTGAGACGAGACCGCTCGCCACGGCCTTTGATGTGAACACCATGGACCGAACTGTTCCCAATGTCATGACGTCAAAGTACCTGGCCGACCTCACACGACGGCTGATCCGGGCCAAGCACGCGAGGTCACGTTTTGTTCTCGAGTGGCATGATTTGGTAAACGAGGCCGGAAAAACGCAGGCAATTTTGGATTCCGCGGCGTCAAAAAAGCTCGATTTCGGAGACGTTTCACCTCACGCGGAGCTATGGGATAAAGCCAAGCTCCTCAACCCTTACACTAGGTATCTATGGCACTATCAGATCGCGCCGTACATGCAGATTGGCCTGGGAATACTACTCACCTTGGCTTCTGCATGCGTTGTTTGGTCTGAAGTAGTCAAGCTGCCCTTTCCCCACCTGTCAGTCATCCGTCTGAGTGTTATTCATCACTGGGTTGGCGACAGGGCTGAGGTGGGCTTCGCGGGGCAAGTCATTTCCGCTTTTTGGATTTGCTACATGTGTGCAGCGGCGCTCGTGACCATGACTGAAGTCAAGGTGTGGCGTGGGCGAGCCCTCGTGCGGCGCAACACTGGCTATGAAGCCGCTTTCTGGTACGCGATGCAGGTCGCCAAGCTGACCGTACCGCTGTCCTACAACTTCTTGACCTTTTTGTCCAGCGAAGTGTACACAAAGACTGCGTTCTACGGTTTTCTAGGCCGTCTGGTTGACTTTACCCACCTCGGTCGCTGGTTTGACGACCTGTTCCCCTACTTGTTGATCATCCCGGTCATTGCGGCCACGTTTGGCCTATACGGCAAAGTAAAGCGATTATTTGTCGGCATCGACTTGCTCGACGACGACGAAGAAAACTTGACCGGCTATGGCACGGGCTCATGGCGCGAGGGGCGTGACTTGATCGAGAGAGAGCTGGGTGGCGAGACCATTCGCCGTCGCGACGAGTTGTTTGCGAGACTGGCCACCGCAAGCAGCGGCAGCGGCCGGACCGACCCTGTTCTCTCGGTGCCGCCTGGCGAAAGCGCTTCGCGGGGCGCACCGCGGACTATTGGCGTAGGCTCGGCTACAGGTGGCCAAAGAGCGGGCGCCTCTGCCCGACGCTACTTGGACGATCCGCCCGAGGACGATGGCCTATTTCAAATCATCGGTCACCGCATGAAGAACACGGTGGATAATATAGAGACGCCTAAATGGTTCCAGGACCTGGGACAGGGCTTCAAGAAGCCAAAATGGATGGGCGGCGACGGTAATTCCTCCAGTAGCCAAGAAAGAAGCGATATACGGAGCTGGTTCGGCGGTAGTAGCAACAACAGCGAGGGTGGGCAGATTCGATTGTAACACTAGACTCGGCATCTTTCCTGGCTCTTTTTTTAAGCGAAATAGACTTCTATATAGGCACACTAATATCAAAACCTCTTATACACATTGAGAACCACAATCGTGTTCCTTGCCGGTACAAGATTCAGATGTATCAAAAGCCAACTCACTACTCTTCTTCAACGACAATGACATCGTCTTTCCAATCCTTCCATTTCTCCTCCGCCGTCACCGGCTTCCGAAAGCGAATCCACCGCGCACCACGCAGACTGTAATACCCCGACACCTTCTTCATCGCACGCCCCCAGCCCATCCGCTCTCTGCGCCACGCGCTTGCCGCCCGCACCATTCTGTCCCCATCGGCGACGAAGCCGCCAGCAGCCGCCTCCTCCGCCGCCGCCGCTACACCACCACCACCATCACCGTTACCGCTGCTCGTCGGCATCTCGATCCAGACCTCTGCCAGGCGCAGCCGATCCAGCCAGACAAAGCCCAGCGCCGCCGCGACCGCCACGACGCTCGCGACCCAGAATACCCAAAACTGGGCGCCCCCGGGTCCGTAGCGGCCCTCGACGGCGAGGATGCCCGAGACGATGCTGACGGGGAGCAGCGCTGCCCCGAGGTACGCGATGCGGTCGAGGCTGCGCGTGTCAGAGTCGGGATCGGCGGCGGCGGCGAGAGCAGCAGCGGTGGCAGGGGGCGTAGAGGGTGGACGGGCGGTGGCGGTGACGGCGGCGGCGGCGGCGGCGGCGAGCTGGATGCGCAGCTGCACCCGTTGCGAGAGCTCCGTCCATGCGGCGGCTGCCGGGCCCACGTGCCGGAGGCTCTGGCGGGTGCCGCGGCGCATGTTGTTCTTGTCGTCGTCGTCGAGATTACGCTCGAGCGCGACAGCATAACTCCAGAGCAACCGCGCGGCGGTGTCAAGCGGCAGGGCGCCGAGGCGGGCTGTCCAGCGGTCGTGGACGAGCTCGGCGAGCATCTCTTCCAGGGCAATCACCTGCTGCTGGGCATGGTCGATGGCGCTGGCGAGTTCGTCGTCGAGTGTCACGGTCGAGGCTGGCCCGGCAAGCTGCGAAGCGCCATGCCGTCTCGGCGCCGCCGCGCCGTGCTGCAGCGCCGAGCGTCTCGTCGCTGCGTCTTGGTGCGTCAGCCTCGGTGCCTCCACTTTGCGTCTCCTCCTCCTCTTTCGCTCGGCCTCCTCCTCCTCCTCCTCCGCCTCCCCCACGAGCGGCGTATCAACCAAGAGAACCGGGACCTGCGAAGACGGCCACAGCGCCGCTCGCCGTATCATCACGCTCTTGCCCCCATCCGTCGTCGTCTCCTCCGGGTATCGCGCCGTCCACCACCGCGCCGGACCTCGCGGACGACGACACGGCGCGCCCTGCTGCGCAAACGCTTCGATAAACGCGCTGTCGACGCCCGCGAGGTTCCGCAGCGCTTCGCTCACGTCGGTATCGAGGACGGCGTCGCCTCGGAGAACGATGAGCTGCTGGACACCGGACGGCGGCCCGCCGAGGAGCTCGGACCTCAGGTTGTCGACCGTATCGAGGCGATGCCGGTGGTGAGGATGCGGTGCGGTCCACTCGAGGACGTAGCCGATGGGCGTGATGTTGTCTTTGGTGTCGGGGGAATGTCGCGACGACGGCTTGCGACGACGTTGCGACATGCTGGGCCTTTTCGGTTTCGTGGACTCTGATAAAGTCGTTTCTTGCAATCTAGCGTGAATGATAGATATTTTCTGGACTAATTTAATGAGTTGCATCATATCAATTCGAAAAGTGCATAGCCATAGTATATAATCACTTCAGCCCGCGAGACCACATGTGCGCAATGGTCACGCAGCTATAGCAAAGCTGGGCATCTCTTGTCAGCTCTAAATCAGGCGACCAAACGATGGGCATAATTTTTCTCGACTGACCTGCAACTGCGATTTTCCTTCTTGACTGTAAAGGGCCATTGCTGTGGTGAGTCGCCGCTCTGCGATGATCATACGCCAGGTTTAAGGTGGTCATGCGCCACCAGCCCAGTCACCATGTAACTTTTTTTTCTCGCTGGAGACAACAGCTGATGGATGTCTGTTTAATTGAATGAAAGAAGCACCGGCACGTTTCGACAAAAAGAAGCAATGTTCACATGCGTATCAATAGATTCAGATGTCTCTGCAGAAAAATGGCAATAACTAGGAAAAACGATACTCAACAGGAAATATCAGTTCCCATCTTTGCCTCTCCATTTGTTCCCCAAACGCCGTTCCGAAAAAAAAATGAACAAAAAGTTCGCAATCGCCGCTGCCTTTCTTCAAAGTTTGCAAGGAAACCAAAAGTATTTGCTACAATGTGATAATCATGTCAAAGAGTTTTGGTTCCAGGGTTGGCAGAAGCGCAGCCATGGCGAGTGGGAGCACCCGGACAGCGCCATGGCGCCAATCTATCGAGTCGTGACGAGTGCGGCTCATGAGTAAAGACAGAAAAACAGGCTGAAAATACATGAAAATGAGAGTTAAATGCAACTCTAATCCCTCGATGCAAAGTCGTGTACACATATCTGCTAATAAGCTAGCCTAGCGGCGAGGTTCTGTGGCTATATTCGGATTCCGTTTTGATAGCTATGATGCTCGTGATGACCGTGATCGTCGCCGTCATGGTGTAGAGTGACGCTGTTGAACTCGAGGAACGGGTCTGCGATTTCGTTGCCTGGCGTGGACAGTCCACTATCCAGAGGGACACCTGGTATCTGCCTGGCACCGCTGATATCGACGCTTTCGCTCTCCTTGACGTTTCGGAAATTGACAGTATCGATGCCGCGGCCAGCATGAGGAACGATGGGGGGCTTCATATGTCGAATGAGTGCCCACTGTGTGGTACGGAAAAAGGGGTGAACTTTAATGTCGGAAGCGCCAGCTCTAGCTCCTAGTCGGCGGTTCTCATCCTTGATCAGCAGCTTACGGATAATAGACTTGCAAAGACTACAGACTGTTAGCAGGAGAATGAAGATGGTGCGGTCAATGTGTGAGCTGGCGCAATGACTTACTTCGAGATTTGTGGAGCACCAGCGTGGTCAGGGAAAGGAATGTCCTCGCGAAGAATGTTGGCAAAGGTGGCATTGCGATTCTTGCCCTTGAAAGGAGTTGTGCCGTAGAGCATTTCGTAGATAAGAATGCCGAGGGTCCACCAGTCGACGGCACTTGTATGACCGCTACCTTTAATAACCTCTGGCGCAATGTACTCCTCGGTGCCGACGAATGAGTTTGTGCGGAAGTTGGCGATGCAAGATCTTGTATCGATGGTTGGAAGAGCGTCGGTTCGCGCACCATTCTTGCCGACAATCATGGTTGGTTTGCCGCCGAGGTCAGACTGTTTTGACAAGTCGAAATCCGAAAGCATAATGTGCCCGGACTGATGCAGAAGAATGTCTGCGAAATGAATTAGGCGGATGTTGGAAATGGCAGGGTGCAATGCGACTTACTTTCGGGCTTGAGATCTCTGTAGATGAAGCCCATAAGATGCAGATATTCCAAAGCGGCCGTGACTTCGGCAGCGTAGAATCGCGCGTCATCTTCGGGAATGCACTTTCCGGGGCGAGTCTGGAGGGCGCGGAAGAATTCGCCACCGCTGCAATACTCCATGCATAGATAGAGATGATCCTCCGACTGGAAAGAGTGGTAGAGGGTGACAATGAAGGGGTGGTTACTTGTGGCCAGAATTTCTTGCTCAGCGAGGGCTCTCTTGATCTTGTTGCGTTTGATCATCTCTTTCTTGCTCAAGACTAGAAAGATTGTTAGCTGATTGCAAGGGGACGGACCGAAGATGAGGCATACCCTTCATGGCATATAGACGATTGCTCTTCTTTTCACGGACGAGATAGACTTTTCCAACGTCTCCCTTTCCGATAAGCTTGATCTTGTCAAAGCTGGAGGGACTAACTTCAACGTTGCGGACCTTGATGGAATTGGAACTATAGGTTCGGCGGAAGGCGGCATTGGCAGTTTTTGGTAGCGGAAGGGCGCCGAGGGTATCTTCATCATGCAGACCGGCGGCGTGAGCTTTGGCTTGGGCGGAGACGGAACCGATGAGACCAAGCCTGCCGGAGTCGGGGTTGTGAAAGACGGGATCCTTGCCAAGCTCGGCGGTACCCGGACGCTCGCCGCCCATGGCGACGACCTTGTCGGCATCACTGACAAACATGCCTTGAGCATTGGGGGCGCTAGCGACTCTTCGCAACCTGCGCGCGAGCTCCTCTTTGGTCTCGGCGGTGGCGTGTTGCTCGGGACCGCCCGCGGGACCGGAGACGTGCAGCGAGGGAGTATCGGGGGGGCTAGGGGGCACGGAGCTGTCGTTATGATGGCGGAGGCCAGGCTGGCCCTGATGGACAAAGTAAGGGTTGGCATGAGCAGTCGGGCTCATGGCCTCGTCGAGCTGGTTACCCTCGCTAGCGACAGTATGGGCGCGAAGTCGGCCGACGGTATTGCTAAAGAACTTTGTGTGGCGCGAGGGCTTGGGACTAGCAACATTGTCGTGGGCATTGGCTGTGGTGACTGTGTTGTTGGAGGAGCCGACCGAGGTCGAGGTACTCTTTTCCTTGTCGCCAGGCGCCGGGCTGTTGATACGAAAGAAGTTGCGTAATCGATGGCTCACCTGGCCAGAGGAGCCATTCGTATTTTTGGGAGGCATGGTGAGGGCGGTCGGAGTGAGGAGATTGGTAGATCTTGGACGGGGTCAGAGTGACGCATTCAATGCCATGGCTTGGCTGGAGGTGAGAAAAAAGGGCGGAAGGATAACGGTGATGTGCTACGAGCCGAAGCAACAGCGGCAGGGCAGAGCCAGTGGGAGGGACAGGGACGAGAAGAGGAACGGGAATCGAATGATGATGCCAACGAGAGGGGAGGGTGGAGATGGACAGCGACACAAAACGTGGGTGGCACCAGCGGTTCAAGTTGCTGAGCAATCAGTGCTGATGGCAGTGGTGGCCAGTTGTGATTCCGAGCCTGACAACAGCCTACCGTCCCTGCTAAAAGTGCCAACCTACAGGCTCGAGCAGCCCCTGAAAAAGAGAGTCCAGTTGGCACTTTGGCACTGCACCTGGGAGCCAAATACCTGACCTACCAGAGCCAATTCGCTGTGGGGGCTCCTGGGGAGCCGGGCCGTGGCTGGCCTTTGGCTGGGGTTGCCCCACGGAATGAGGTCAAGGCTGCCTTGCCTTGAGTTGCAAGTACTTTGTACCTATGGTGTGAATAGCGTGTACCTCTCACACCGCATAGCCAGGTGGCTGTACATTCAACACCAACCCATAAACTGCCTTGCTATATGGCACATGTATTCGGTTCACCATATTGAACTCCGGGCTCGTCAGTCAACAGCGCCGAAAATTTCATCTCCCTGTCCAGTTGTTGCACACTGGCAGATGCTGGGCAAGGCGCTAGGTAGCTCAGTTTCTCTAGTGCGTGTACGTATTCGCTATGCCAGCAAGTGCCTCATTGATCAAGCGGTATCAATTTCAACAGAATCCAAACACAGGCAAATATCAAAAATCTACATCTTGTACCACTCGCACTTTATCCTTGAACGACTCGGTAACCAAAAAGAAAAGTCATTTTCGACATGCTTGACCCTTTCAGTGAGTGACCCAAGGGCCCAGCCCCAGTCGATACCTACGTAACCTGGACCCTGTTCAACGTGGCTGCGCTGCCAAGCGATCAATATTGCTTCGAGAAGTCTGCAGCTGCAGCTCCCACTCGGCTGCTTTGAAATACGACAACCAATTGTCCGGGTCAGTCTCCCCATGCACCCCCATGATACTAATTACGGAGTACAGATTATAGTTAGTTGGAAAGCCTGTCAACCTGTTGTTACTACCAAAGAGTCGCTTGCTTCCCATCCGTCCCGTGTCACCCCATTCCATCACGTCTCCCCCCTTGGCGCTAGCCACTGGCGAGCAAGTCACTGGTTCAGAACAAATATTTGTCTAACCTAGATCATAATGAATAATGAAGCATTTCATTTCTCTGGCGGCCTCTGCCAATTTTTCTCTTCCAGGGGCGTCTGGCCGAGGGCGCGTCAACAGGCAGTGCTCACCTATCAAAACCACCCTTCTCTACCGTCTCATAGCATGACCAGCATTGTCTCACTCATTACGTGCATTAACGCCGACGAGAAAGCATGCGCACTCCACATGGCAGGCTTGCCACCTTTTTATTCATGTTATTACTGCCAGTGCCGAAAAGTAATTCATGTTATCTCGAATTGACATGACAACCTTATGCATCCAAACTTTTGAGCTATGGCCTTGGCTTTTAGCGGCCTGCCATCCCAACGGCTCCCGGGCTCTGTGCGCAATACCTTAGCCTCCGCCAGTCCCTAATCCCTCTCCGCCTTATTCGCCTTGCCGCGTAATGTGCTTGGCGACAACCTCAGCCAACCAAGCCAGCCTTGCGATGATTTCGGAAACTTTCCTACAAGGCCTGCCTGTCTAATCTCGGTCGAGTCGGACCGCGCTTCCACGGTCTCTTCTATTGTCAGCCCGGACGAGGCCCTATGAGTGAAAGAGAGGAAAATACTTCTATAATGATCATTTTTAATTCTCGAAATAATACAACTATCGGCCTATAGGTAGGATAGTAGGTCTAGCCTGGTCTTATTGAGGGGAGACTGCCTTGCAGGGCGTTGCATCATCTAGCCCAGCTATTGGCCTCACGTATATACGCGGCCCATCAATTCGGCATTGGTTCCGTAATGGACACAGAAGAAAAGTGAAAAATCATCTCAAAATGTTGGAGCCCATCTAAACTCCGAACCCATGTGCCTTGTATGAATCGCCGCAACGCCTGATTATCTTCGACTGCGTCATAGGCCTGACCCCATGTCCTCGTCTTCAGACGCGTCCGATGACTGTGAATCCAAGTTTTCATCTCGCCGCAAAATAAGCTCTTTCAGCTTCCTCCTATTTGTCCTGTACGTCTGTAAATCTTCCACTAATTGATCTCGCGTCGAAGGCGTCACTTGGTTACCCTCCTTGTCTTTTAGAAAATCGGCCACAGCCTCCGCGTCTGCCTCGAGCTTGATGCTCCAGTTCCAGCTGTTTTTCGGTCCATCTCCAACATGCCAAGTCATGGGCACCAGGTGCACCTGCTCTAGGTGCGTCGCCAACGCCACGCCATCAATTTGCCGCGCGACTGATTGCTCGCCGCATTTACCCCATAAGCAGCAATGCTGCTCTCGAGGTTTTAGGTGAATTGCATCGACATGTCGGCGAAGTGTGTCCATGTTATGCAAGTTGGCCTTGCAGCCGGACCACTCACACAGAAACCCTATAAATGTTGGCTTCAGCGCCTGATAGAGCTCTCTCGGCGTCCGTGGATCAGGCCGGGCGACAGTCCTGCGACGGCGCTTCAGCGAGTAGTTTGGAATGTGCTTTTGCCGGCCAGACCGGCCAACGTGCACAACTGATCGAGATCCAGCGCCACCTCTCATTTGGCCATAGGACATGCCGGCCTTTGATCCCTTGGGGCGGCCTCTGCTCCTACGAGGTGGCTCATCTTCCGTCGTAGCCGTTTCTAAATTCACGTTAGCCATTCATATCCGCTGCAAATGTGTGACCTTTTCTTGCCTGTGATTGCCACTTCATAGTCGGCGTACTCGTCCACTTTGATGGGCGACGTCCTCAGTACCACGGACACCGGAGATTGTGCCGACAGAGTTGGTCTTTCGTGCATGGGCTGTGCAACAGGGGTACTTGCAGCGAGGGCCTTTTGAGCAACTGCATCCTGATATGCAGGACCAGGTATGGCGGCGAGGCGCGATGAGTTGTCGACGTCAGCGTTGGGGTTGCTGTCTACCTTGGTAGGTGTGGCGTGTGCTCCTGGGAAAGGCGCGTAGTGCTCACTCATCTCCATGACCGCGCCACCAGCATCGCGCTCGTGACTCGAGCAGGTCCCAATCTGGCAATGCTCGCAGGTCGAAAATTTGACCCCAAAGAAATGACTAGACTGCGAATTTTCAAGCGGGCAGCAAGCTGTGCGGCTGGCGACTTGGGCCAAGCAAAACAGGAAGCTTGATGGTTGGAAGTGGTCTAGCCCTGCGTTTGTAGCCCATGCTAGGAGCTTGCACGGTCGCCGGCCGCCGGCCGCCAGCCGCACCGTACCAGTCGGCGTTTGGAAAACGAGACTAGCCAGCCAGCTACGGCGGTTGGGTGGCCCCAACACCAGCCTCGCATCCACTGCGAATATCCTGCAGCCTGCAGGCTGCACAGCTCTAATTCCCGCCCGGCGAGCGAATTTCTTCAACTTAATCATCCACACCGACCATCTCAGATCGTTTATGACCGACTTTACTAGCTCGGTCTGACTCTATGGCAGTCAACTCATCGCTAGCGCCGAGTGCATCCCACGTTCGCAGGTGCAATGGTGTTTGCTAGTCAAGGACACTGCGATTCCTTTGTATTGCAATGAGAAGCACAAGAACAAAACAGCATGCTTCCTGGCTTATCAATCTAGGTCAATGCGGCTCCACGGTCCCATATGCCGATCGTCGACCGGCATCATGCGTCCGGAAGCTGTAGCCTAGTCGCTAACAGGGCTGGACCGCTGACCGGGTACGCCATGCGTACGAATTCGAGTCACTTTTGCACAAAGAGTCACTGCACACGTATCCCCTTACCAGGCTGACGCCAGACTCTACGTGTCGAATTGCGTCTGTAGGTCACTGCAGACCGCCGCCCTAGTGATAGGCATCACTGTCATATGTTACTCATGTTCGTGGCTGCCCGAGCCAGTGGCATTAACGCCCTAAGTATTCTCGCCCAAGCTTTCCATGGCATCCCATCGCAAATGCCGGATTAGGCATTTCATTGGTTGTCGATCGCTCCAGTCTGCAGACTGTGCCAAACTCATAGCTGCCTGTTCTGCCCTGCCGACATCCGAGCCGACACAAGTAATATCCGCAGAGCCCCAGGCTTCTCTCTTCAAGTTCCTCTTCACTATCTTTCTTCCAATGCTTCCCAATGAAATCATGTACCATGCCGAGGAAATCTTACAAGGTTATATCTCTCAAAATACGGCCTAATTTCACCACTGGAGGTGACGTCTCACACCTATCGGTCACTTATACCATCCCCAGATCCGCCCTGGCAGACCCCAATCCTCATCTAAACTACACAACTTGGTTTGGCAAGTTTGCCGCCCATCCATACTTAGAGTCCGACATATTTGCGACAGATAGCATCGGAAGGTTGCCATTTATATTTGTGGATGAAACGAGCACCCTACAACAATGGCGTCTCGGCAGAGATCCTGTCAGCGACTTGACCATGAAGATGGAGGTTCTCCCTCGCAAGGTTGATATTCATACTGCTTCTGGTCCGAGGGTCGACTTGCGCTCCGATCAGGGAGGCCTCATTGGCACAGGTGGCTGGTTCTTGCCCCAAGTTGACCAAGACGACTTTTATATCCATACTGTAGAATGGGATCTGTCCGAGGCGCCCGCAGGAACGCGCGCCATCTGGACTTTTGGAGAGGGACCATATCGTATCGAGCATCTTGGCACCATCGACACCTTTGCACGCTCTGTTTTTATGGTCGGGAATGTACAAAGTTCCCCTGCAAGGCCGCAATTGCGCCCTTTACCTGGCACGTGCACTACCTATTGGTTTGGAGACCTCCCGCCGATTCTTCAACGCCTCAGAAGCTTCAATACAGATTTATACACGCCCATGGCAGACTTTTTCCAGGACGTGGATAGCTCGTATCGTATCTTTATTCGAACCTCTCTACAAGGCTGGGGCGGTTCTAGCTTTCTCGTCAGTTATATCCTCGAATATAGCGACTCCATATTAGAAGCAGCGTATGATGAAGTCATGAGCCTGCTTGCACATGAAATGGTACACAGCTTCACGTCTTTATGTAACGAGGACGATGGTACAGGAAATGATTGGTATTTCGAAGGTGCGCTCTATTTTTCACTTGCTTCCTTGTTGTGGACGCTTCGACTAACACCGGACAGGTATCGCCAATTATTACGCAACCTTTCTACCATACCGCTTCGGCCTCGTCTCGCCGTCTTATGTGACTACGAGGGTTAATGGTAGCTTGTGCAGATACTACACCAACCCGGAGATTAACATTCCTATGAGCGATGCGCTGAAATATTTCTTTACATCCTGGTATTCCAAATGGATACCATATGATCGTGGATTTGTGTATCTCCTTTTAGTGGATGATCAATTACGGCGCCTACCAGGTGAGCCAGATTCCAATGGCTCTGGTTTGTTCGACCGGATAGTCGTGGATCTCTCAGTGAGATGGAGGCGAGGCGAAAAGGTTCAGCAAAAGGATTGGCTGGCGAGCATTGGGTACTTTTTACAAGACAGAGTCGAGTGTGCTGCTCAGCTGCGGGCCGTCTTGACGGGCAAACCCAGCATCAGCCTCGCAGGCCGGCGTGTTGGATCGACGAAGAATATGCTTCGCGAAACTAGACAGTACGTCCTTCAGTTTGGATACAGCAGACCGTCGGTGACGAGTCGTGTTGTTGAGGGCGTGGTGCCTGGGTCGCATGCAGAGCTTGCTGGGCTACGAAACGGCGATGTGATTTTACGAACAGGGTCTACCACCGAGGCTGCGCAGGGTTCTCTCACAAAATACTTTGTGCTCGTTGAAAGGCATGGAGAAGAGTTGACCGTCGAGTATTTCCCCCGAGGAGATTTGGAAGTGTCGTGTTGGCAATTGGAAAGCTACAAAGAGGACTTTGTACCCGCGAGTTTTATACGTTAGATTGGTTTTGGATGTTTGATCAAAGAGATGGGGGGTTGGGCCTGCGCACGAGACTATAATATCATGGCATGCAAACTTGTTTGTCTTTTTCATACTCACTCATGAACCTCCTTCAAACTCTTGAGATGACCGTAGTCATCTTTCTAGCCTTTCGAGTCTGCTGTTCTTGCAGCCAAAAGGCGCTACGCTCGGCATCAGCCCACCACTTGTCGAACCGAGTACGAAGCCAGCTTTGCCGCCTGAGTTTTGACGTTGTGGCCAGGCATGCGCGAACTTTGGATCAGGAAGCACCCCGTAGACTTGAGTCATCTGCGGGAGAGCGTGTCCCATTACTTCACCAAAGCGTGTCTTGTGGTGTATGGGATTCATTGCCCGGAGACTGCGCTTGTGCTACCGCTCAAGTCATGGTTGATGATGCACCGAAACGTATCAGGTTTTCACCTCCGACGATGGCGATCACTTGCAAAAACTAAGAAAAGGAGAAAAGAGCAACGCTGGAATGGCTATCCGTGGGCTTTCGGCAATGAAAAAGACGCCATCGGGCAGTTGACGTGATCAAGCTTCTGGCAAAACACCATGTAAGTGCACTATCCGCGTCTCGTTCATTCAAGCAGGATACTGACTGATCGATAACCGTTGGCAGGCGTGAAAGCTGACTCGGATGGCGTATCGAAACTACTTATGTAGAATCCGTCATGCCAATTTACAACGGGTTCGTCGCGCCCTTGGTTTAAGCTTCAGGCTCACGACATCGCGGCGCTGCGGGGAATGCCGAACTCCCCGAAGAGCTAACACAAATAGACTAACCATCTCCAAACTTTGGGTGACATTTTACGTTTATCGAGAGAACAAGCCGCACGCAACATACAAGATCAGCAAACCCCATATTAATCAGCGAAAATGATACAAGAATCCTTAGCGATGGCTCTATCAAGGCAGCATCGCGCTGGCGCCATTTGTCGTCATCTTGTCTATTTGTAAGCATCGACCTACAAAACCACCGCTCTGATACACTATATATGTATACCCGAGTTGTCCTGTTTTAATCAATATACCTTTATTCGACTTGAGCTATCTTGTTTTCCCTTCCCGAGTAAAACCAACTAGCCAAACTACCACATCACCATGAGCAAGCCTACATTCTACGCCATCGTCGTCGGCGTCGGTTCCGGCACCGGCGCCTCGGTCGCGCGGCTCTTTGCCAAGGGCTATCCCATCGCGCTGCTCGCGCGCAAGGAGTCGAGCTACGCGCCCGTTGTAGAAGCCATCACCAAGGCGGGCGGCACCGCCATCGGCATCGCCACTGACGTGTCCGACGCCGCCGCCGTCGACGCCGCCTTTGCCCGCATCGCCAAGGAGTGGCCCGAGGGCAAGCTCGCCGCCGCCGTGTATAATGCCGAGGCCGGCTTTTCCTACAAGCCCTTTCTGGAGCTAACCTCTGAGGACATTGACCGCAGTCTCAGCACCGGCGCGTACGTATTTCTTTCTTGTTAAAATAGAAAAAAAAAAAAAATGGAAGAAAAAATTTGCTAATGACTGAAAATAGAAAGGGACTATTCTATTTTGCGCAAAAGACGATCCCGCAGCTGCTCGACGTCGTCGCCGCCGGCCCTGCGCACCCGCCGACACTCATCGTCACGGGCGCCACGGCCGCGCTCCGCGGGTCCGTCCGGTTCGCAGCCTTTGCGGCGGGCAAGTTTGCGCAGCGCGCCATTACGCAGTCCCTCGCGCGCGAGTTTGGCCCCCGCGGCGTGCACGTCGCCTACGCCATCATTGACGGCGGCATCGACACGCCCTGGGGCAAGGACCGCGTCGTCAACGGCGGCGTGGCCGACGGCAAGATTAGCCCGGATGCTGTACGTGTTTCTGCTCAAAATCCGGCACCCCCCCTTCCTACTTCTTGTGCGAGATGGCACGCCAACTAACACGAGAGCCCTTATAGATTGCCGAGAGTTACTGGTATTTGCACACACAGCCTAGATCGGCATTTACACAGGAGATTGAGCTGCGTCCATTTGTGGAAAAGTTCTGATAGCGTCTACTTTGATAAACAAATGATATACGATACACCATAACCAATGAGAATACAAACAATTTGTAGGAATGACTGTAGGGAACGGGCCACATGATCAACAGCCGCAGCATGCACCTCTTTAAACTTCCGTCTCAACGTCTGGCTTGCGACCGTCTAGCGCCGTTATGTTTTTCACTTTGCGCGCGAGAAACTTGACCTCGTCCTTGGCAAACTGTACGTTACGCATCGGTCGCCACTGCATGAGCCCGCGCTGCTTGCGGTGCAGATCGCGGCTGTTCGAGCGGTAATCCTTGATGGCTGAGATCGGGCCGTGGCTCTTCTTGGACGCATCACTCGCGCCGGTGGCGGCCGTCGTGGTGGTCTCGAGCGACGCGCGACCGTCAGCAGTATCAACGAGGCTGCTCCCTGTCGTCGCGGTGGGCTGCAGATCCGCCGGTCCTGCTGCCGCCTGGCTAGTGATGGGAAGGGGACTATCGCTGGTATCCTCCTCGCTATCCGCATCGTCATTGCCTTGTTCATACTCGTCTTCGTCGTCATCACCATCCCCGTCCCCGTGCTTCCTACCAGCCATGGCTTGCGAGGGGTCTTGACCAAAGGCATTGGACCAGTCAGTGCCATCCTTGGCTAGCCACCTCTTGCGCTCTTGTTCGCTGGCTTGTGCCAGAACATCGCGTCCCTGCGTCAAAGAGTTTTCATGAAGCTCCTGAGTCAGTGGTGGAACCTCTGTCTTGACTTCCTTCTCACGGACACCCTCAGCATAGCAAGCCTCCCAGGTTTCGATTGTCTCGCGCGAGTCATTGTCGCTGACGAAGCGAATGTGGTCAGAGTCTGTGCCGGGGGAAAAGCGGCCTCGGAATCTGAGGCGGCCGATTTCTTCAATGTCAAGATCGGGTACTTGTCTGAAATTCTCCTCAGTGATGTAATTTTGTGAGAGACGCAGGGGATTATTGCATTTCCATAGCGGCACATCAAACTCTTGCTCAGTGCAGTCCGTGAGATCCTTTAGCCAGATGGCGGCGAATGCATCCGAGTGCCTTTTGCCGACGGGGTTGAACTCGAGAAAGATGGGCGACCTGTATCGGTGGCGGACAGGAAGACGTATCTTCTGGCTGTGACCATTGCCACTCACGTCGAATGTCAAGCCATCGCCCTCTCTCGTCGAGCATGAACGTCGAACGCTGGCAGTCGAGCCACCAGTACGTAAGCGCAACTTGGCTTTTGACGCTGGCGCCCAGCCCACAGCCTCGATCTTGTCGGATGTAAGCTCAAAAGTACCAATTTCCCAGCCCATTTCCGGCGGCGGCAGGCGCAGCTCCACAGACTTGAACAATAGTGAGATGCGAGCGCGGCCAAAGCCAATGCCGCCGTCCAGGGGGTACCATCGCGTAACTTCGCTGCTTGTTTGAAGAATATCCGATACCTTGAGCGGAATGACACCGATGAGCGGATCATGTTGTCGGTGACGGGCATCGCGGACCGCAACGGTGACGATTGAGGAGCGCCAGTCACGAATGAATTTCTCAGTGCCTGCGTTGAAGATGGGCTGCGAAGAGACAACTTTAGTTCGGGTTTTGTAGGCCAAATCGTCATTGATGAGAATGGTGCAGTAGGAGCTGGGTAGCTTCTTGCTTTCAGCCTCCTTTACTTCACCGGCCTCGGGGCGAGCTGGTTCATATTCCTTGCCCTTGCGATTGCCGTCTGAGCCACGAATGTTGGCCAGTTCGAGGCCGACAATTTGGTGCACAACGACACTCAAGATACCAGAGGGCCAGAGCGGGTCAGGTGGTGTGTGCAGAGCTGCTTCATTCTCGGCTGTTTGAGGCACGGCATTTTGGCGCTCGGCGGGTTCGGGCTTATTCTTGATCTCATCAGGCAGGTTGGGGTTCTTCTCATCAGTTCGCAGAGCCTTGCGGAAGAGTGTCTTGCCGAAGAAGCCAACTTCCCAGTGCAACTCGCCCGGCATGCTGCTGTCCGCATGCATTCCCTTGAGTTTGGAAACTTGGGGGAAGAACTTGCCGGGGTGTTGAATAAGCTCTAGGATACTAAGTTCGATCTTGCCCACAACATCGTCGGCCGAGGATCGGTCACTGTCCCAAAGTTCCACTGAGAGTTGCTCGTCTGCTTGAATAATGTCGGGCGTAACCAAAAGGCCACAACTTTCGCCAAAGTACGGATTAAGATCATCCTGAATGACGCGGGTGCAGAATTGTGGTTTGGAAAACTTGCTCCAGCTGATGGTAATGTACGGGTCTGAGCCACCGCCCTTGCTACCACGCTGATCCTGCTTGCTCAGATCGACTGCTTTGTTGATACGGATATACAGGACACCCATTGCCATGGTATCCTTCTTGATGTCATCCCCCGTAAGCATGCTGCTAACATCGAGGGTCAAGCTCTTCGGTGCGACATACATGGATGCCGCTGCCGAGATTGCCCAGTTGACAAAGTTGGAAATGAGTGGCAGGTTGAGAATGTTGACACCCTTTTGGATCATTGGAGTACATCCGGCTTGGACGTTTGGGACGCCCATGAGAGTGACTGTCATGGTCTTGAGGAATGGCGGGTCCGGTGTAAGCTGTAGTCGTAGGCGAGCAGTGGCCACCAGGCCTTGCAGCTCAACCCAGACAGGCAGAGGAACACCAAAAAGCCCACGGATACCCAGATAGAAGACAAGCTGCATGCCCATGTTGCGAGCCTTGGAGGCGACGTCTTCGCCAGAGGGCTTTGCGTGGTAAGCAACAGAAACCTCCATGTTGTAAAACTCGCCGGCTTGCTCCATGGCAGCCATTTCGTTGGGGTCCATGGTCTTTTCGTTTTGCTTTCGTATATCGTCCTTGATATCCTGGACATGCGAGTCTGGAAGAGCTCGCATGTTCAAAATGCGAAGCGGGTTGCTGCCCTGATGAATATCGGCAACGCGAATGTTTTCGATGATGCCGGGGACAGAAGCTGCCATAACATCTTCTAGACTACATAGCTGTTAGATCTTTCACGTGGCCCACGACAAGAAGGTGTGTCTGTGTCTGGAAATAAACTTACGTGTCACCAACAGCAGCAAAGACCTCGGGATTGATAAGCCCCCAAATGATGCCGATGGCGGTATTCAACCACTCCACTGATTCAGGTATGAGGTTTACTTTGGCCGTCTCGCCACGCTCTTTCTCGCTGGACCACTCAACATCACGGCCCTGGCGAATGAGCTCCTTGCACCAGAGAAAGACACCAGACGCGACGCACAAGCCGAGAGGTATCAGTCCAAGGAGCTTGCCACCAAAAAACTTGCCGACAAAGATGATGGCTACGAGGATGCCAATGCACAGCCCATTGGCGCGTTTCTCGAGGCTCTCATACATGGGCTCGTAGCTGACGGACGGGGTTTTATAGAAGAGGACCGACGTCTTTTCGCTGCGAATTGGCACGTCGGAAGTGGTTCCCTCTTGCACAGGGTCGGGTGGTGCAGAAATGTCCATTGTTTCGCGGTATTCCTCACGAGACATGTCCATGGGTTTGGGGACGGTTGTGTCTTTGCCGAGATTTTCGTTTGGAATTGACATCTACAAGAATAAGGTTAATAGGCTGTCTCGTAGCCGGTATCCTGATGAGTTGATATTTACCTGAGGGTCTTCTGCAGCCTTTTGGAAGTCCAATTTGGCGTCACGAATTTGCACGTCCTTGCCAGTGACGGGATCACGCACCCAGCGGGCGTCCTTGCGCTCGGCCTTTTCGTCGTGCTGCTGATGGGCTTGAACTTCGCCGTGTTTCTCATTGCTCTTCAAATTATTATCAATCTCGGCGTCCCGCTGTTGCTTCTCGCGGTCGAGCTGAGCCATGAATTCCTGGATATTGGGGACGCGGTTGCGGCCAGAGTAGTGCTGGCCCGAAGGCACAACGTGATTCTGTTCATTCATAGTGAGAGATGCCGCGGATTTGATGCAGAGAAATGTGATGTTGTAAATCAATAATTCAAGGTCAATGTTCTTCTCTCCAGTAATGCTTCTCTTTAGAATGTTGCGTGCATTGGACCAGCAAAGCGGCAGCAGTTTTCGTTCGCAGGTAGTGTAGCTGGCGTCAGTATGAGGATCTGCTTAACCAGCAGCAACCAGAGCTTAACTACAGCAACGAGATTGAGAAGAGAAGAAGAATGGATCAAAAGATGCAAAAGGGAGAGAAATCCTCCAGAATACACAAGGGCTTGTTGTAAACGTCGCTGCCTTGGCTGGGCCAGTTCAAGCTTGCTTGTACCGTATCCATGACGTATTCACAGTGGTACCGCAGCCGCTAAAAACGGCAATCAGCATGTTTATCGTAGGCGGGGTATAGCTGAAATTTAAGGTGTGCATTTGAATTTCTGCATTGACATACTTGCATTCAAATTTAGCTAGTCAATCATGATTAGACTTTATTGCCCCCGTGCGCTAACACTCGCGCCGCCAAGGTACCACGCGCTTGACACCATCGCAAGAGCAACATCAGCACAATCGTAAAGACAGCATCGGCCCATTACCGGCGGCCAGAGAGGCCACATAGTGATGCCTGCGAATGTAGGATTCAGTGTTTAGGAAAAAGTGATCGCGAAATCCACAGAGGGCAAGTATCTGTCACGCAGAGCAGTTATGATGCAGAAAGTAGCGAGCTTGACTTCTTTTTTCCAAGGTCGTCCGAGTGAGCATCTACGCTAGTCCTTTTTAGGGATAGCGCTGAACAGCCCGCTACTGGTATTTAGAGGCACGCTGAGGCAGAACCCGTTCGCCGTTCAGGATGGAGAAGAGTACCATGCGAGCCTAAATGCCAATGAAGTCCGTTCCGGCGTCGGGAATGGTCATTTACATAGGTTTGAAGGCAGATTTCTTCTTTCAACTCTCTTTATGTTTTACCGATCCTCCAAGTCTGTTTAGCTTTACTGATTTCCACCACGCCATGGCGTCTCTAAACTATCAATTATGGCTTTGCGGTCTCGACGCGGCGGACGCCTCAGCTGTGCCAACCGTACTTTGAGGGTTAGCAGGCCATTCTTTTGGCCAAAGTATGGCTTTGGGCTGCGGGCGCTGCCTATCAAACTAAAGTACCGGGACGCAGCCACTGACGGCACCAAAGCGCCGCCACTTGAGGCCGATCATTCATTTTCAGACTGCTCTCGAGTCCTGACCGACGACGTGGAAACCGCCTCCCAAGTAGCGGGCATCTATGAGCTAGGTACGAATTCGCTTTCCTCATTCTGGGGAGTTTATTGCCGTGCCATGTGTGGCCAAGATACATTAAACCCATGCTCTATCCACCTCCGGCGTCGGGAGCATTTCTCCACCCCCCGCCTTCTGATAGATCTGATAATCGACTATTAAAGTACTAGATCTAGGTATGGAAAAATAGTATCAAGCTACTCGACTTTTACCAGCGAGGCCTCTGGCTCATCAGTCACATGCCCCATTCGCCAAAGAGAAGCGTTGCTTTTACTTAGAGTTACAGGGTCTGCCAACCTTATCCAGACTACAACTATCGCCCTTTCGGCTGACTCTCGTACCTGCATGTGGACAATGCAAACTGGAGAATTATAACAGCTTATCAATATCGAGTTAAAGAGAGACGAGAAAAGTACCGAGACTCTATACACGTGCTGGTAGCTACGGATTCGCAGGTTGTGGAGTGTAGTATTGATGACTGTGGACATATCGCACATCTGCCTTGACAGCGTTGCAGGTGACTGTTCAAAGAGAGTCAACAAGGAACGTGCGACATACAGAGAGAATAGAAATACAAGCACGTGGAAGAATAAAATCGGGTAAACAAATATGTAGCAGCAACTTGGGTGCTGATTTTGAGAGGATGGCGTAGTCAGTGGCGCTGGTGGCCCTGGTGCATGGAAGCCAACAACACAGGGCTATCCGACCAGCGCCATATCATTTTGTCTTATGGAAGGCTGTCAAAAGAGGCTTATCTAGCGATGAGTATAAAGAGTCGAGAGATCTCTCACTTTTTATTCATAGCATCTCCAACCAGCACCGTCCTGCGGCTCATGCCAGCCACTTATAACCACAATTTATTTCTTACACGCTCCCTCTTGGGCCTCCAGGCCACCATCACCCAATTATTCAACCAAAATCACGAGCAGCACTTGACCCAAATCCGCAACATCATGAAGTATTCTCTTCTTCTAGGTACAGCCATGGCCGTCGCCGCCGCCGCCAACAGCGTGACGCTCCTCACCACCGACTCGCCCGACTCGCCCGCCCACATCGCGCGCGCTGTGCTCGACAGCCACATCATGACGTGCAGCGAGGCCGCCACAGACAAGCTCATTTTCGAAGCGTCAATGTCGACCTTTCAGAATGCGTCCGAAACCGAGAACCCGAGCATGTGCATATGGACCTGGTCGGACAGTTGCTCGTGGCGGCCGCGCCGCTTCAACTTTTCCCCCAGCTGCGAGCGTCTCAACTTTGGCTACCGCAACACCAAGATGCAAGGGCGCTTCACGAGCTCCATGAAGACGCGCATTGACGACAACTTCAAAAAGGACCTGTACGAGTACTGCGCGCGGTTTTCCAGCAGCGCCAAGGGCGGCGAGTGCCGCGACATGGCCGACTGGTACGTCTTCTTGAGGCGCCGTCTTCGCTGGGCCGGCAACCCGGTCGATTTTGGGGAGGATGCGCATGACAGGCTAAAAAAGTTGGTCGAGGTTGATCTGCTGGATATCAAGGTTGATGCTGATATTGAGGGCCAAAAGATTCCCGAGTCTGAGGAGCACGGTGAAGATGTTGACGACCTCGATGCATGGTTCGGTCCGACGAGATGTTATATGAAAAGACATGGAGGGTGACTATTTCATTGCTGAGCTATGATATTAGGGCATTATCTCGAGACTATTAATATATCACACATATTTAGTTTCGTTGTATTGGCTGTTGCTTGAGCAGGTCATCTTGGCCACGACAACTAGTTTAGTTGCCCTATCGTGAAGGGAATGAAGTACAGTTTCGATCCTCGGTTCCCAGGTCTAACTGAACAGTTCTGATTGCTGTATAGCCGTGATACGTGTAGAAGGAAGCGGCTTTCCGGGCTGCCTCGATGTAGATGGGTACACGTTTCTCATCTGCCGATTGCGCGGCCCATTACATGTCCATAACGTGTTAGATGGCATCGCCATCGGCAAAATGAGTGCGAGCGTGAACGGTATAGCCATTGGTAATTATGCTTAGATGAATACTATCTAGTTCCATCGTGAGTTGAACCAAATCAGGTGCCGTACAAGCCCCTTGTGAAAGTCCAGTTTTCTGCAGAAAGGTACGGCTTTTAAAGCAAACAGCTCAAAGTCAAATCTCGCAAAGTGAGGCTGGATACGGATGGATCTACAAGTTGATGTCTGGCCAATGCTCAAAACAGCTAATCACCCAAAACATGTACATTGGCAATGCAGTGTACGCAATCTCATGCACATGACGAGAAGAGGTTGCACAAGCCGCACTACCAACACCAGACGGCAAGGTACATGGAGATGGATCTCCCGGCGGAAGGATCTATTGGTTGTTCTATCGGACTTCGGGCGTCATTTGGTGGTACGAGTCAAATATGGATGTCTCGCAGAAGCCAGGCGGGTCGTGTGCGCGGGTACGATCCCGCGTATATTAACTTGGTCCCCTTTCAAAGAGAATGGGACACGAAACCGAGCGAACAACGGGATGCAACAGGAAGTAATTACATCTGCGTCTGCCGGTAGCACAAAACGGTGGCTGGGGCGTACAAGTCGCCGCGTGCTCGGACCATTTGCAGTTCGTTACTGGGATCCTTGACCAAAAAGATTGCTGGGCGGAGGACGACGGCTCGGCACATCATCCCACAGAGGCGCCTACCTCGCCGCACAAGCGGCAAGTAGCTTCAGAAACTACCTGCCTACGCATCTATACCTGGTTAGCCGTTGTTCCAACCATTCGGCGTACTGGGCACGATATTGAGTTTACAATGCATGTTTCCTGTCCCCAGTGAAAGCATCTGCTGAGAAGAGTTGTGTTGCAGTAGTCTTCTAGTCAGAGAAGCAGCAATTGAAGAGAAAGTCGCACCGATTGGCCCTGATCCTCACTCCTGCATAGGACTAATGCATGACCATTGCTGCACGTGGCTCACTATGCATATTTTCGGCACTCGAGAGCAGTGCAGAAGCGTGGTGTAATTCGTAGTACAGCATTGTTGAGATTTGTTGCCCAGGGTCCGACTCCTGAGAACAAGGGCCTCCGATCGGAAGCCTCGACTGATGTCTCGCGTCGGCGAGATACGGGCAATTACGGACACATGATCGTGCATGCGTGCCTAAATTCAATAATCAACAGCATTATGGTAGTAAGAGTGAATTTGGCGCACCCACGCCTTGCCCAATGGCCCTCACAGATAGTCACTTGCCTGGACAAGTCCAAGGAGAGGTTCTGGTAGGGACGAAGCGATCCGGAGCAACGCCAAACGCTGTGGCAAGCGCAGGGATTATTTAGGACACTTGAAGGAAGGACTCCAGTTGCAGTCTGAATCTGAACACTTTGCTTTTTTCAAGTGAGACATTGCATCAGCTCAGTGGGTGTGGTTCAGTGCCGCGCAACCGCGGAGGCAATCCGTGAGGTGTGGGAGCAAAAAAGTGTCCAGAACGAAGACAAATTTGCTGGTTTGTCACAGAAAAGGCAGCAGAGAAGCGACAAGTGACAGTCCGTAGAAGCAACTCGGGTAGCGCGATGCACGGAAGCAGCGCCACGATGGAGGGACGTGAGTGCAAGAGCGCGCATGGTGAAATGATGGCGTTCTCAGTAACTACTGAGCGTTGTAATCCGAAGTAAACACTCGCGGTTTGTATGTTTGATTAAATGCCCGGATCGCCGTTGGTGGGCAAACTGCAGGGGAGTGAGGAGATACTGCCAAGCACCTGAAGCCGATGATTGATGAATTGCGATCCGATTGAATAATATCCATCCGTTATTTAATCCTCTAGCGATGCTTTGGCTACGGAGTACGCTCGACAGAGTACACAGACTCGCTATGGGCCCTGGCGTAGATCGCCTGTGTCTGTGCTGAAGTAACTTGGGCCACCCACAACTGAGGCCGTGAGCGCGGTACTTGGCTAGGCTTTTGGAAGGCAGCTGACCAAAGCCTGGCGGGAGCAGCTGGCTTTTAGCCGCACAATGGATGAAAAAGAAGTGTTGACCAAAGTTATACTTTCATCTGGCCATTCTGTGTTGCCCGTCACTTGGTTTATTAGCTCGGGGGACGCTCAAGAGATGGAAGGGGCCGACGACGAGCCGATCCAAAGGTGGAGCACATTGTGAATGTGGGCGTCAATGCCACGCGAAGTGTGCGTGAATACTGACTTGCGTGACAGTTGACCAAGAGAGTTTGAACAGTGGACTTGGTTTCAGGCGTCTGTGGTGAGCCCGGACGGTGACCCGGCTGAGTAATTGAGCCCACAATCAGGCAAAGCAAGACATTACAAAATCAAGCCACAAGTCTGATGGAACTGCTCTCAAGAGACTATGTACCATGAGCGCCAGAATTTTGGTGGTTGCGCTGCATGGCTGCGTTACAATAGGCCCTGCAATAGGCCCATGGGTAATGGAGGGCAAGGTAGATTCGACTCGTCAGAAGATGGAATCATACCTAGGTGCAGCTACTCAGCGGCCTCGTGGATGTTTTGCCATCGAGCAGATGGGCAGAGATGCTGTACCTCTGCGCTACGAGGAGCTCGATGCGGCACAGCACCTGCAGGCGAAGATTTCGAGGTTCAGCCATCACCGATGCAGCGTGAAATTGGAAATGGGCAAGTTGTCATGCATGGGAGGCGTATTGGCGCAAAATCTCTCCCGCTCTTTTTGCACCGCCGCCATGCGGTCGTAAGTGAGTATGACTTTAATTAAGGATCTTGTAATCCGTAACTTGATATGCGTCAGCTGCATCATGGGATGGGACGGAGACCGTAGGGCTAGGAAGGCTATTGGGGCAGCAGGCACTCCGTAGTAGCCAACTGATGTCGTGCAATGGATGGTGCGTGGAGTGACGAATGGGCTCTTTGACGGAAGTCAGCCGCGACGGTGACATTGGACGCATCTACCCGGAATGGTGAGCCCGCGGCTGAGGTGGTGATGATGTTGGAAGCTTTTGAGGCGCAAGAGGCGGTAGCGAAGCACAATACCGGTATAGTTGGCGTACCACGTCATTTCAGCCCAAGTCATGTCAGCGTGCCATCGAAGAGTTGTTGTATCCGAGTATGTACCAGCAGATGAGGCAATGTGTATTACCTGCATAGCTTGGATACAATTCTCACCCTTCTGATGCGCCTGGTCATGTATGGCGTGCTGACGTTGGCAGGGTGCATCGTTGACATCGATCGTCCGGACAAGGCCTTGCAGGGCAATTCTGAGTAAGAGCTAGTTACTCTGCCTATCAAGTGCAGAATTGAGCTGAAAAATCAAGTGACTGAAACGCGGCGAGATGGTGCAGAACTCAGTGTCGCCTCTTTCTGGAAGTCTGGCGATGGCTTCACCAAAGTCTGGGCTGACCTTGCTGCTGCACGGGGCATCTGGTACCAAGCAACTGCAGAGAGAGAGAGGCAGGTTGGCAGTTGTTCAATTAGGTAGAAACTCGGTATCGGTACCTAGGTTGGTACTTTATGCATGTATTTGCGCAGGTTGTTAAAGTAATAATTGAATTACAAAGGTAAATAGTAAGCCTCTGGGAGATGCGAGCACTCTACTACCCTTGATTAGGTAGGCAAAAAGCCAAAGTCGCCGTTTGTCGATTTTCGGCCTGCCAGCTGCCAGGCATCAATCATTTTCAAGCTGCGACGGCTATCATGGTTCTCGTCAGCAGGGCTGCTCTCTGAGTCGTGTTTGCTCTTTTTTCCTCTTCCCTTGATCTTTTTGCTTCTTGTAACTAACTATCCTCAATGCCTCCTTTTCATCCAGCATCAAATCACAGCTCCACGCCCCCATCCCATGCCCGCTCGCGAGAAACGCCGTCTTAGTTCGGGACGCTGCCCCACCACTACGGAGCCACGCGATACTGGTACCAAACTTTGCGAAAAAAGGAACAGATGAGCTCGACAGGGGGCGGCGTGCTGGCAATGGCAATTTTACATGCGCTGCCCTTTGCTACAGCTACGTGCAACCTCTCACGAACATGCCGGCAAGTAGTACAGGTGGCGGAGTGGCCTCTTTAAACGTCTCTGCGATCGCGCGCCTTGGTTTTAGCTGCTAACTTCAGGCAGTTTGACAGTGTCTTGCCCTCCCCCCTTCCCCCCAAATTATGCCCGCACCAAGATATTGATGGGCCGCCCAGAAGTGCATGGATGGGCGTGGGCGCCGGAGTCTGGATGGCGGATGCACTTGTAACTTGTTCCCCACCACCCCTTAAGCTGGTGGCCCGTCAGTGCCCGTCCAACTGCGACTCGCAGCCTTCCATCTTCCATGGAACTCTCTCACTGACTCTTTGCCTTCCCAGTCTGGTACATGCAGGCGCATGCTCGGCTCGCCACGAAAAGCCAAAGGGTCTCCCCTGTCGGCTCCCCTTGCTTGTTCTCGACGCTAGCGAAAGAGGGTTGGAGGCGTCCCCGTACCACGCACCACGCTCGTCCACCCCGTGCAGGCGAGGACAAGACGCTAGAGCCAAGAAACAGGACTAAAACAAAGAAGCACCTGTCCTTTCTCAAAGCACTCATTACTCGTCCTAGTTCTTCGTTTTGAACCTGAGCGCTTTCGCTAGTTCTTCCCTTCTCCTCTTCATATTCTACGTCCATTGCCACCGTCTTCATTCTTCATCTCCCGGATCGCAACCAGCAACTGTCCGCCCACCACCGTGGCCTGCCTCCGCTTGTCCACTATTTACACCACTGTGCTTCTGTCCACAACGTACCAGCTTCTATCTGGTCCAGTGGTTCCGCAGAGACGATATGACACGGTCTCTACTGCTTGCTTAATTTAAAGAATAGTGCCAGCGTACGTCTCTGAAAGCCCAATCCTGGACATAGCTCTCCCTCGGCCTATACATCAAACCAATACGCCCCCTGTCTCCCACTACCGACCCTCATCTATATTCAGCGGGCTGGGCCTCCCATCGTGAGCTTATTGGGAGCGCCCCATGTCTTTTGCTCTCGACGGCGAGGCCAATTGTGCGACGAATTTGCTATAGATACTTTGGCTTTTCTGTGCCTCTGCTTGCCCGCATTCTCTTCGCCATTTTCTTCTCAAATACTTTCCTTGCCTGATTGCTAATGCATAGCAAAGGATTACTATATACATAGCGATTGCTTTCGCACGACCCTGGTACAACGCCCTTGCGCATCTTCCCAGTCGCCACCCCGTCAACGCCCGCACTCTCTGGCCATTAAAGGCAGCAACTTTTTGGCTCCCAATCATCTTTACCAAAGACACCCTTTTACAATTTCGAAAGCACCCTTCGGCGGAACCTTCGCGATGGACAGCCACAACAACCCGAGACCAACCTCTGGTCTCACGTCTTACAGTCTGCGATCCCATAGCTTCTCGAGCGATCGACCGTCTACTGCCAATATCCACAACCTCACCACACCCCCAACAACAGTGTCTCCAGAGCCAGCTTTCATTGCCGCTTCTGCAGCCGCTCAAATAGTCACGAATGACCACGACAGTCACGCTGACGCTTGGTATGACCAAAACGGCATCGAGCCCTCGGATGCGCCTGTTTTTGTTTCAGAAGGAGCTCTAGAGCTAGTAAATGGCTTCCTAGACCAGCTTCTTTTCAGTTTCCTCCAAGTCTCAAGATCAACAAGCTTATCTGCGCTCCGCCCAGCTGTTACCGAAATCCTGAAGCCCAAACTCGCCAGGGATACCATAGCAAATGCTGACGAGGAGCTTCGTGAGTACCTGGGTGGTGCTGATGAGGACGACTACGTGCAGCCACAGGGCTCGTCTCGCGGATGGGATGTAGAGCTGGTTTGGAAGCGCACACGACTTCGCTGTATGGTCTACTCGTCTCTCGGTGATATGGAGGAGGAAGACGAGGACATGTATATGGAGCAGGAAGATCTTGAAATCGGCGTCGACGAGGAGATTTCAGACGTTATTTCACCAGCCGTCGCAATCTTCCTCACTTCTGTGATGGAATACATGGGCGAGCTCACCTTGACGGTAGCTGGCCAAGCAGCCTACCACCGCGTACGCTCTGGTATTGAAAAAGGCCTCCAGGATGGCAGCAGACATCCTGGTGATATGGCTGATCAGATTATCGTTGCAGAGACCGATATGGAGCGCGTTGCCTTGGATAGAACGCTGGGCCGTCTCTGGCGTGGCTGGAAGAAGCGACTTCGAAGCCCCATTCCTGACACCACCCCACGCCCATTTTCTCATGCTTCCTCTGTGGACTCGCGCCACGGCAGTTTTACCCGCGACCTTGGTTCGCCGAGGTTACCCACTGTGGATGCGGACAGTGAGGTCACTAGACCGCACGAGTCTGTAGAAGAGACGATTGTGGAAGATGTCCAACCAGCTGATATCGCACTACCTCTAGGACCCCGAGACGTCGATGAAATCGAGGTTCCTGGTCTTGTCAATTATAGCGACGAGGAATCAGAGGCTGATGATAACGAACTCGTACCCACGCGGCCGAGGAGCTTCTATGCCAAGTTCTCTGATCTGCTGGAGTTGGCGGCAGCTGGAGACAACTTCGGCTCTGTTGATCGGTCTGTCCAACCCCGTAAAAGATCCAATTCGATGCCCAATGCTACTCTGTTACCCTTCCTCTCTGCTGGCGCACAAGAAGAAGTACCTGTGAGGACGCAAGAACCCAACGCTGTGGAGGATACGACCGATGACAGTGGTGACGAGGCTGACGAAGAACTCGTTTCCGATCTGAGTGATGACGAGGAGCTTCTTGCGGAGAATCCTAGAGGCTCGGTACCAACTGGGCTTGGCCTGACTACCCCCAGACATCACATCACCAAGAAGGCCAGCCAGGATTCTGTCGCTGATGACCTGGCCTGGGACTCTGACGGACCCGACGAAGTTGCCACTTTCGAAAAGGCTGAGGTTGTAACCTCGTCTAGGGTCTCTGTTGGCAGCAGCCCGTCCTTGTCGTCGAGTGAGTCGGCAAAGAAAGGCCACAAGCGGAGCACCTCCAGCATGCACTCTGCTCGGATTATCGATGTCCAGGCTCCGAGGAGCCCAACATCCTACACTCAATCAGGATCTCCGGATATCGCTCAGCGTCGTCCTGTAAGCTTGTCCAGTGCCGCAGCTCTTGCTAGCGCAGCAGCAGTAGCTGGCACTACCGGAGCGATTCTGGCAACCAAGTCTAGCATCAACTCTAGCCCGATTGAGAAGGGCACTTCGCTCCCCGCTGTGCCAGCTGCGCGAGGGCAAGTCGACCGTACGAAGCCGATTGTCCGTAATGCGACTATTGTCTCGGAGTCCGAGGAAGATCCGGGAAATCATTTTTCTCTTGAGAAAGGCAGTATCGAAGCCACAGGCGTGGCTGCTCGCGGGAATGAAGAGACGCAGGGCAAGAGGAATCTCAAGTTCCCGATGATGCTTGATGTTGAGAAGGCCACCAGAGATGCTTTCGGTACTCGCGAGCCTCTGTCACCTAGACTCGTCAACACCTCGTATGACGGCAAGCCCACGTCCAATCCGGCGATGATTGTAGAGGCTAGATCACCAGGCCATTCACCCAGCCCTCGAAATTTGCACGGCTTTAGGGATAGCAAAGTATTGAGCCCTCTCGAGAAAGTTCGCGCCGAAGAGGAGGACGAAGATTACTCTGGAGGCTTACACTCAGTTGGCCCACCACGAGCCATTCATACCTCTGGCTCGTCTGGTTCCTCGATCACAGGCAAGATGAAAGTGGTACGATCGTCTGAGGAGAATTCTTCTACAGGCCGCTCTGGGAGCGTTGCACGTAATTTTGAGGAGCTCATTCAGAGCAATCAGACTATCACATACACGCTCACTCCAGAAAGCATGCGTCACACGGATTCTTCAAAACGCTCGCTTGACAGCCCAGTAGTGACAAAGTTTCCCGGCAGGAGTGAAGACTCGCACTCGCCGAATGTCCCACTATCATCGTCGACGGTGAGTGTTTCGCCGTCTACGTTCCGTGGACAAGGACTCGAAAACCAGACTGCGGTAGAGACGAAGCAGCCTGGCCCTGTTCCTCGAGCCCCGACCGGAATTGCTGTTACCACTGGCAGGATGAGTGGACCGAAAGCAAGAGAAGCACGGGTACCGAGCGAGACCACCTCCGACTTTGCGCAGTTCATCAAGTCTACTGGCCCGCCTTCGGAAAGCAAGCAACCACCTGTGCGTAAATCAAATGACCGGACGGTACTATCTGGACCCATTCCACGCGCGCCCGACTCGGCACGCCGGGCCTCGACCATAAGCAATAAGGGCCGTTTCCAGCCTCGCGATGCCGCTGTTACGAGCAAAAACGATACACGCGAGCTCATCGATTTTATCCGTCAAGGCCCGCCGATTGCAGCCAGCAACCACCGCATTCCCCGCCATGTTGCCCCGTTTCGAACAACTATGGATTCCGATCAGCTGGCTGGTGTCACTGGCGGTAAAGCTGTGGATGCAAATATCCCTGATCTTCGCTCCAGCCAAGCGTCTACAAATTTCACGGATCACTCTTTGCATTCTTCTTTGAACTCGAACTCGGCGCTTCTCAAGGGAAGGGGTGGCAGCAGTCAGGTTGCCAGCATGTTTGGTGAGAATGATATGCCCATACCGCAGCGCAAGACTCGCCGAGTTCGTGATCCTTACGCTATCGATTTGAGCGACGAGGAAGAAGAGTCACAAGAGGACACGATGAAAGCGTCAAGAGCACCACCGGCGAAGGCGAAAAGGGAAGAAAGCCTGGCAGAATTTCTGCGCAACTACGACCCGCCGCCGGAGCCAGCCGCGGTCGTCCACAGAGTGCCCAAAAAGAAAGCGAGTGCCCCCAGTTTGATTGGCCGCTTCACGCGCAGCAGTAGTGCCAAAGACACGACGTCGATTATGTCGGCTGACGGTCGCTCTCCCAACAGTCGCGCGAGCAATGGCGGCCACATTCCCATCCAGATCAGCATACCGCCTGGCTACGACAAGTACGGTGCCATTGAGCCTCAGACAACGGGCCGTCCACGGCTCTCGTCTGTTTCTGGAGCCACTGGCCGTGTGGCCATGAAGAAGTTTGAGCCTCGCGAACCGGCCGCGGGGACCTACCGGAGTGAGACGTCGGACCTGGCCGATTTCCTGCGCAGCTCTGGCCCTCCTGGCGACAACATGGCGCCGGCAGTGCAGCCCATCCGGTCCGAGGAGTCCAGCAGTGGCCTGGGCAGGATGTTTGGCCGCCGCAAGAAGACATCCTCATGAGTTGTGGCACGACTTGCCCTTGATTGAGGTCGTGTATATGTGTCTTGTGGAGGAAACATCTACATGTCGAATCTTATGCTTGAGTGGAGGGGAAGCACATTTGATCATCTAGCGTGCTACATATATCCTTGCGATCGTTTCGTTTTGCAATGTTTTTGGGGTTGATTAATTCCTTGTTTTATATTTTTGTGTTTATTTTGCTTCTAGCTCTCCTGTCTTGCAAGGCGACGACTGGCCGCCCACTTTCGACTGATACCATAGTTTTTATTACGTCCATTTGTCATTTGTTTATTGTCTCCGCATGTACTTACGGCCGTCTCAATTTTTCTTTGGATATGATAGGACATTCTGCTACTTATGACATAAAATGAGTAATAATTTGAGCGCTGGTGGGATATCCAGATGAATACAAGCTTTTCCTCTATTTCGTCCTGGTAGTACACTTCCCAACGCCACATTTCACAAAGCCCACGCCAACAATGGTGGTGAGGGTCCAACACGCAGTGGTTGCGTAGAAACAAAACTTGTTTGGGATTGGCATTATATCTTTGAAGTACAAATAGATGAGGCAGAAGGAGACAAAAAAAGAATATTGGCAAGCATACAAGAATGAAGTGAGAATCAGAGACTCGAAGCATCGAGAACGAGTCGAGCATCAATTCTCTCCCGGCACCCTTTTCTTTCAAGAAAGTAAATCTCACTATGCCGGGGTATTCGTCAAAAAGCAAGAACACAACGATGGCGAAATACAAAACAAAAAGTCAAAGAGGTAGCTCATCATCTCCTCCTATGTTGACACTAATTAATAGAGAAATGACAACTCAACAACAGGAACTTGAGAAAGGAAGCAAGTGTAGACAAGGTGAAGCCATGCGCCGATGTTGCAGTCCTCGCCCAGAACTTAAACCAAAGAAACACCAGTCATAAAAATCGCGAAGCATGCCATTCGTAGCGAAGACAGAAGATCGGATGCTGAATACTTGGCAGCATCTTCCTTCCTCGCCCTCAAATCTCCATTCTGCCCGCGATATCCTCGCTCATGAACCTCTCTCTTGGCGTATCCAGCATATCAACGCCGTCAAAGTCATCTTCCTCATCGTCTTCCATGTAATCGTCGTCGGAAAAGGCAACGATGTCCCCATCTTCCCCTCTATTCCAATACAGGCCGTCACCGCCAATCTCATCGTCGTCTTCCGGCGGTATTACCAGCTCGGCGTCGCGGTCACTCAGCCAGTATGTTGCACGCTTCTCAGCGCCTGCTGAACGGCTTATAACGCTATCGCCACCACTCAGTACACCCATCTTGTGCCCGTACCCCCCGGCGACACGTGTAGGCCGAAGCGACGGACTTTGGGAGGAAATGACGGGCACAACACGAACGTATAGATATGCCACCCGCTTCAGAGCGCGGTTGAAGAAGAAGTAGTGAGCGGCCCAGATGGCGCTTTCGTCCTCTTCGAAGGGGTCGGTCTCGGGATTGTATCGGAAGATGGTACACTCATTGAGGCGCATCTCCTTGTCGATGAGTGCCCAGCACTGTGGTCCCCAGAATGAGCCCGTTTCGGATCCGAATGATGAATTGAGTGATGTAGGCTCAAAGGTGGAGGATGGGCGGACGTTTTGCAATATTGAGTCGAGGTTGGCCATGACGCGGCGCAGATTGCGCTCGCGCTTAAAGTCGCCGGGCCGAAGAACGTGGGAAAAGTCGTAATGGGGATGCGAGGCATTCAGCGTGGCAATCATATAGGCAAACGTGCGGCGACTGGAGAGCTCGGAGAGGGGGCCAAAAGGACTCGAAGTGGAGAAGAGCTGCATTGATGGCGAGGAGGCCAGCATGTGTTCACGCTCAGGCGGCGATAAACTGGCGCCGAGCTTGACAAGAGCTTCATGTTGGGAGCTAAGGTCCTTGTCAATGTTCTTGTAGAGCTTTTTATCGGAGCCGGTAGACTTGGTCGTATAAAGGTCGCAACCGCCGGTGACGTTGCAGTCGGGAGTGTTAAAATTGAGAGCGCCAGTGACGGCCTCAAAGTCTTGTACAGGAAGATACTGAGATAATTGAGTCAGAATAGTGCACAAGGGATGTCGGGAGTTGATTGATTGTGTCGCGCAATATGCTGGAAGCAACATACCTTCATGGTAGATCGCTGACGTGGTCTACCCGGTCGGAGATGGTGCGGGTAAGGAAGCAATCTGGTGTGGGGCTAGGCTATTGATAGTTGTAATGATTGCCGAATTCAGATATCAATCAAGATATCGGGGCGTCAAGTAGAGCGAGATTGGGATTCGTTATATGGTGAGACGGTACCCGGGTCGGTCGGTGGATGGATCGGAGGAAGTCGCGCGCGGAGAGGGAGGAGTGAGGCGTCGCGCGCAAGGAGAGCAGGCGACCAAACTGGATCAGAAATGCGAAACAATCGATGGCGACCAATCGCAAGCATATGCTCGTGCTGAGTTGGGCGATGGAAATTATTGCGCGGGGAGATGCAGGTCGGGCTCGCAGGATCGGTAAGGCCAGCGTCAGCTGGGCGTGCGTGCAGGCGCTGTTGTCTCGTCACTGACTGACAGGGGTTTGCAGTACCTAGTATAATGCGATGGACAACAAGGAGTGCCAGTTGGACAGACAAAGAAGTGTTGAAGTGGAAGAAACGGATTCGTGGAAGAGACAAGGAGACTGTCAAAGCGAGAGCGTAAGACCAAGACGTTTGGGGCGGCGTGACGTTTTTGGAGCGAACGATGGATAGAGTTGCGCGCGACTGGCACGGGATAGAGAGAAGATAGGAAGAGCCAAAGAGGGCAGACGGCTTGAGGCAAGTGGGTCGACTCCCATGGTGTGCCAAGTGTGGTGAATCTGGTGATGTGCTGGAAAGCTGATGTGCTGCGCTTTCAAAAGCGGGACCTTGGCTGGTTCGAGGGCTCTGAGTGGCAGAAGTGGCTAGGTATTGAGACGCTGAGAGTTCGTTTCCAGCGCAAGTGTTCCGTGTCACAGCGCTGTGCAGCAGTTGTGTCGCACTGTAATACCAACGCTCATCCGCTGTGCCCGCCCAAGTACCAGTAGCGCTTTCCCCGCTTCTGCTCCTCATCATGCCCATGTCCGAGTCCGGTCATCGCACCCATCCATCTCAACGCGCCAACAATATCGCAGGAGCACTGCCATGTGGACCAAGGCCAAACTCTTCTGGTGCCCATGGCGAATGGCATCCCCCTCTGCCACCACACGTGGTGGCAGCGTCATTCGTCCTGACATTGCCATTGATTGCCATTGATTGTCATGCTATTGCCGTTTGCTGTCGTGTATCGCTCCCTTGGCGCCTTATCGTGGGATCATCTTCTGCGCTATTAGTAAATGCAGCCTGCCGGCTTATCAAATCAATCAGTGCTCGTAAATCAACGGCTCGATGAAAAAGGTGATGCAAAAGATTCGTCTTGTCATTAGCTGCGCGAGGCTTTCTTTCCAGAGTTGTCGCGTCTCGCATCTGCCATGCGATGCCTGCCCGTTGCCCCTAGCGGCCTGTCAACGGCCGCTGACGAGGAACTGACCGACGGCGGCATCGCGGGACGCAATCTAGTCTCTTGTATCAACAGAATGGTTTTCCACTCCCCAAGATCTATACACAAAGCTAACCGGGTCACGCTGCCAAGCAATCCTTTCCATTGCCCGCGTGCCCATGTCCCCTTTGCGCCCTCTCTTCTCATCGAAGAGATGCTCAGTGCCCTGAGACTTTTTCGCATTTGCCATTTTTCTCCCTTCTCCGGGTGTTCCTTGTCCCGTGAAACAAACCAATGCGATATCGAGGGTTTTCATACGAACCCAGCATCCTCGAGGCCTTTCATAATCGACTCCGAGACCTGTAACGATAGTGTCAACGCCGAAGCACTCCCCGAAACTCCAATGTTTTGAGTAGAAATAAGAATAACACGATTTCGAGCTGCACTTATTCAATGCAGACTTTTCTTGCGGGTCGACTACATCAGTCGGGCCACTTCGTCCTCGACCTGGACGGCACGAGCCAGGTCAGCTGCTATTCTGAGCAATGACGGGGGTTGCAGCAGCGATAAAGTAATGGGGAAATCTTATACTGGGGATACTGGGGGAAAGTGTCCAAGGGCAAGAGATCTAAAAATCTTCTTGGTGACTTACCTCCATATCCTCTAACGAATCCTGCTGTCCTATACACCGCAGCACGTTCTTTTTGCTGCTCTCTTGCAGCTCGCCCGCGAGCAGCAGTTCGTCGAGAACGTAGTATGCCTTGGTGAATGAAAAAATAATATCAAGTTCGGAGACGTTGCCATAGTATTTGTCCATCTGCTCGACGTATCGGTGGATGATTTCGAGCGTAATAAGCTCATTGTCGTCGGCATCACAGCCAGCAATGAAGAAGAGTGAGGCGTAGCGACGATAAACAATCTTCGTATCTGATGAACGGCATTAGTCATTTAGGCTTCGACCGTGCCATCACTTGAGCGCACCTTTATATTCCAGAAAATTGCACATGCGGGTTCGTCGGGGAAGCACCAGCTGGCAGACGTCCTTGACAATCTTGGCCTTTTCCTTTGGCGACAGAGTGGTGAACCATTTGGCGAGGCGCTGTTTGATTTTGTGTTAACATGTCAAGTTTGGCAGCTCAATCGGCGGATGCCACGTACCACCTTGCCCTGGCGGGAGAGAAGAATCAGATGCCTGCGAGGGGTTAGTTTTCGAGTGTGCTCCTTTTTCGTGCGGTTGGGTCTAGACGTGACGCACCGAATCGCCATGGCGGGCAACGGCACTGCACCCGAGAAACGTGTTAGAAGACACGCCGAGATGCAGTGGGCGGCAGAGGTGCAAACAACGAGCGAGGAGATGCAACGGGCTGGTGTCGTGGATGGAGAGGAATTGTGTTTGTTTGGCGGGCAATTTCGAGAGGTTGGTGACGAGCGCTCCGCAGGGCCTCGTTTCGCTGTAGCCTGTTTGCCTGTGAGCTGTCCAGATTGGTGGTGGCTTACCCCACCAAGCGTTTTGGCTGGCTGGACATCAAGACATGCAGCGCAGTATTTAGAACAGTGGGACTTACCAGTAGATCGAGGTTTTTTGGCACTCAACCACTGTAGCCGGGTGGACGGATAAAGGGGCTACCTATTAGACAACATCAAAGGCCATTTGACTTGTAATTCATCAGTCATGCAAGCCATATGCACGGCCACGCAACAATACATTGACGGAGCGGGAGACTGCTCGGCACTTTCTTACAAGCCGATACGGCACTGCATCCTTTATTGTACACGGTAGGCATCATGGCGACTTTCTGGTAGGTACTGGATACCTAGGTAGGTACCTAGTACAGTGAGACAAGTGAGAGAGGGGCAAATAGCGCTGTGATTTGACAATGACGGGATGTACAGCCGCTGTAGCTATTACTGCAAGACAGAGCAAAAAGACACCACAGTAAATATAAAGCCAACATTACCTAGGTATTTATCTCGCCACAACTCTAATCCAGCAGTGCACACTCGAGGCAGACATAAAAAAAAGTCGTCTCCTCCCCATCGTCTTTTACCCCTTACACAACGACTACCAGCATACCGCAGATTGCATCACCGTCATTCGGAACGCAGTGGGCAATCCCGAAAAGACGCCATCTCATTACTAATCAATTGTTCCGCTCCTGGCGCCTTGCTAGTACTGGTGCCGGCTTCCATCATCAAATCCTGCCCGCCTAGCGGACCATCGGGGCGCTGCCGACAAGAAGAAAAACGGGTTGCGCCTTTCCCATGGCCTTGTCGACTTGACCTTTCAACAATCCCCAGATTCTTTGCTACCCCAATCATAGCTTTGTGTGCTCTCCGTCTTCATCTCCTTGTCATTATCGAAGATCTGCTGGCGTGCTAAGCCCGCCAACCCCGCCAAAATGACAAAGCTGATTCTCTCTACCAGGCAAGTCAACCGCCAATTCTTTTTTTTTCTTTTTCGCAGTGAGGGGTGCAAGGGACCCTGCATAATCGAATCTCGCAGCGCTGCCCATCTTGCCCCAACACCAGAAATTGAAAACTCACGTTGAAGAGACATCTTGAATACTTTTGGCAATTCATTAAACTAACATGCCGCCTTTGTAGCAATGTCATGTCCGCTGGGCCTACGGTGATCCGCAAGTCCAAGTCGGCCGGCGCCCGCTCCAACCAAGAGCTTGTCAATTCGCTTCGCGAAAACTTTGTAGCCGCCAAACTCGACTACGCGACGTTTCCTCCCCAGACTAATGGTCATGCCCCTCCCCCGATTCCTCCCTCAGTCGAAGTATGGACGGACAAGACGACCACGGCCGACGCGGGCGACGCCAGCGACAAGATCATGATCCCGCGCATCAACTGGGACGGTGCGGGCTTACAGGACGAGGCGGGCCAGTATGAAATTACCGTTAAACTCTTCTTCCTGCCGCCAACCGCTGCCTCACATGATACGGCCAGCCTGACGGCCGAGCGCGCTCGCTATATTGAGGATGCGCTGAGCCTGGTGACGCGCGAGCTCGGCGTTGCGACAATTGACCTGCTCGTCGCCTCTTTCCCCGGCATGTCATTCGAGGGCACCTGCGAGTGGGAGGCGGATAAGCGCAACGCGCAGCAGGGTAACCTGGACCAGGAGGTGGCGACGTGGCGCGTGCTGGAGACGTTGCAGCAGCAGGGCCGCGTCAAGCAGCTCGGCGTCGCCGAATTTGGTAGCGAGAAGCTCGCCGCTTTTCTGGCCCGCACCACGGTCCGCCCCGCCGTCGATCAGATCAACCTCAAGGACTGCTGCAACGTGCCGCCGCCCCTGAAGCAGCTCGCCACTGAGCACAGCATCGAGCTCAACGTCCACTCGGACTGCACAGACATACTGCCCACTGGTACCCTACGACAGTTACTCGGCCACGGGCCCCAGGGCGCCGGCCTCCTGGCCGATCCGGAGCACCCGGATGAGCCTGGCTGGGAGGGCGAGATTGTGCCACAGTGGGTGGTGAGGTATGTGGCATTTGTGCGGGATCGTGGCGTCATTGAGAACAAGGGTTACTTTGCCGGCGCCGAGCTGGTCAACTAATTCCACTGCACGCTTTTACATTACATACGACGTATATATATGTGGCACAAAGGCATATTGCAAGGATCATGGAGCGCTCTTGTCGGGAAATTCGCTATAGATGGAAAGGAGCTGGGCTAGGTGCATCGTTGGGTTCATTTCTCTGGGTATTTATTAGTAGCGAGCATGATTCTGATATTTCAAGGTACATGCCAGGTTCCAATATGATGATACCTTTTGGTAGGCAAACGCACGGCAATCGATTGAGCAAGGTCTCATTTCATCATCGTGTTAATCATGTACATGTGTTCTCTGCTCCCGTATTTGAAGAATTCTTGCTCTCTTTTTCTGTTTCGATCAGCCCAGCATGCTTCGCTTCCGTCCACGCATCCGCACCTCATCCAGCTTCTTCAACACCCCCGGCGCCTGCTTGTGCGTCTGCCTGTAGGCGTCGAGCACCTCGTGGAACACGCACTCTGCGCGCGGATGCGTGCTCCCAAACGCTCTCTCTAGCACATACAAGTCGACCGCCCTCTCCTCCTCCTGCACCGCGCCGCTCGCGAGGCCCAAGTCGATAATCACCACGTCGCCCCGCAAGCTTTCCTCTTGGGCGTCTTCATCCTCAGCCGTGTCACCACCACCACCACCACCACCATCCTGCTCACTTGTGCGCCCTGTCGGGTCCAGCATCATGTTGCTCGTCGTCAGATCGCCGTGGACGATGCCAATCTTGTGCAGCGCGCCGACGGCGTCGCCGATGCGCCGCAGCAGCGCCCGCAGTGACGCATCGCGCTCGACGACGGCGCCGGGCCGGAGCCGGGCGTTGATGGCGACGCGCACGGGAGGGCCCTGGATCCACTCGAGCATGAGCCAGCCCTGGGACTCGTCGAGGGCGTAGAGGGCGGGGACGCGGACGCCGTCGCGGCGACACTTGGCGAGGATGCGCGCCTCGGAGAGGATGCGGTGGCGGGTCAGGCGCGCGTCGAGCGTGGGGTGCCGCCAGGGCTTGGAAGGGCGGTGCTTGAGCGCGCAGGGGAGCGAGGGCACGAGGTACGTCGTCTTGTAGAGCCGGCCCTCGGCGCCCTGGGTGACGAGCGAGGCCGGCGTCGACGAGGGATGCGCGAGGACGGGAGGGAGGGGGAAGCTGTCGGCGGTGGGGGGCGGCGGGGGAACGCCAGCGGCGGCGGCGGCGGCGGCGGCGGCCATGGTGATGGAAAGGGTCAAAGACCGGATATCAGAGGTGGTTGATGTATTGATGGCGTCATGCACTGATAAATTCGTGAGGCCGTGAGTGGTCAGTACCGTCGTAGATGTTGTGTTTGTTGTTATGGGTTCTCTTTCAAAGAGTCGTTGTTGGATGTCAAAATAAATTTCACCCCACCATGCCCAGGACCTTGAGCTTTGGAGGGGTAGCCTGACGCTGGCTGAGTTGGGTGGGGAGCTCGGCCCAGCGCATCCTTGATCAATGAAGTGAAACCACACGACATGCCACTAGTATGTGCAAAATCGTTGCAAGATAAAATTATATGCCTTTTTTACTTGATGCAAAGCCTCAGAACGAAGCTGCAGCAACCATGATAGGTAAAAGCTGTAGCAAACGCCACGTTGGCTCTCTGTCCACTCGCCGGAATTTTCGTCTGATCCTTACCACCGTTCTTCCGTAGGTAAAGACGAGAGGAAGAATCTTATGATATCGAACCTGCTACAAGGTCGTTTTCTACTAGCTGTCCACATTCAATGCTGTCGAGGGTGGGTATTGTTGTTAAACTAGATACTGCCCAGCCGTGGCAGCAGTATCAATCAGCGTCATGCTCGGTCATCACGCCCTTGCCAAGGTCCCGAAAAAAAAAGTCTTCGAAGGAAATGGACGACTCGTTCTCAAAATTGGAACAACGATAAAGCAGAAGACCATCCCAGCTCCCAGATTTTATATATTAGCTAGCGGCCCTCGTCTGAGATCCGACGTGACAGCAAGCCACGCTCTTCGCACACGTCCAAGGCAATGGTTCCGCTTTTGTCGTACGGGTAAAAAGATTGATTCTAGATCAGTCCGAGTGTTACTCTCCTATTTGTATTTCATAAAATCGACTTGGTGGCTTCGATTGAGCTTCCCAGCTTCGATGAAATCTGGGGTCGGCAACTGGGCTAAGCCCAATCCGATCGGCCGCCGGGCCCGCGCGTGCTAATGCCACCCACCCCAAGATCCCGAGGTTCACGTTGCCGAATTCTGAACCTCGCATTGTCCAGCTTCCCATCTTTGACCGCCCATTTCACCACTTCGACCATCTCCATCGAAAGCCTTTTCTTCACGACACCTCTCGCTTCCTCTGAAAAATTGAACCGATATTACTCACCGTATCCAAAAAGGCGCATCCAGTCCCATTCCTCCCAACAATGGCGACCGCCGCCGCCGCCGAACCGCTGCCCTCGGCCTCTTCTTCATCACCACCGCCCCCTTCCTCTTCGTCCAGCGCCAGAATCACCGCCTCTCCGTACCCCTTTGCCGCCGCGCCCGACATTGTCCGCGCTCACCAAAAGGACGCCTACTTTACCGGCCACCTCGCCAACACCTTCACCGACCTCTACCGGCGCGCACGCGGCGCCCGCGCCGCCCACGCCCTTGCCCCCGAACTGCGCACCCTCGCCGCTCTCGCCTACTTTTCGCTCACCACCCTCCCCGGCAACCGCACCCTCGGCGAGGAGTACTGCGACCTCGTCCAGGTCCGCGCGCCCTCGGGACGCCTTCCGAGCCTGCGCACCCGCGCCGCCTACATTGCCGGCAGCATCCTCCTGCCCTACGCCGTGAGCCGGCTGCTACCCGCTCTGCGCGCCCGCCTCCGCACGCTCTTGGAATCTCGGGTAGAGAAGCTCGAGGAGACGGGACGAAAGGACAGCCGCGAGGCCAAGGTCTGGGCCTACGTCACGACGCACCTGTCTAGCCTGACGAGCGCCGCGCCCGTGCAGGCCGTCACGCTCGCGCTGTTTTATTTCAGCGGCACCTACTACGAGCTTGCGAAGAGGGTGCTCGCGTTGCGGTACGTCTTTACGCGGAAAGTCCCCGACTCGCCCGACCGCGCGGGCTACGAGGTGCTCGGCGTGCTGCTCGTCGTGCAGCTCGCCGTCCAGGGCTACACCCACATCCGGGAGACGCTCGCCGCCGTCGCCGCCACCACCGCACCGGCTGCCCGCGAACGCGCTGCGTTTCACGGCGCCCTCGACGTCTCCCTCGACCACGACAACACCTACGGCGCCGCCAACAGCGACCTGTTGCTGTCGGAGCTCGGCACTCGCGGGCCGCAGGCCAGCCGCGTGGACCTGGCGCGGACGACGCACACGCCCGCGGCGGGACACCCACGATTCGACCTTGAGCATGCAAAAGTCATGGGCTTCATCAAGGGCGCGCAGCAACGGAAATGCACGCTGTGTCTTGAGGAGCTCAAGGATCCGTCGGCGACGCCCTGCGGTCACGTATTTTGCTGGGAGTGCATCGGAGACTGGGTCCGCGAGAAGCCCGAGTGTCCCTTGTGCAGGCGGGATGCGCTTGTGCAGCACATCCTCCCGCTGCGGGTATTTTAGAATCGGGATGGAAAGGAGGGCAGGACGCAGAACCTGTCACAAGGCGGCCAGGGAACGGATAAATGGTGGATATAGAAAGAAGCATGCACATGATACCACGAACCAGATACATGCTGTAATTATAAAGCGGAAAATAAATTGTAAATTGTCCAAATTGCTAGAAACGCGATGCTATCAAGCGCGACAAATTATAATGAAATCTCATTGATACTAACAAACACTGGTAGATGCCTTCGCTTCGTCTCTCTTCTGCCTTGTAATCTCGACGAATATGCCTTCGCTTTCTGTTGAAATATGAAACATGAAATAGGGAATATGAGGATAGAAAATGAGCAATGAAAAAGTGCAAGTAAAAAAGAAATTCGTCCCTCCCATGGTATATCATTACCCCGTCATTACGACACCCTTCACTGCTGATGTAATCTTTCTCCTCTTTCGCTTGCAACATACAAGCTCTCTTCAAAACCCTGTCCAGAGCCTTGAATGTTTCCACCACTTGATATCAAATTCTTGTTTTTCCTTTTTCTAGGCCACGGGGTTACACCATGTGCCCTTCGGTTTTGTTTATCCCCGTCACAGACGAGAGCTGCGCTTGTTGTACACGAGGTCCGGCGAACCACAAGAACTCCTTGCACTAGACGAAGCCTTGTATAAAGAGACCCTGGAGCCCACGAGAGTAGCTGCCTCATCCCACAGGAGCGAGGAGAAGCAGCATTGCCTCGGTCTATCGGATTGAAGAAAAGGTGACGAGAGTGGAATACAGTAGATGATGATAGGTATGATGCAAAAAATGTCATGAAGATGATGCAAGCCCAATCAAAAAAGGGCTCAAATGCCAAAACGCGCCGTCGAACTCCCAAATCATGCCTCACGGCAACAGCCGCCGAAGCGCCCGAGTAGATAGAAAAACAGTCATCTGCCAGCAGAATCAACGTTGCTCCTCGTTGAGGGCTACGCTGTTTCCCCATCGAGGGTAGCATTACTCCTCATCGAGGGCAAAGACCACAATCTCGCCACGATCATTTCTGCGCAGACGCAGGGATCGCCAAAGCTCCTTCTCGTCCTTGCCCTTGGAGATGGTGTCGCCGGACGACTGACGTTGGCGGTGGTATCGCTTCAGGGCTTTGTGCATGCTGCAGCCGCGGTCACTTTCAGGGCCCTTGTTGACAAATTCGAGCAACATGTCAGCACGGGGCTTGAAGAGAACCATCTGGCCCTCGCCCTCTGCCTTGGTGGCGTTCTTGTTGTTGAACTCGAGCTTCTTGGGACTCTTCGGGCTATTGGAGCGACGATGGTGACGCTTCTTGTCCTTGTCCTTGTCCTTGGACTTTTTGGACTTTTTGGAACCACCACCAAACATTTCCAAAAGGCCATGGCTGTTCTTTCCGTGCTTGGCGTGCTTGCTCTTCTTCAGGGGACTAGCAGGAGTAGGTTCGGCAGCGTCACCAGAGTAGTCGGGAGAAGGCGGGAAGCGCATCAGGCTTTTGAGGTTGCCGGTCAGGCCGGAGTGAAGCACAGGGGGAGCATCCGTCATCTCCTCGTCGCCAGCAACATCAATGTGCATGCGCTTGCGCTTCTTGTCCTTCTTGTCGCCGTCTTTGGTCCGACGGCGTTCTGCCTTGGGGCCAGGTGTAACGTAAGCATCGGTAGGAACGGGTCCGCTGCCGTACTGGATGAGGTGCTCGTCACCAACAAGGTACTTGTCGGCATCAACTTCGTATCGTACGAATGTGGTGCTGTCGTTTTCGGCGGGTATGTCTTTGACGAGGTCGATGTTTGAAGCATTGGGAGTCTGGCCGGTGGCGACGAGGTAATCGAAGACGTTGAAAGCCTGCTCTCTCATGGCAGGGGGAGGGGTCGGCGCCTCGGGGAGAGGGTCCACGGGAGAACGCTCGTCCTCGGTCTGGCCCTCGTAGGCGGCCCAGGTTGGCAAGCTAGCTTCGTCGGGGACGTCCTGAACATATGGTTGATGAGCCATCATCTTTGTCTTTTTGGCGGGTTGCGGGTTGCTGTCGTGTTTGGATGCGGTGTTGTGGGCTTGAGCCTGACTGTTGTTGTTGTTGTTGTTGTTGTTCTTCTTGTTGGACTTTTCTCTGTACAAAGCTCCCTGGTACTTTTGGTCTTCGGTCATGCAAGACTGCGTTGAGTAATTGTTAGGGCAACATGCAAGGCAAAAAGTAGGAGCACGCATGTAAAAGATGAGCGTTGTAGGTAGGTATAGACTTACAGTGTGAGAGCGGTACTGGACGCCAGGAAAGTGGACCATGCAATCAATACATGTAAAGGTAGCACCGTGGCAGCGGTTGCGGTGAGGGTCGAGCTTCTTCTTGGTGAGAATATCGCCGCACTCCTGTTTTCCAAATGTGAGTATGAGTGTTGTCGAGTCAAAGAATAGTGCAGCTGGGAACGAGACGTGAGGGACACGGAGCTAAATCGCGGGGGAAATGACTTGGGTTATGAAGGCTTTGGAGGGATCAAGGGCGAGTGCGGCCATGTTAAAGGTATTGAGGACGGGTAGAGTGGGCCAGGGGATCAGCGGGCGAGAAAGGGAGGTTCTAAAATGGTGCTGATAGTGTGGGATGGTGTGTCGGAAGTGATGTCAGGTCCGGGCCAGGATAGATTGAGGGTGGTGTGGGCTGAGAGGGACGCATGGCAACAAGAGGCGCGCCGGGAAGAAGGGGAAAATGGACGACGAATGCTTACCTCGCACGAAAAGGATACCATGATGGGTAGCGAATAGAGGGTCGCGTGCGATTGGTGGGAGGTGAGAATTGAGGGTTGGGTCGCGATGTGAGTGGCTGTGGGCTTTGACGAAGGAGTGAGGAGTCTCAGAAGTGCCTGGGGCGCAATGCAGATGGAGCTTTTTTGTCTGGAGTGCGTGTTGGAGGGAGCGCCTTTGGGGGGGCCAAAGAAAAGGGCCACGGGCGTAAAGTTTGAAAGAGCCTTGGGGTACGGATAGTTTTGGGGGCCTTGTGTCCTTGGTTGACGGAGCAGAGGGTGAGACGAATGAATGCCGTGGCTATCGTGCCGTGCGGGCGTAGGCGGTCGGCAGGAGAGATGAGAGAGGCGTTTGAATGGTATTCGTAAGGGAGGGGCGCGAATGACAGCAGCTGTGCGGGCAGAGAGGAATGCGACTCAGTGAAAGCAAGCGGAAGCCAAGGGCCTCGTCGAGCTCCTCGTTCTGTCGAGGCGCGGAAATGGAATGAAAGAATGGAGGGACACTAGAGGTTGCGACGCCAGGGTCAGGTGGTCGCAAAGATCTTTTTTTTTTCCCCGTCGTACGGTGCTTGCCGTGGTGCCTGTGCTGTTGCTCGGTACGGATACTGGTGATGGCTTTGAGAGATACCTTGGTAGGTAATCTGTATGAGTAGTTGGGTACTCTGTAGAAGAAACTGATGGCGTGACAGGGGGGGGGGAGGCCAGGGGAGGCGAGCTAAAATAACAATAATGAGGAGAGTTGATGTTATTGTTCGAGACGGGCTGTTGCGGAGTGAAAATAGCTCTGACGCTATGGCAGGAGGAACTTGAATGCTTTGTTGATATTTTGCAAAGAAGAAATGTTGGGTGTGTGGAACAGAGCTGGAAGAAAGACAGCTGTGTTGTGCTAGATTGAATTTTTTGATATGGAAATTTTTTTTTTCGCCCTCTTCTCTTTTTTCCCCCGTTATTAACTACTGTTTGCCGCCCACAGTTGTCCATCTGGGGTCTCGTCTTGCCAGCTGGCAAGGCATGACTGCAGTAGTGGTAAATAGGCGGAGGCAGACGGGGCAAGCAGACAGCCCCCTCCTCATCATTGTTGTCTGTTTTCTGTTGACTGCTGCCTATTTTCTGTTGCCTAGAAACAGGCCATCACCAGCTGGCAACTGACTGCAGTTCGCTGATTCATCATATTCAGCAAATTGTCATTCGTCCATCAGCAAAATTTATCAAAAGTCGTCAAAATCACTCCATGTCGGACACTCCACGACGCCCAGCGACGGCGCCCAATAGCGGGGTCCCCTACGCTGTGGCGGGTTGCTGGGGGGGAGCATAGCGTTGCCATCAGTGGACGAGAGACCCAGAAAAAAGGCCTGTACCACTGTAAACTGTCAAAAAATGACGTTTCCAGACTGAAAGCGCTGAAAAAGAAAAAGGGTCGTCCCCGCCGCTCTGCGCACGCCCCCTCTTAAGTGGTTGCCAGGGTGTAACGACTTTACCTCATTGTTGCCTTTGGACACTGACGCGTTGATTGGCCAGCCCGTGTCTGCTTGCCCAAGAATCGCAAGGCCCCCGATCACATGAGCTGCACAATGTGTCGCTACAGGGGGTGCCATTATTACCACGCTAGCCTCTCGTGCCTTTCCATCTCGTGCCTGAAAGAAAGCCGTCATAGAGGTATTACAAGCACAGCCTGTTTGCTCTCTCGATGCCATCTGTCCCATTGTCTCTGGCACTATTATCACTCCAACGTAGATTATCTTGTCCATGCTATATACGCCATATCAACAATGTATGACTCGTCGCATTGTCCTCCTCCTCTCTTGCCTTGCCGCCGTGCTTCTCAGCTTCTTACGATAGCCAGCCGCCCAACCAAATCTCCGTACGCGCCCAGCGTTACCACAGCCAGCCTCGCTCGCCTCTATTTGTTCACACAACCCGAGATTTCTGTCGATGACGGCCCGGTCACATTCCCTTCGTGGTCGTACATGCTGCCACGGCGGCAACACCGCCCGGATAGACGTGGCGTCCGACAAATCCGACAAATGGTACCACCAGATGCCATGTCCTCTGTACTACCACGTAGTTGCCGTCGGTACCTACATTTCGCCTTGGGCACCCGTAGCGCCTCGTCAAACAGGGACAGAAACATCACCATTCAGCTTTATGCTGCTCAGACCTCTCTCGCGTTCACAGGCAGCAGGCTTCCTCATCAAATCACTCAGCTTATTTCCCGCCAAGCCACTCTCTACCACACCTCGACAATTGCAGTAACCTCTGGGCTGCTCCTCAATACTCAGCTGCGCATAGCTGGTCGAATCACCAGCCTGCTCCGGTAGCCCAATGTCATCTATTGGCTGACTTCTTGGCTGTCTTATGTGCCTGTTGCATGCCTGACTTGAGCGATCGACAAAGCGAGCTCGTTGCTTGGTTTGATGATAGAACTCGGCCTCGACCGAATGGACCCGTCAAAGGAAAGAAAAGCAAATCTACACCAGGCCGCTCAAGCTACGCCACCAGGCGCAAACCTGCGGACGGGCTGTGACCCGTATTGCCCTTGTTGAGTTCAATGTGTGACAAGTCGACAACGATGTGCCTGTGCTTATACATGCCTCCATTGAGTGCTTGGTATGGAGTCGCCTTCCACTCATCTTGTACTACGTGCAGTGTCTCTACTATCGCTGAATACCTCAGCAGCGCAGACACGCAGCATTCGGCGAATTGCGCTAGCCGAATCTCGTTCTGCCGACTTTATTTCGACTTTGTTTCGAACCGTCTCCCGCAGCCTGCAACACGTTTGGTACGGAAACACTGCTTCGCAGCTTTCCTCTAACTAGCACCCACGCACCCAAGGAATAAATAAGCCCACTGTTTCAGAATCGCGACACGCGCCAACGCTATTTCCAGCGACTACTCCATAATTGGCTTCCACTTTGAGACTGTGCCATCCTGCCGCGGAATGCACCCTCTCTGGCGCATCCTCCCGATAGCATAGTGCATGGTCTGCGAGCTTTTCAAGCCATGAGCCAATTCAGGACACCTACCCCGATGTGGCGCGCATCAATATCAGTCCTGGGTCTCGGCGGGGTGGCTCATCTACGAATTCGCTGGCAGCCCTCCATTACCAGCTCGCCGGGATATGCCATAGCTTAGCATCAATCACTAGACTATCCCATTCGTTCTGGAACGCCTGTCACGACGCAGGTCCCAGGAGCAAGGGGCGCCAGTTTTAGCCAGATGCCATATAATCCCCCTCATATCTCTCTATCGGCCATGAGCGAGTGCCTCCCCACGGCCCCCGCTACCAGTCGCATGCAAACAAGACAGCTGCTTTGTGCGAGGCTGCCTCACATTTCGCCATCGGCACTATGCTTCATTCACGAGTGTTAGTGTGCTCATGCACGAGGCATTGCCTAGGTCAAAGCGTCCGCGCGAAAGGAGAAGAGGCAGCAAATGGACCTCGAGTAGGTGTCTCTTGCAAGTTGCAGGCACGGAAACCTTTGGCTAACGTAGTAGCGGCGTGCCAATGTCTTTGAATCGCGCGACCAGAGCTTAACCAGCTTCCTGGGTTAGAAGTGCATTGAGACATTGGCTTTGGCTTAAGCAGAGATTGACAGCTTTTGGGGGCATCCGCTGCCGAGGCACCGAGCTTGCTGTTGGCACGTTGCTTTTGCATCGCCATGAGCTCGTACGAGGACGAATCTACCCACTCTATAGGGTCAATGCCAGTGACCTTCTAACCTGAGTCTTGAGCATCAAGCGTTAGAGGTGATACTTCAGCCAGGCATGGAAGCAGTTGTAGACCTTCCTTTCTGGTCCTTGTTCGTTCGCCCATGTCTCAGGAGTCAACTTAGCATGGTGCTATTCTCCTTCCCAGCTCTATATTATATATATCGCTATACGGAGTAATAGACTTGTACTTAATTAGTGGTTAGAAAATGCCGGCTTGCCGCATCAGGTGGTAATCTTGGTTGATTCATGGACACCCTTAGCTTGTGTTTGTGTACCGTTTCAGCCACGGCAGTGCGTCCCAGATGCCATTTTCATAGATTGCCATTGTTTACTGATACCAGTAATAGTTGCAGCTTCAAGGGTGCAACGCTTAATTGCCGTGATTAGGTAAGGGACGTCTAACTAGGTCAGGCGCCCCATCACTGTAATCTGTCGTTTCGAGCACTGGGTACCTACCTAGGTAGGTAATGGAACCATCCCGGCCACTCGCTGTGGTCTTCATCATCACAAATCTAAAATTCAGATTGCAAATTGCGAGAATTACCAGAATTGCTCTACCAAAACCGCAAAATTGCAAAGTTATCCAGATCGCAAAGTTGCTAGGGTTAATATAAATTCGAAATTTGCTCAAGCAGCTCCTGCCTGCGAAAACCAGTCACCTCATCACCACCAGCCAATCAAACCCCTTTCCTCGGGCTCCCACGCACCGCCTAGCCCAAACCCTTCAAGCTCCTCAAGCCCAACGTCATTTCAACACTTTGCTGCCTGCAGGCTGGCCGCCATCTGTTCCATTTCTGCAGTGCCTGGCCTAGCGACGACTTGGTTCAAATATTTACAATATGGTATTTTAGATTCGTCTCTTCCAACGCCCGTCTTTCCAGGCTTCCCGACTGCTGAGCCTTCTCGCCGCCCCCTTGTCTCCGCCGACATCTGATATACTGGCACGAAAATTGTTGGGCCCCTTGCTGCCACCAATTGTGTCACAATTGCAGCCGAGCTCGGCCTTGCCAGCACTAACACTGGACGGTACCTCCACTTGTTCAATACTATTGGAACAGCCGGACAGATGCCACCCAAAGAAAACATGTCCAATTCCAACTCTTCTCCGTCGACACTGACCGGCTACCTGGAGCAAACGGCTTCGGTGCTGAGCTCTGTGGCCTCATATATGAAACTCCCGGCCCTTGCCTCTACGGTATGTCGCGGTACACCATGCGATATGCGCGCTTCCGTCATCCCATGTTTGCCCAGACTGACCTCACACACAGGGCATCGCTGCGATCCTGACATCTCTACTATACTTTAAGCAAAAGTAGGTCTATCCAGTACATGTGACCAGTGCCCTTAGTGCTGTTCAGCTGACCGTCATGCCATTGCTACCACAGGGCATTAATTTACCCATCACATATGCCAGCCAATTCTCGAACCGATGTGCCTCGCCCCTCCCAGTTTGGTATTCGCGACTTCGAAGAATTGGTCATCCCTACAGACGATGGCGAGAAGCTGTCTGCCTTTTATATCCGCGGTCCGCGTGATCACAAAAACTCCAGGGTTACAATACTCATGTTCCACGGCAACGCAGGCAATATCGGGCATCGATTACCCATTGCACGCATGATCCTCAATACCACTGGCTGCAATGTGTTTATGCTCGAGTACAGGGGCTACGGCACATCGACGGGCGAGCCTGACGAGTCTGGACTGAACATTGATGCTCAGACAGGCCTCAACTACCTCCGCGACAGAGCAGAGACTCGCCATCACAGCTACTTCATCTTTGGACAAAGTCTTGGCGGTGCCGTAGGCATCAAGCTAGCTTCCAAGAACCAGAGCCGCGGCGATGTTGCCGGTCTCATTCTTGAGAACACATTTTTGTCCATGCGCAAATTGATCCCATCTGTCATTCCGCCAGCCAAGTACTTGACACTTCTCTGCCATCAAGTTTGGGCTAGCGAATCGGTGCTTCCCACTATAGACAAGGTGCCCATCTTGTTCATCAGTGGCTTGCAAGACGAAATCGTTCCGTAAGTGCCATTTCTATGTTAATATTCCACCACCCTGTCATGATGAACAATATCACCCACAAAATATGAACCCATGCGGCTCTGATTTTACATTTGAATTTATATCTGAACTTTCAACCCCACCTTTCTCTTCTCCTTCAACTTGACGCTGTTCTGCATTGCTAACACGGGTTATGAAAGGCCGGAACACATGAAGCGACTATTTGAAATTTCTGCCGCCCCAAGTAAAATCTGGAAACCATTGCCTGGCGGTGATCATAACTCCAGTGTGTTGGAAGAGGGCTACTTTGAGGCGATTCAGGAGTTTGTAAACGAGACCATGGCTGAGCATATAAAGGAGCAAAAAGGGCCATAAAGCACCATCTAATTCATGACAAGGAAACATACTTGGCGCGAAAAGGAGCGCCCACGGGGAGGAATAGGGGCACGCGCACGACGTGCTCGAAGATGGAGTTGATACCCACTGTTGCAAAGACGGAGAGATCGTGAATTACCCTATGGGATCACGCGATCGAAAATAAGCAAGTAGCATGTCCTGACATCTCGCAGAAACGGGAAGCGTTCAAGGCTACGGCACACGTATAGAAAGAACGAAAGCATCTTGTTACCAGCATAGGCTGTTCATGCAGCTCACCCGGAGGCAAGCACATCATCTTCTCGGGCACATCACTGTATCCTCTACGAGGCGGATAAGATACCGCATTCTAGTATTTCTGCATGCCGTAATGCAGGCTGAAAAGGTCATGACATGCAGGGAGGTCCAGCCGGCGTACGATGCAACCGTAGCATTGGAGGAGCGCCCAAATCCTCGCCTCCCCCCATGTTTGCCAAGCATTTTCCGCATTGCAAAAGTCGGAGAGATGACGATTTGGTAATCGGAGACGCGGGCAGCAAGATTGCATCATAACGTAGAAACAAGCCAGCTCGGCAATCTTTTCTTGTTCTTCCAAGACATGCATATAGATTGAACCCAAGCCCTCGAGCGCCTTCGCCTACCAAGTATCAGGGTTCATCTGAGACCCCGAAAGAAAAAAAGAAAAAACCTGGCCAAGATACGTAATCGGCGTCAAGAAATCTGCCGTCCCATGTGACTCGGTCTGTTGAAAACACGAAAGGGCTAGAAACATAAAAAAAAGCTCAACTCATCCCGTCCGGCTGTTTAGGAGGGGGTGGGATAGGATGGGTCAGCTGAGGGCCATTCCGGAGGGGTTCAGGTTACACTCGTAGAGGAGAACAGAGGAGAAGCCGTTGCCTTTTTTTGTGTTTTAAATGTTTGATTGCAACCTCGAGGGACTTTGACAAGAAGAGAAATTAGCCCTTGAAACTTTTCTGTCGACGAACATCTCGTGATTTGGTGCAAGGGGGAGGGGGGCTTTCTCGCCGCCATGACAGGCGCGCATGATGAGGTTGGTGGCTTGCGACTTGCATGGTACCCGGGGTGGGGGAATCATTAATCTTGTTTGGGTGCCGGTGGCAAAGGCAGTCAGCCCGTAATCGGGAGTTGACGGTGGGAGGGTGGGTTTATCAATATACTTTTGCTACGACTCGAATTTTTGCTACGATTCGGATTCCTTTTGGCAAAATGGCAGCATTCTATCGATTTCGACTTGGGAATAAGGTAGAACGGGTACGCGGATAACGATGTGCTTTTGCCAACAGTCAAGTTTATCATGTAACTGCTATGCTGTTGTTCGCTGCATTTGAAATGCCAAACGATATAGATACTGTAAGCTCGTAGACTGACTTCTCTGTAAGAAAGTATACCGGGGACAATAAGTAGAAGTCTCCCTTCCGTCTAGCATTCAACGTCGCCATCGAGCTGCGAGGCCCACGGCCGCTCCGATGCCTGGTCTACCCTCTTCTTGCGCAGGCCCAGAAGGCGACGCCCTGTCCCTTTGGCCGGCGCCATGTCTGCCGCGTCCGTCGACTCTTTCTTGGCCGCTGCGCGGCTGGCTACGGCACTCCAGCCGCCGGCGCCGTCGTGTCTGACCGAGGAGTCCTCGCGGCGGGTGATGGCGTCGCTCGCGTCGACGTGGCACAAGAAGACGTTGCCCGCAACGTCTTGGTTGCGGACACGCTCCGCGACGCTCTTCTTGAGCGCGCGCAGGGCCGTTTCGATGCCAGCGGCCGACATGAATGACGAGTACTGCACCGTGGCGCGCATGAGCACCTCATCGGACGGCAGGTACTCAATCTTGAAGTGAAGGGACGGTTGTTCGGCGAGATCGGCCGCCAACGCGACAGCCACTTCATCTGTCGTCAGTCCAAAGCGAGGCGACGTGAGGAGGAAGGCATTGAGGGGCTCCGTCTCCTGAAGCACCGGCGGCTTCACGGCATTGGCAGCAGCTGCGGCTTCCTGTGTGGCGCGAATTTTGACACACTGCGCAATCGTCTTGCTGGGCGCCGAGACGAAGCGAGGACCCTTGTACACCAACACATAACGGAATGGTTCATTGTCCTCGCTGCGACTTTCCAAGCCGTAATCTTCGGCCAGAACATGCAGGAATCGACGCTGGTTATTGGGCATGGGCTTGTAACGTATTCTGATTTCCGTCGGGCTTTGCGAAAAGACGCGGAATTCGCGCTCCTGCGTCTCGCACCATGACGGTGTCGCCTTAAACAGGGCGAGTGTGTCATCAGAGTACGGTACATGGTCGTTAGTATGCGTAGCTGGATCAATGTTGAGCGCGGCAGCCAGGCGTCTGTTGCGCTCTTGTCGCAAGCATTCATCGTCGCATTTGATCTCGGGTCGCGCAGGCTCGCTATTGGTGTTGCTGGCAAGGCATCGAACTTCCTGCTTGCGGAGACCACAAGGACATGCGATTTCGGTCCTGCCAGAGCATGCTGCCGTTTCGTTGCATGGCGTCTGACCATGGCAACTGCTCTGGCACCGATGCTCACAAAACATCTTGACTTTGCCACAAGTTTGGCCGCATTGTCCGCCTTCAAGCGTAGAGTCCTCGCAGTCTCCTGGTCGATGGCACAGCTTCTTGCAAAAATGTAAACCACACTTTAACTTCTTACCACAAGGCTTTCCACATCGTGCTTCTTGAAGGTGGCAAGGCTGACTGTGCAGCTTTTCCTTTCCGCAGGAACACCATTTGTCAACAAGGAATGGGCATTTCGGACATCCAGCTTGCTCGGGATGGCAATGATGCTCGACCGGGGGATGCCCGCATTCTGGCCGACGCAAGCAATGAAACCGACACTCTGGAGCAACAGTCCCGCAGGGCTGAGGCGGTTGCAAGACTGTTCGACCACAATCGCAGCTGATTTCTGCAAAGATGGCCTCAGGGCAGCTTGCACAAGCGCCACGATGGCAAATTTGTTGGCAATTGTGGCTGCCGCATTTCAGAGCGCGACCGCAAGTTCTGATGCATATGTGCTCCGCCTCAACAGCTGTTTCTGGGGCTGTATTTCGGTTGCGTCGCCGCGCAGCCTGTCTTTCAGCGGCTCTCTTCTCCCCTGTGCAGCAGATTTCCGTACATTTGTGGCGGCCACAGCTCATGTTGGCACCACATGTTCTAGCACAAGTCGGTCGGTTTTCCTCGCGCTGATGGCAGACTCTCGACTCGCTTGTTCTACCACAGCGGCAGCTTACGTCGACTTCCACCAAGCAACAGCCACAGTCACCTGCGTGGCATTTTGACTTGCACACATGGCCACAAGGAAGCTTCTTCTCGCATATTTTGTCGCAGTGTGGTATGATATCGTCACAGCTGTTCCTAGGGTATCCAGGAAGCTCTGTCAGTGATGTCTTTCCACAAGGGCAGTCAGTGACAACATCTGGAGCAAAGGGACAGTGGGCCGGGCTTTCATCTTGGGCGTGGCAGACTTGAGAGCATTCGTGCTGACCACAGTCGTATTTTCGTTGGCACGCGGTTTGGCAGCTAAAGGTGCCTTCGAACAATTCCTCTTTCGAGACTGAATATGAGACTTGAGGATCATCTCGCTCCGAGCAGGGAATCTGTTTTGAAACACGACCACAGAAGCAGGTAGCATCTACTTGCACTGGGCATTCGCCACAGAGTCCGCTATGACATGGTATTTCACACACATGTTCGCCACAGGGCAGCAAATCATCACAGGTGTCCTGGCAGCTCCAGCCGTGTTCGTAGTCGGTCTCCCTGCAAAGCTTTCTCGATGAGTTTTTGCCGCAGAAGCACGATTGCTCTGGGCCCAGAAGGCTACAGGGCGGGCAGGGGCCAGAATGACATTGAAGTGGACAAGGATGCGGGCATGTTGGACGTGGCTTCGAACATGTTTGACCACAAGAATGGGGCGGTAGCGACAGACTGGCGGGCTTGGGGCTGATTTCTTTGCCGCACCAACAATGGTATGTGCCTGGATCATCTGATAGCTTGGAGTTGCAAGCCGGGCAGCGCCAGGAGTTCTCGTTTTGCATCTGAGCAGATTGAGGCTCCTCCTTCTTCATCTGGTTGCTGTGCCATTTCTTGGCGCATTTCATGTGAACAACAGTCCAACAGAGCGTGCAGGACCAGATGTGGGAAGTACGGAGAACTTCGTCTGTGCAAACTGTACACTCATAATTGGCATTACTGATGTCTTCGTGAATGCGCGTGGCCAAGTCAGACGCCGTCGACTTCGGTAACTTTGGCTGAGTCTGCTTGGGGCGCGACGGGGCAGGTTTCGCCACTTTGCTACAGTGACTTTAGTAAACGAACCCCTGTACGACGGGCGATGGATTCCTCATTGCTGCTCACCTTCTAGGCACTATCGGTTGGCCCGGAACGAACTCAGGAGCATCTACACTGAGGCCGACTGGAGCAGAAGAAGATGAGTTGGAAAGTTCATTGCTAGCTTCTGTGGCCGAACTTAGATGGCCTCCAAATGCGCGGTGACCGGCGGGACGGGGTCCAGTAGGAGTTGATCCTGAGACACCTGTCTGGCGTTTAGAAGGCTTGCTTCGGTTCCCGCGTGATCGCGAATTTGAACCGCGAGGGAGATCTTCTTGAGGAGGAGCAGGTGATGAATGCACGCTGCCGTTCACACTAGGAATATCGGCGCTCCCCTCGGAAGGGCCATCATTTGGTCTTGGGCCTCTACCACTGCGACCTCGGCGACGGCCATGATTGTATCTCCCCCTGGATGACCCTTGTGATGGAGTATGTGGTGGGTTGCCTTGGTTTTCGGGCATAACTTGAAGAAATGCGATGGAGGCCTGCCTCACCAATTGCGATGAAAGCAGGTATGCTGATGCAGACGTTTGCTAAGGAAATTATGCTGCGGCGCGCGGACCCGGGTGTGAATTGAGAGCCTTGGATAATAGCGGTATGCCGATTGAGGGCCTCAAAGTAGCAAGAGTGAGATTCAAGGAAGAATGCGAGTTGAGATGAACAATTGGGACGGCTTGGAGGCGAGTCCTTGATGATTTTGAAGGTTGGTGGAGCGGCGCTGCCGCCCGCGAGCCTATCCTAGCTAGGCCTGGTTCCAGACGCCACCTCCAACGCTTACCAAATGCTCCTTTGGCTCCTCAATGAGTCACTTTGCAAGACTCATCTTGCGCAGATTTAACAGTCCGATTGGCCAATACTGAGACGCGATTCCAGCTATTGATGCACGACCCACAGCTATCGAGTCACAGGTAAAACAAAAAAAATAAAACAAAAGTCAACGTTTGTTCCTTGCGATCTGCATTCTGTGGGTTGGTTAGTCATTGTCGCGTGCCTATTTGCTGGCGGCGCCACAAATGGGGAGCTTCGCTAAAGATATGAATCTCTGGAAAAACATGGGTAGAAATTATATGGATATTCACTTTAGTCATCTCGGGAGAGGCGGCTCTTTACTCTATTTCCTTGTCCGCGTATCAGCAGCATGTTTGCTCCTCTTTCATGACTGCTCAACAAAGTCCGGTCGGATGTTAAATCCAGGAAGAGGACTTTTCCTGAACTGGCTTTATCTCTAGCGCGATAAAGTGAATAGTCGGATCATTTCACACAGCTGCATTCGTGCTCTGGCGGGTGATCCATGGGTAGCAACTTGAAAAAGCTTTCATGGAATGTCTACAGGGTACGACGTGTGGACTTGTGGTGACCACACCTGCCTGCCTGATCAACGAAGCATAACCCCCTGAAAATTTTGTTTAGAAAGTGCTTTGATAAATCTATGAATGGTATTTGTCGGAATGAATGATGTCCACCACGCAGTTCTGACGAAACGCAGACTCCCGGGTTCCAGGTCGCGCTGGCCGAGAGGAGGTGACGAGAACCAACACGAGGGGCAAAATCATGGACAATATTGTTCGATGCGCAAAGCTGGAATTTCATCTACAACAGAGTTAGTGAGCTACGCAAGCCCATATAATTTGATACACTTCAGAATTTCACAACTCAGAATCTAAACTGTTGCTACGTGTGATGTCTCCAGATTGACTTGCCTGAACAATGAATAAGAGAATCAAGCTCTCGGTCGTGTATAAGTGGTAAGTGCTTTCGCTACTTGGTAAATAGCGAATTACGACCGCATCCATGGAGAATGTATGTCATTGCATTTTTCTGAACGACTCACCTGTATCAGTCTATATGTAAAGCGCATGCAAGCCTCAGCATTGACCGCCGCATCGGGTTGCGGCATTGCGCACAGAGCCATACCACATGTACCAGTACGATTATTGACGAAGGAAAAGCCTGTTTAATTTGGATTCTCGTATCCATAGGACTATTAATATGTGCGTTTCCGCTTCCCGGCGGCTTTGCGCAAGGTACCATCGACCGCATTGACACGATTGGGTCCGGCACTGCCAGCGCTCGGAGGCGAATGACAGTAGAACGGACGAAAGAGCGGATGAAGAAAACTGGCTGAAACTTCGATGACAGGTATAATTATAATTATACGAGAACGCAAGGAGAATGGGTTAATACTGTCATACTCGAAACTGAGATTCTCCCCCGTAAAGTCTCAGTCGGTCCGAACCATACAGCAGCGGCGGCAGAGAGCTCTTGAGATGATTCAAAATGAGCCTGAACAGGGTCAAGAAGCAATGCCTCTTTTCGAGAGACAGCTTCAACCGTCTGCTCGCACCGTGTGTGCACAGTGTTTGCACCGTGTTCGGGGACACTTGCAACTGGGCAGAGATCGTTTGTTTGTTCTTGTCCCTGCCTCTCGCACTCCTACATCCTCACCCACGAGTGCCATATTTGCCGTCGGCTTCCATCATACTGTTGAAGATTCTGATTTCGCCCGAGAGTTGACATTTGGTCTGAACCTTGTCTTGTCGTATGGCGCGCGCTCTTCGGCAGCCTGCTCCGCCCGCATTGGGCGAGCCACGATCAGCTAAGAGGCTTGAATGCTTCTCCACGCTGCATGAGCGAGCCTCGTCGCCATCGGCTGATCGCTATGCAAAGGATGACATCAAAGCGCCTGTGCAGCTAGGCTACTGCGCTACCGCCTTGTCGCGCATCTCACGCGAAATCAGAGACTGCTGGGTGGCGCGTCGCCGCCCATGCTGACTTGGAGCCATGGAGCAAAGCCTTTGCACCTATAATTTGAAGTGAAACTCAACAAGGAATCTCAAATGATAAACTAAAGTTGCTGGTGGGTCATATATTATCCGAATGTATGAAGATAGGAAAAGGTGGGAGGCTTACGCCTAGCTTTGCGCGGTAAGTGTGGTGAGAACCGGCCGAATACCTTTCGTGTGAAATGCACCTCTCCGAGCAGTTCTGGGCACTCTCCTACCATCGCTGAGCTGTTCGCCAAACGAACATAAATCGTCGATGGCATATGCGTCTTACGAGCCTCACATTTATGTATCTCCCTGTCCTTTGCCATGTGGTTCGCTGAGGGGGCGTGCGCCGCCCGGCCCTTTTCTGTAACGCCCGCGCTCTGAACCCCGCCCACGACAACCAAGTAACAGACGGGTAAGGGAAGCTATTTCGCAACAATGACTTAAACCAGAAGCACAAGCAACACTAGTGGACCGAGACGTTCCGAAGGTAGTCTGGTCTGTACCTTGGTCGGGCACTACAAGCGCCAGGTCCTCGTTCGTCGCTCCACGCTATTTGACCGTGCCAACAACATAGACATTAGGCCCGGATATTTCGATTCGGCAATACGGCATTGGTGGAGAAGAGACCGTTCTTCAGCTGTTGTTGATCCCACTCTCAGCTTCTGGCAACAGAGCCGTGTCTTTGCGCCGCCACGCGTTTGGTATTATTTAACTTTTTAGTCATTCGTCCTTACCAGAATGGAATGCTTCTTCCGCTTCTCTTACTCTTGACTATCACACCATGTAATGTGCTGGAATCGCTATTTGATCAACACACTCTTTTGAAGCACAGGCCCGTCGTGGCGGTACAAGTCACCCAAGATGAAGACCCAGACACTGGCCACCGCCGCATTCGCTACTCTATCTGCTTTTTCGAGCGTAACAGCCACTTCAGATCAAAGCCATGCGGCTCTCGTGTCACCGCGAGAATTCGAAGAACAAGACTGGCAGCACCAAGGCTGTTACGTGTAAGTGGATGGTAGCCACGTGCTGTACAAGTATCACAATCGACTGATTGTCAAGGCAGTGACGTAGGTCGCACAATTAGCGATGCCGTCAGTACCGATGGAGGCATGACCAATGCCAAATGCACAGCATACTGCTTCGAAAGAGGATTCGTATACGCCGGCACTGAATACTTTTCAGAATGCTACTGTGGCAACTTTCTCGCTCGCGGAGCGAGGCTAGCCAAGGATGAGGATTGCAGCACCGAATGCGCCGGGAATAACACCGAGGCTTGCGGTGGCAGAAATAGGTTGACCTTGTACAAGACAGAGCTCATTACACCCCCAGCGGTGAATCCAGGGGTCGGTGACTGGGAGTCTATGGGCTGCTACATGTGAGATGCAGCCACCAATTACGCAGCTTCCATGCTGGTCATGGTGGTCTATCTTGCAAATGCCTGCTAACTTGTGATTAGTGAAGGTAGTACAGGGCGTGCGCTGGAGCGCCAGATTTTCAGTGTTCCCAGCAGCAATATGACGGCGTCGCAGTGTATGGGAGCATGCGATATCCAAGGCCTCTCTCTTTCTGGCCTCGAATACGGAGGGGAATGCTGTGAGTCACTCATCGCCCGTGCAAGCTCGTACAATAAGGAAGCCTTATACAGTATGGAATGCTAATCACGGTGGATCGAAGTTTGTGGCAACGAAACTAAAAACTATGCAAGAGCTGCAGCCTTTGGTGGCTGTAGCATGCCTTGCAACGGCAACCGCACAGAATTATGTGGCGGTTCTAATCGCCTCAATCTCTACCGGAACAAGCTTAGGTACACCTCGAGCCCAACGTGAGTAATTGCCCTCTATAAGCAATGCCAATTACATCAGCGTCTTACCTCATTACAAGACTTGAGAGCTTGTATTAGCAAATCTTCAGTGACTAACTCAAGATTCCTCTAATACAGACCACCAGCTCCCACCGAAACATCTGGTAGCGGTGACACGACACCGACACAATGCCCCAACCAGCCTGCCGCAGTTGGGAAGGAGTGGAAGTTCCATGGCTGCTACACAGAGGGAGATGGGGTTCGGGCTCTCGACAACAGATCCTATTCGGACAATGAGATGACTCTCGGAGACTGCTCCCGTTTCTGCTCCGGCTTTGCCTTTTTCGGGCTTGAGTATGGCCGAGAATGCTACTGCGGGAACGCCTTCAACAGCGGTGCCGTTGAGACATCAGAATCCGAGTGTAGCATGCTCTGTCCCGGCGGCATGCAGTGTGACTACTGCGGAGCCGGCAACCGTCTCTCCGTGTACCTGAATTCAAGAATACACGTCGGTCCCAGCAGCAGCGCTGTCACCACCGCCAGGTCCACTTACACGACCATCAGCACCAGCTTGCGTATTTCAGGCGGCACCGACTCTGTGTCGTCGAGCGCCATTTCTACACTCTCACCTACTGCTTCGTCCATTGCCGGCTTGAAGCCAACAATAGATTCTGAAACTCCCAGTTCCGTTGCCTCCTCTATTGTCTTCACGACGACAGCAAAGAACAGCACAGCCGTGGAATCACAGCTGACCATTGCTACGAGCGGTCCAGTCTCAAAACTATCCACGACCGAGAGTTTGGTTTCCACTGCAACAGCTCCAAACTCTAGAATCACATCTTGGGCCTCCTCAAACTGGCACAGTACCCATACAAGTCTCCCTCCGCCTCTCATCAGTGATACATCCGTGCTCCCAGAGACTGAGTCGTCTTCGAAACTGGTTCAAAACACGACATCTAGAGATACTTTGGCATCTGCTTCTTCTCTACCATCAACGGCATCGATTTCGATCACCACGACATCCACAGATATTTTGACATCTACTTCTCTGTCATCGACGGCATCGATTCTAGTCAACACGACATCTACAGATATTCCAACATCTATTTCTTCTCTATCATTGACGACATTGATTCCGATTACCACGACATACTAAAGATATCTTGACATCCGAAGGTATTGCGACATCTAAAGATATTCTGACATCTGAAGATATTTCGACATCTACTTCTTCTCTGCCATCTACGGCATCGATTGTAATCAACACGACATCTACAGATATTCTAACATCTATTTCTTCTTTGCCATCGACGACATTGATTCCGATTACCACGACATCTAAAAATATTCTAACATCTGAAGATATTTCGACATCTACTTCTTCTCTGCCATCGACGACATTGATTCCGATTACCACGAAATCTAAAGATGTCTTGACATCCGAAGACGATTCGACATCTACTTCTTCTCTGCCATTGACGACATCGATTTCGATCAACACGACATCTAAAGATAATATAACATATGCTTCTTCTCTACCACCGACGACTTCTATTACAATCATCAAGACATCTACAGGCTCTTTGGCACCTGCTTCTTCTCTACCATCGACGACATCGATTTCGATAAACACAACATCTAAAGATATTTCAACACCTACTTCTTCCTTACCACCGACGACAGCTATCTCGATCAACAAGACATCTACAAGTCCTTTGACATCTGCTTCTTCTTTGTCATTGACGACATCAATTCCAATCAACAATACCTCGACACTCATGACTTCTTCCGCTTCTTTCATCCTTGCCAATTCTTCTAGTACGGCCTCACCAACCTCAACCCCAACCCCGACACCTACTGGTCTACTTCCTGACGGCTGGGGTTTGTACGGCTGCTGGATTGATGGTGCTCAAGGTCGTATCCTGGATAAACAACTTCCCGATTCTGACGAGCTCACACTACAGTCTTGCGCAGCCAGCTGTGCGAAAGCAGGCTATTCAATCGCTGGTGCAGAGTTTCATTCCCAGTGCTTCTGTGACAACCACATTATCAACGGTGGAATCAAAGCCAACTCTACAGACGAATGCAATATGCCCTGCGCGGGCAACTCTACCCAAAACTGTGGTGGCAGCGATCGTATGACTATCATGTCCATCGGACAGCCGAAGATTCAGCTCGCGCCGGTCACTCTACAGGCGGTAGGGAACTGGAAGTACCAAGGCTGCTATGAAGACAATGTCAATCAAACCAAAGTCTTCTTTTGGCAAAACCTCTTTCCAGATGTCATGACGCCAGAAATGTGCCTGAACAGGTGTGCTGATTTTGGCTACATGGCCGCAGGCCTTGAATACGGCCAAGAATGCTACTGCGGCGACCCTGAGAACATCATCGTCATGAAGTCAACAAAAAAGGCCGAGAAGGAATGTGACGTTCCATGCGTTGGAAACTCTTCCGCGTTCTGCGGCGGCGGTTCGCGCCTGTCCACGTATTTCTGGGGTGGGAAGCCGTTCTACTCATGGGACTTCCCAGAGGCTGGAAGCCCTGCCGCCGGCTCGTATGACTTTCTCATTGGCGGCACCAACATACCTCTCATAACTTCTCAGGCAATCAACGGCAAGGTCACTTTCTTGGAAAAGTTTGGCACGGGTCCGCCCAACTCCACCGGTGCCTACGAGCTCGATCTTTCGCAGATTGACAACTGGGACCTGGCTTGGAGAACCATGCATGTCAAGACTGATGTTTTCTGCGCTGCTGGTCTCACGCTCCCTGACAAGGCTGGCCGTCAAATCAACATTGGTGGCTGGTCTGGGGCGTCGACGTTTGGCGTACGCTTGTACAGCCCTGATGGTAAGGCCGGTGTCCACGGCAAGAATGACTGGGAAGAAAACGCCAGCATTCTCAAGCTGCAGGACGGCCGCTGGTATCCTACAGCCATGAACATGGCCAACGGCTCCATTCTGATTATTGGTGGCGAGGAGGGCTCCAACGCGGCGCCCGTGCCGACGCTGGAAATTCTTCCCTACACGGGCACGAAGCCGCTGCACATGGATTGGCTGGAGCGAACTGACCCCAACAACCTGTATCCATTTGCTACCGTTCTGCCTTCTGGCGGAATCTTTGTCGCTTACTGGAACGAAGCCCGCATCCTAGATGAGAACACTTTTGCAACGGTCAAGACTCTGCCAATGATCCCCGGCGCTGTCAATGACCCCATGGGTGGCCGTACCTATCCTCTGGAGGGCGCAGCTGTTCTCCTCCCCCAATACGCCCCTTACAAAGACCCCCTTGGCGTACTCATCTGCGGCGGCGCAACCACCGGACCCAACAATGCTCTGGACAACTGTGTTAGCATCTATCCCGATGCCGAGAGCCCCAAGTGGGAGCTCGAGCGTATGCCTTCTACCCGCGTCATGAGCTGCATGGCGCCTCTGCCGGACGGCACCTTTCTCATCCTCAACGGTGCCCATCACGGTGTTGCCGGCTTTGGTCTCGGCGTCGACCCGAACCTGAATGCGCTCATGTACGATCCCAGGAAGCCGCTTGGACGCCGCATCACGGTCATGGCCAACACCACAGTTGCGCGAATGTACCACTCGGAAGCTATCACGCTCCTCGATGGCCGTGTGCTCGTGAGCGGCTCTGACCCTCAGGACGGCGTCAACCCGCAGGAATATCGCATAGAAACTTTTACCCCGCCGTATCTACTCTCCGGCAAGCCTCGCCCGACATTTACCCTTAGAGACACCGACTGGAAGTATGGCCAAAAGGTCAGTTTTAAGCTGGGGGGCAAGGCCGTCAATGGCGACATCACAGTGTCGCTACTTGGCTCCGTCTCCAGCACTCACGGCAACTCCATGGGCGCGCGCACCCTTTTCCCAGACATGTCCTGCTCGGGCACATCGTGTACGGTCACGGCACCTCCTGGCAAGTACATTGCACCGCCTGGTTGGTACCAGTTCTTTGTTCTTGATGGTGGTATCCCAGCCGTTGGTGTCTTTATTCGCATTGGCGGTGACCCTGCCGGTCTCGGCAACTGGCCCGAGGGCGATTCCTTTACACGCCCGGGGGTTTAATGAGAGATTCAGTGGCTTCTTTTCAGTGCTCGATAAAGCAGGCCTAACGAAATGAGCTGCCTGTTATGAACGTGCTTTCTGATGAGTCAGGAAGCTCGTGTTAGGGACATACAACACCTGTCTTACTCGCTCTTGTATGCTTTAGTCTACAGCTTCTGTACATACGTTGCTATGATACAGTTTTATCAATACATTACAATGCACAAAAATTAGGAAAATGAGTAAATAAATAGGTCTGATGTACTAAGGTATCTCGACATGTACTAGTGTTTATGTACTCGCCCAATGTCTTCCGATGGCGTATGTGAGCTGTTTCTCCCCCCCCCTCCTCCCCCCTTTGTTTTGTGAAGCGAATTAACTATTCGCGACTTTGCCTAATAGCCGTATCAACAGCATCCCTCATGATCCCCGATGTTTGTATAGCGTCATAAATAGACTTGTACAGGCCGCAGCGGGAATCCACCACGTTGGCCTCAACCGTCGCCGACACGACGCGGTTTTGATCATTCTCTCCCGGGGTCGCACCGCCGCCCAGCAGCTGCACCGAAGGCGCCGAATCCCAGCCAGGTCCCGCGGCCGGATTTCTAGCGAAATTAGCCCATGCTTTTTGGATCACTCGCGAGTTGTCCTTTTCAAAGGGCGTGGCACTCTCTTCGGGATAGAATGCAAAGATGGGCCGTATCTCGGCCGAGTGATAGGCGCCGCTGCCGGGAAAGAGCTCCGTGTTGGCGAAGCTCGCGTTGTAAAAGTAGCGCCACGTCGGAATCCTGACAAATTTGGAATCGCCGGCAAGTCGGGCTGTCGGGCAGGTGTAGATGAAGTCGGTGATGAGCGTCTCGTCGCGCTTTTGCGGGCTGGGAAAGCCTTTGTATCTGGGACGAAAAGTTGCAAGGAACAGTCTGGCTGTCGTGGCTCCGAGAAATCCAGCCATTATGTCATCGAGCGTCACACCGCCGGTCAAAAACGGCGATGCCTCGTCGGCATTGGAGCCAATCAAGAGGGGCACGCGAGCGATGGCCTTGCGATCGATGAAGGATGCGGCACGTTTTCCGGGCATGGAGTTGGCAAACGTCACACCGCCATCAGGGGAAGCAGTGAAGCTGAGACCTTTGGCTTCGGCAATGTCGATCAAGGCTGATGCTGGGATCTCGCGCAGGCATGCGAGTTTGTCGGCCGCAGATTTGCAGTCGGCGTCAGAGAGTAGCGTGTCCCACGCGGCCTTTTCCTTATCCCGGTCGGCCGTGGAGAGTTCTGGCTCAGTGGACTGCAAAATAGCAGCCGCAAAAGGTACTGGATTGGGGGGCGCCGTTATAAGATTATCCACGCTTCTGGCCCCTGAGCTCTGTCCAAAGAGGGTGACCCGATTAGGATCACCACCGAAAGACCGGATATTACGCTGGACCCAGTCAAGTGCCAAACGTTGATCATGTAAACTAGATGCGTGATTAGTTTTATTCACGTCCGATGGTAGAATTAATGAAAAAAGATGAGAGGCAGTGATGGCGGTTAAAAAGAGATGGACTCACCCGAGATTTCGTTCTGCTGGCGGAATGTCGGGAGAGGTAGGAAAGCCAAACAGGTTCAGGCGGTAATTGATAGTGACGACTATCACGTCTTGATTCCCAGCCAAATTTGTACCATCATATTGAGGAAGTGCCGCAGTACCGGATGCATCGGTGCCGCCATGAATCCAGAACATGACAGGTTTATTGGAGCCAGGGTGTGCGGCCTCGGGCGCAAATACGTTCAGATATAAGCAGTCTTCACTGTCGGGGACCGAGGCTGGAGGCGTGTTGAAATATTTCTTGAGGAGTTCTGCGTTCTTTGCACCTGAAAGTAGCTGTTGATAACAGGCATTGCCGAATTGGCTAGCATCGCGCGCGTCTTGCCAGCTGTCCGGCTTCTCGGGCAGCTTCCATCTTGTCGGCGGCTTTGCATAAGGGATGCCGAGAAACTGGTTGACGGTCGAGGACACTGTCGGCTCCGATACAGACGCGCCGACGAGGATACCCGAGTCGATTGTCGCGGTAGGGCGACCGTTGTCCCTCACCGCGAGGGCGGCGGACAAGGCTGCTTGATACCAGAGCAACACAGTGCCGGTGTAAGTGAGCTTGACCATGACCACGGCTGCCACTGTATGCTAGGCGATGCAAGTAAGTCTGCGACAGAAGAGGCGAGTACCCTTTTTTTTTTCGCCTCTTTTCTTTTTAATCTTATGCATGCATGTTTGGCAATTGGGGCATCGCGCTTTTTTGTAGGCCGTGTCGCCCCAAGAGGGGTGTGAGCTAACCGTGCACTATTTGCGTAGAGAGTCCGAGACTTGCTCCTGTCGCACGTCTCACCTCTGCGATGGGCAAACACGAGCACGTCAGACTCCCCGCAACGCCGTCAGCCAAGATGGCATTGCTTGCTTTGCCCCCGGTATGCAAGGTGGTCCGGCTCAAAAGGCAAATGGACGGCCATGGGGGGTGGGCACTCGGATCTTCTGGGCCTGCTGATACGCGAGTAAGGAGGGAGACCGCAACGCAATGTCCGCATGTCTTGGGTTTTCCGTTCCTTTGGCTGTCTCGAATGGGTCTGTCGAACGGACAGATCGAGACATGGACGGCCCTTGGCATTGCTCTGGGGACGCCCAAAGAGCCTGCTGTCGCAGCGTTTCCATACTATTGAAACAGTACAGAAACAAAGTATATCAGTAGAGCCATGAGCTCTACCAAAATGTTGCGCTTTTCTTTAGTTACGAAAATAGCTCTTCGTACGGAGTACAAGACTCGAGTCCATGCGTCAAAAGACAAAACCAGATCCGTCGTTGCAATGGCACTGTCTCACTCGGTCGCTAGGGATGGTGAGATGGAGTCACGGTTGCATTCGCCTTCTCTCAGACAGACAGAAACACGAATTGTTAGCGACATCACACGTCAGGCTGCATGAATCTTCACCGACATGATCTCGAAATTCCGGTTTGCTGGTTTTCCGAATGTGAGATCATCGTAAGGCTGCTTTCTCAGTTCTGGTGGAGGCGGATCCAGTATGACATGGACGGACCCCCTTCAACGCTGCATTTTATCAAAACGTCAATGCGATGCTTCAGGGAGCTCAACAGCAACCTGGCGCTCGGGATCTTTTCACAAATATACCAACTCAATGACGAATGCAAATTATTCATGCGCGATGCAACTACAGAGTCATGCGATCTACTTGGTACATAGCCCCGTGGCAACAACCCCCTGCTTCTGTTTCTCTCAACGGAATTTTCCATATGAGATGATCACGTGACTATGTTGTACCAAATTTCCCAGGAGCTTCGATATCGGCGGACAAGGCCTTCTGAACCGCCCAGTGCTTTGCCAACGACATTCAATTAATTGCACCCTTTGTTGACGTTCAAACCCTGACTCGCCCAACATGGCTGCAGTTATCAAAGCTCTCAATGCCAAGATTCGGTCGAATCCGACGACGAGCTACATTTGCTCTACCCGTAAGTTGCAATTTCGCCTTCAGCCTCCGCACGACCTGCAGCTCCTTTTTGCGACGAGTCGAAAAGCCCTCGCCGTGCACGCCGCGTACACCTTTCGATCACCGGACCATTCGGGATGCAACATAGTATATCTCGGCTGGTTGCTTGCTCTATTTTTTGGAAACAATTTGCCATGGGACGCCGGCAAAGATGACGCAAACCGCGTGTTTGTTGATCAACTGGAGCTCCCGCATTTGTCGTTGAAGCTTTTGCTTGATATAATGACGAGTGCTAACGCAATATGTGCCCTAGATTTCTGGGGGCCCGTCTCCAACTTTGGTATCCCGGTCGCAGCCGTCATGGACACACAAAAGAGCCCCGACCTGTAAGTGACGCTCAACGGCGTGCGGCGCCGCCGCTATGGTCCCTTCGACATTATCCACCCGCTCACATGCTGCTTTTTCTCTGTCCAGCATCTCTGGCCAAATGACTGCTGCCCTGGTCATCTACTCGGCGACTTTTATGCGCTACTCTCTCGCCGTCCAGCCCAAAAACTATCTCCTCTTTGCTTGCCACTTCGTCAACGAGTGCGCGCAGCTGACACAGGGCTACCGATACCTCTCATACCACAACTGGGGTGGCAAGGAGGCGCTCGAGGCTGCCAAGGGCCAAGCCTCCAAGGTCGAGGACAAGGCCAAGGCTATCGTTGGCAAATAAGGCATATCAAAAAACGAGCAGGGTACTGCGAGGATTCTTTTTCATGACGACATTCCCAAAGGAGACGAGCATGGGTGAGCTTTGAGCTTGGAATACTGCTCATAGGCCCCGAAATGTATTTGCTTCGGAAGCATTGTATAATTGAGCATGGATGACACTGAATGGGAGCACCTTTGTACAATCCTACGGCAGACTACGCAGCAAGCGGTCTGCACCATACCTGCCCACGAGCAGACACAATCCACACTGCCTTCTCTCGGCGTAAATCAGCCAGCTCTTCTTAATGAAATCTTGCAATTGCTGTTAATCGTAGAGAAGCATGCTGACGAGGGGCTCAGCTCGAATGCTGTCTAGTACCACACACCACATTGCAAAGACTTCGGATAGAGCCGTAGCCGTATTGTTATTTGGTGGAATTACAAACACAAACGTCATCAAGACTATTTGGAATTCACCAGGAGAGGTGGGTATCGGTCATAGCGCCAGGCATTGGGGTGATCCCTGGAGATTGATCGCTTTTGGTTCCAAGAATTGTACAATTATAACGTCATTGTAGATTAGATTCCACGTCTTCATTGTCTAGTGTCGAACTGTCCAGATATAACTCTGTTTGCATAAAGACCCGTAACGAATAGCTGCCCCAATCCGCCAGAGTCGATAACACAGATTAGTGAGTGGGTGGAAATAACCACGGAAATAACGGGAACAAGGCTGTTCTTCAACACATTTCGTCTTGGAGAAAACCACTGTCAAATTGAGGTAAGAGAAGCGCTGTTATTTTGTGTGACGTAGGTAGGGAAGATCTACAGAGATTCAAAGGCAAGGTCTTTCTACACGACCATACTTGAAGTCTGATCGGCGACAAATATGGCCAAGTTCTCGACCATTGCTAAAGAAGAGCCGCATCGTAGATTGCTACCTTGATAGCCCCATCTCACAGACCCCTGCTATTTATCCGTCAATATACCGGCGCGGCAATGGCACAGAGAGTCGGTCCGATGCCGATCTTGGAAGTTTATATTATCTGCGAATCGAGAGTGACTCCTCGCAAACAAGCTCAAGTTGCCGCACAGCTTGGGCGAGCTTGCTGATTGATGTAACAGTGCCGGGATAAAAAAAACCAGCTTGTTCTACTGGATCAATGCACATTGCTAAAAAACGCGCCCGTGGGTATCCTTTTGTAGCCGACCCATTATGTCAGAGAAAACCGGCATGGCTTCGAAGCGCGCCATAAATGGACCAAATTATGGGGGTTGGCTTTGGCTTTGCTATTTGGGTGCAACCATTGGGTGGGTGTGGGTTGCTGGGCTGTGCATGTGATGCCCAGCCGTTCTTCTAGAGCAGTTGACGACGATTGCGTAACGGAAGATATTTCCTTACCTTGTTGTTGTTTCTCTCAAGTTTGAAATCGGGCTGGAAAGAAGCTAGTGGAGATAGTTTTAAAGATGACAAGTTCGGCGCGACCAAGCCGAGGTCGGAGCTGGCATCTATTTAGTAATGGACAGAGACCGCTTTTCAGTCCCCTGGTAAATGCTCCGTATTGTCTCCAAAGACGAGAGATTTAATTACGTCGCTATCTGTCTTATCAACGGCGCCTATCTCCGCGACCCTACTTTATTTTGGCATGCCACCAGCCAAGCAAAACAGGAGACCAGCCTTATCAATGGAAAGACTTCTCGGTCCTTTCGACTAGTCAGTTTGCTCAGAGGATTTTTTTTTTTCCCCAAAGGAGCGCCGCGGCGGGTGCTGGGAGTCCCCATAGAAGAGAAAAGGCTGGTGATGGCTATTGCGTACTGCGCAAATGGCAATTGCGCAATACTAAGAGCAATTACCTGCACATTGATTAGAGGCCTTTTCCTCTTGTAGTTTCCAAACATGGCGGAAAGAATGGATACGGTCAGCCATTGCAGGTCGCCGGCAACGTCACGAGACGAGCAGCGTGCACAAGAAAGTCGGACAATAGACTGACTGTTGGGAGCTGGAGGCTGGCCCGTTGTGGGGTGTCTTACCAGGGTATGTGTCTGTGTATCCGTATTCTTATTATCCTCTTGCTCTGGGTGCATGTAACTGCTTGCTCCTCGCTGGCTGGTCATGCTTGCTCCTGGCCAAGTGGGAATGCAAACTAACAAAATACTCTGTCAATGGCTTCAATGGGTCCAATGGGTCCCCCGGCCTAGCTCGGCTGGATCTATCAAAAATGGCACTGGTGGGTGTGGCTCTGGCTGAGAACATGGGGGGTTCTGTCTGACGAAGGAGAAGAGTAATATCGCAAGATGCTGAGGTTGTATGCTTGGGCAACCCTTGTGTGAGGAAGTAAATAGCGCAATGACTGTCGATGCCATCCAGGGCAACCATGCATTACATGCCCAGGTGTGTGCTATTTTGGCTCAAGGACCTGATAGCTCGATTCTGCGGCGAATCATTTATACAAGGTGACAATAACACGGCCATTGTAGACACATCTGCCATCTCGGCGTGTTTCGGTTATGAGAGGCCGATGCCGATGCCTGCACCAACTAGCGGCGGTGCGCCCAAGGCCGAGAAATAGAGACGAAAGAACAAAGGAGTGGGTGTGAAGCACCAATCATTAGCGCCCGCCTGGATCGGGGAATTTTTCCTCCTTGCTCTCGCAAAATTTATTTGGGAGGGGAGAGCAGAGACGAGAATCAGATGCGGGCGGGCTCACTTTGTATATAGCCGTGACGAAAACACGGGGTAGAGATTTCCGTATCAGCAACCGAGGGAACTAGCCAATCGTGCATTTTAGCCTTCCAAAGCACCGGGCGAAAACGCTTCGGTTCCTTTCGTCGACGCGGGGGAGCGCGGAAGCTCGCGGCGAACGGCGGCTCAAGGCTTGCGGCGAGCTGAGGGCTACGGGCGAAAATAGTCAGGAACCATGTGCTCGTGGAGGTCTCGATTTTTTCCGAATGTGGCATACAGACTTGTCCATCACGAGGTCACCTGGTACAACAAGCCGTCCCTTTTCGTGCTTCTCTCGTTCGGGACTGGCCAGTGACACATGTTTTCTTGTGATGCGAGGTAAATAACAGCTTGCAAAGGCATCGAGGTAGCTGTGTTGGCTGGCTTTGCTCCATCCACCCCCCCTCCCCTCTGAACCTACTTCTCAATTGCAGCAGGAGCTATCGCGAGTGACAGAGGTGCTGCACTGTATTTGGAAAGTAATATGCTGTAACTTGTCAGGGCGCAAGAATCGGGCATTGAACAACCGACTACAGTTTCTAGATTGACAAGCTGCGATTTGAATTCCCGCACGTCTCAGACAAGGCAGTGAGTGCGAGGGAGCAAGCACGCTGGGTAATACATCTCGGTAATACACAGGCTTGGCGGGTTGCTGGCTGACACTTCCGGGCCGACTTTCTTACTCATATCTCAACAAATCTGAGATTAATAGGCTGCAGATTCATAGATGCACTAGGTGGTAGTGGTACCTTGTCAAGGGTTTATGAGACGTGAACACTATTGTCTGGACGGTTTTGGCGCGCTTCAGGTCACGAAAGTACATATTGGCTCTTCGGAGCTGCAGTGAAGGCAACAAATCAGTAGGAGGCCGGCAGATGCCAATAAAAATCCGCAATGGAATAAAAGATCTTCAGACTGGCTTTCATTGTATCAAGCTTTTGAGAATAATAGTATGTCAGAAGCTTATTACGCAGAATTTAGGTTGACTAGGCCCTGTAGATAGATGACTGAATCTGTCCACGGTGCGTAATGCGCCGTTATCCGACCATTGTGATTGGCCAATGGCTGCGTGTTGCGCTAGGAAGAGTGGCCGAGGGAGCTCGGCAGCTCTCTGTTTCCCAACTGAAACAGTGCGAGTTTGGCAGCCCTTGACAAGACGCTACAGGGAGCATTAGTGGTGCTGGTTATAATTAGGTAGTACGTCTGGGAGTTGCTGGGATACACGGCCACACGGCGCAACAAGGGCACAAGAATAACGCAGAAAAGTTGCACAATTGTGCTGATCATTCATGAGACGGCGGGCGGGTGGTCTATGCTTGTTGCCAAGCAAAGACGGCGAGGCGTGGTACTGTGACGTGATGGCAGATGGTAATATTATGCATATTACAATGTCTGATGCAGCGTCTCGGAAAGAAGCAGATCATATGGACGCAGCCACCGACTCAAGTAATCCGTTAGGGTAAGTCGTAGTTTGGAAACTAGGTAGCTAGCAGTTGTTGGACAGCGGCTTTCCAGCCGACGGTCTCTTCATCTCTACAGCCTGGTCGGAAGATATTTGGGACAGGTATATTCGTGACCTAAATGGCAAGGTCGCCAAGCACAGGGCACAGTGGTAACTGTTACATGCTTGCTGTTGGAGAAGCTTTAAACGCTACCTAACTCGGCTGTTGGCGTGTGAGACAATGAGCAACCGGAGACAGGCTTGGCTAGTGCAACGTTTGGGCGTCCTAGAGTGTTGGCACGAGTGGGAAATATCCCCGAATTGCTGTCAGATCCCCCCGATAATACAAAAGCAGAACGGCCATAATTTGACGCAAATGGCTTTGAGGATGACTGATTTGTTGGCACCGATACTCGGGGTTCGTGTCCGGGGAGCCTGGGCACGGCATTTGGAGGACCGAAAAGCGCTAGCAGCTGCGGGCAACGACCCAGCAACCAAAAACCCCTCCCATTCAAGACTGCCTCGAGGGACGCTGTGAACCCCATGTGGGTGATTGTGTGGCAGTTTTGGTGTCGCGCCAGAGTTGACGAGTCGGATGTGTGAAGCTTCAAGACGGCCTGTGCCTGATAAAAGTAGCTCATGGGGGGAAAGGTTCCGAGTTCTGAGGTGATACTCGTCGCCTGCTGTGTACCTACTTGGGACCCTAGGTACGTTGTAGGGGCCCAGGTAGGTACCTAGGTAGGTAGCTACCAGGTACGCTGCTAATGACACACCTAGTGCTGGGGGAGGGAAGTTGTCGGTCCGTTGTACGCAGCTGCATCTGGAAGAAGACGAATGAGAAGAAAAAGGTAGAGAAATAGATGGATTATACAAGTCCGCATCTATTCTTTGAGCATATTGATTGCAACAAGAGTGCTTCATTCTTTAGTTTGTCTGTGGTGTCACGGTTGTTGGCATGACTGCCTGTGGTGGTATCTTCACCCCTCCCCCTCCCCTCCCCTCTCCCCCACCAGCTTACCAGAGGCAGGTACGCCAGTGCATCTACTCCGTACTGTAGGTACAATTTTTGTGGCCTGCCAGCTGCCAGCTGCCAGCTACCAGCTGCCAGCCGCCAACCGCTGTTTGCACCCCGCCGTCCGTCTCCGGCATCTCTTTCTTTTGGCTTGTGAACCTTTTTAAGTAGCCTCCCAGCTCCCCTCCGTCTTCCTTGCTCCCGAACAACCCTCATCCTCCTCCCCGTCTTTTTTCTTCCTCCCATCCCACATCTTTTTTCCCTTCAATTCGCGTTGCTTCTTTGCTACCCTCCTCCTCTGCTACAAATCTCCCACCATGGCGCCCCTCCCCGCGGCGTCTCTGCCTCAGCAGGCCCTGACCTTCAACGACGTCTTTGAAGATGTCGACGACGAGCCCCAGCAGCAGCACACGGTCCAGCACATCCGCGCCAATTCGAGCATCATGCAGCTCAAGAAGATTTTGGGTGAGTTTTCGTATGCGCCTTGCAGCTGGCGCGCGTCGCCAAGTCTTCCTCAACAAGGCCTAGTCCTGTGCTAACCGAGGCCTCTACTCTCAGTCGCCAACCGTGGTGAAATCCGTAAGTCGCTCTCTACAGCTTATCGCCACGCTGAAAGCCACTAACAACATTCCTCTAGCTATTCGAGTATGCAATCATTCTTCAAAATCAAACAATGGTGCCCAATTGGCCTTCGTTTATGCTGACTCCAGTCTCTCTGCGCTCTAGATCTTCAGAACTGTATGTATTCGCTTGTCCCGCTGCGCGCACCGTCCAGTCTAACACACTCGCAGGCCCATGAACTCTCACTACACACTATTGCTGTCTTTAGGTACAACGGCTTATTACTCTAAGATAGCAACTTCTTTCTTTGAGCGTTTGCTAACTTTCTGTAGCTATGAGGATCGTCTAAGCATGCATCGTCAAAGTAGGCCACCTACCCCGCCACCACCTTTTGCTCCGACGCTAACCATCCCCATCAGAGGCCGACGAAGCCTACGTTATCGGAAAGCGCGGCCAATATACCCCTGTCGGTGCCTATCTCGCTGGCGACGAAATTATTAAGATTGCGGTCCAGCACGGCGCTCAACTCATCCATCCCGGTACGGCTTTACCCCAATGACGCCACACTGCAGCACTTCCCGAGCTTACTCCACTAGGTTACGGTTTCCTCTCCGAAAACGCCGAATTCGCGCGCAACGTCGAAAAGGCTGGTCTCATCGTGAGTTGAAATGTGCGCCCGCTGAAAATTGGCAAACTACTGACACGACTCTGCCTCGTAGTTTGTTGGCCCCTCTCCCGACGTGATTGACGCCCTCGGTGACAAGGTTTCTGCCAGAAAGCTTGCCATCGCAGCTCAAGTACCCGTCGTCCCCGGTACCGAGGGTGCTGTTGCCACCTTCGAGGAGGTCAAGTCCTTCACCGATGAGTATGGTTTCCCCATCATCATCAAGGCTGCTTACGGCGGTGGTGGCCGTGGTATGCGTGTAGTCCGCGACCCCGATACCCTCCAGGAGAGCTTTGAGCGTGCCACCTCCGAGGCCAAGTCCGCCTTTGGTAATGGTACCGTCTTTGTCGAGCGCTTCCTTGACAAGCCCAAGCACATTGAGGTTCAACTTCTTGGTGACAACCACGGCAACATTGTCCACCTGTACGAGCGTGATTGCTCTGTCCAGCGTCGCCACCAAAAGGTGGTCGAAATTGCTCCCGCCAAGGATCTTCCCGTCGAGACCAGAGACGCTATTCTCGCCGACGCGGTCAAGCTCGCCAAGTCGGTCAACTACCGCAACGCCGGTACCGCTGAGTTCCTTGTCGACCAGCAGAACCGCTACTACTTTATCGAGATCAACCCCAGAATCCAGGTCGAGCACACCATCACCGAAGAAATCACTGGCATCGACATCGTTGCTGCTCAGATCCAGATCGCTGCTGGCGCTACTCTTGCCCAGCTCGGCCTGACTCAGGACCGCATCTCTACCCGCGGCTTCGCTATTCAGTGCCGTATCACTACAGAGGACCCTGCGAAGCAGTTTCAGCCTGACACCGGAAAGATTGAGGTCTACAGAACTGCCGGTGGTGCCGGTGTCCGTCTCGACGGTGGCAACGGTTTCGCCGGTTCCGTCATCACACCTTTTTACGATTCCATGTTGGTCAAGTGCACTTGCCACGGCTCCACCTACGAAATCGCCCGCAGAAAGGTACTGCGTGCCCTCATTGAGTTCCGTGTCCGTGGTGTCAAGACCAACATTCCCTTCTTGGCTCGTCTGCTCACCCACCCCACCTTCATTGACAGCAACTGCTGGACCACTTTCATTGATGACACTCCCGAGCTCTTTGATCTTCTTAGCAGCCAGAACAGAGGCCAGAAGCTGCTCGCTTACCTCGGCGATGTTGCCGTCAACGGCAGCTCTATCAAGGGTCAGATCGGTGAGCCCAAATTCAAGGGCGAAATCATCATTCCCGAAATCGTCCGATCCGATGGTACAAAGGTCGACGTCAGCGAGCCTTGCCAGAAGGGGTGGAGAAATATTCTCGTCGAGCAGGGCCCCAAGGCCTTTGCCAAGGCCGTTCGCCAGAACAAAGGATGCCTTCTCATGGATACCACTTGGCGTGATGCTCACCAGTCTCTTTTGGCCACTCGTGTCCGTACTGTTGATCTGCTCAACATTGCCAAGGAGACCAGTCACGCCCTGTCCAACCTCTTCAGCTTGGAATGCTGGGGTGGTGCTACTTTTGATGTTGCCATGCGCTTCCTCTACGAGGATCCCTGGGATCGTCTCCGCAAAATGCGCAAGCTTGTTCCCAACATTCCCTTTCAGATGCTTCTCCGTGGCGCCAACGGTGTAGCATACTCTTCTCTCCCCGACAATGCCATTGACCAGTTTGTCGAACAGGCCAAGAAGAACGGTGTTGATATTTTCCGTGTCTTTGATGCTCTGAACGATATTGATCAACTCGAGGTTGGTATCAAGGCTGTCCACAAGGCTGGTGGTGTTGTTGAGGGTACCGTCTGCTTCAGCGGTGACATGCTCAACCCCAAGAAGAAGTACAACTTGGAGTACTATCTTGACCTTGTCGAAAAGCTCGTCAAGCTCGATATTCACATTCTTGGTATCAAGGATATGGCTGGTGTTCTCAAGCCCCACGCTGCTACCCTCCTTATCGGCGCCGTTCGCGAAAAGTACCCCGACCTGCCTATCCACGTGCACACCCACGACTCTGCCGGTACTGGTGTTGCCTCCATGGTTGCTTGCGCCAAAGCCGGTGCCGATGCTGTCGACGCCGCCACCGACAGTCTGTCTGGTATGACTTCTCAGCCCAGCATCAACGCCATCTTGGCCTCACTTGAGGGCACTGGCCTTGAGCCTGGTCTGGATCCTCACCAAGTTCGCGCCCTGGATACCTACTGGTCGCAGCTCCGTCTCCTCTACTCTCCTTTCGAGGCCCATCTCGCCGGACCCGATCCCGAGGTTTACGAGCACGAGATCCCTGGTGGCCAGCTCACCAACATGATGTTCCAAGCCTCCCAGCTCGGCCTTGGCTCCCAGTGGCTTGAGACCAAGAAGGCTTACGAGCAGGCCAACGATCTCCTTGGCGATATTGTCAAGGTCACACCCACCTCCAAGGTTGTTGGTGATCTTGCGCAATTCATGGTCTCCAACGGGCTTGATGCTGAGGCTGTCAAGGCTCGTGCCGGCGAGCTCGACTTCCCTGGCTCTGTTCTGGAATTCCTTGAGGGCATGATGGGTCAGCCATACGGCGGATTCCCCGAGCCTCTCCGAACCGATGCTCTACGTGGACGCCGCAAGCTTGACAAGCGCCCTGGTCTCTACCTCGAACCTGTCGACTTTGCTCAAGTCAAGAAGGACCTGGGCAAGAAATACGGTGCACCCGTTACCGACTGCGATATTGCTTCTCATGTCATGTACCCCAAGGTCTTTGAAGACTACCGCAAGTTTGTCGCTGAGTACGGTGATCTCTCTGTCCTTCCCACTCGCTTCTTCCTTTCCAAGCCTGAGATTGGTGAAGAGTTCAACGTTGAGCTCGAGAAGGGCAAGGTTCTGATCTTGAAGCTTCTTGCTGTCGGTCCCCTAAGCGAGAATACTGGCCAGCGTGAGGTCTTTTTCGAGATGAACGGCGAGGTCCGCCAGGTCACTGTCATTGACAAGACGGCTGCCGTTGAGAACGTCAGCCGTCTCAAGGCTGATGCTACCGACTCGAGCCAGGTTGGTGCTCCTATGTCTGGTGTTCTAGTCGAGATGAGAGTGCATGAGGGCTCGGACGTTAAGAAGGGCGACCCTCTGGCTGTCTTGTCGGCCATGAAGATGGAAATGGTTATTTCTGCCCCCCACAGCGGCAAAGTTGCCAATCTGCAGGTCAAAGAGGGTGACTCTGTGGACGGCTCCGACCTTGTCTGCCGCATCACCAAATAAAATGGCAAAAGCAAGCTAGCAATTGATGCAGAAACCGGCGCGGAATGGGACACGGAACTGAATTACGACTGTTTTACTTGTGTAGCACTTTATAGTATGAATACATTTGATGATAAGATGATTTGTGTCTTTTGCGTGCCTTACAAATGACGATTCAATACTTGTAAAACGTGTAGTAGGCGGATCAAAGAGAAAGCACAGGGGGCGAGGGCATCATGGGCCGGGTACCGAAATCAGCTAAAGAACCTGGATGAATTTGATATAAAGGAGGGAGAAAAAACGTAAGCCATCTAAAGAGGGGTGGCTGACGATGAGGGGTATCGCTGACTGAGTCAGCGGGCGTCGTGTCTGCCAACATTCACCCTTACGGCGGATGGCTGGGTCCGCATTTCTACTAGACAGAAGAGGCGATGATGGCGAAGAGGGCGTTGGGTCGGCGATGGAGGACTGGAGAATGTGGGAGAAGCGGTATGCCGGAATGGGACGGCGCGGGTGGTGGCACGAGTGTACGCCTAGAAGACTTACATATTGACCTGTTGAGAAGGAATCGACGGAAGTTAGAAGGGCATGTGTATAGAAGTTTCGAGACGATCCCTTCTTGGTTATCATGCAGGTGCTGTCTGCAGTCTTTGATGATGGGCAAGTGTGTGTTGCGATGATGAGGGGCTCGAGACAACAGATACAGCGACAAAAATGGGCTGTTGTAACCAATGATTGCCAACCGTGCAAGGTGTGGGCAAGCCGTGGCTAACGACGGCAGAATCAAGGCATTGATGCTGAAAGGATTAATTAACCCGCTTGTCGTTGTCGTTCGAACCACCGTCCCAAAAGTTCGCTCTAGATCAAAGGACCGGGAATATAGTAAGCTTATGGTGATGCAATAGGTCGCAGTTTTTTGACTACTATCACCACGGCGTGAACAGGCGAATAGAAAAAAAGGGAAGCTAATTGGGATCACGATGCACTACCAGTGACGGCATCTTGGGCGGCGTATGGTCCGAGGAAGGGTGCTCCGACGGTGTGTGCTTGAATGCAGGACAGCGACTGGCTGAAATGCAAAGAATGAAGAGGGTGTGAACATGAGGCACACCGTAGCTCACGGGGGACCGGGGGGGGGGGGGGGGGGAACGGCGACGGATGCGCTCTCCAAGTTTTGGGATGACGAAGGATAGGTAGGCTTAAACAGGGAGGTGGAGGAAAAGTAAGCTGCCAAGTTTTATTGCTGGGCGCCAAAACCCGGTTTTGATGGCTGTGTTTGGTGTCGAAGCCATGGATAGGCTTGCTGGCGATGGAGTCGTTTGTTTGAGCCTCGATGAAGAAACAGAGAGGTATAGTAATTGGAAGTGAATAGTTGCCTTGCACTTTTGCTCGTCAACGCGGAGGGCGTCCCCTGCATGGAGAGGGGAAGCATGAAGAGGCTGGACACGAAGCACGGAGCGAGTGGTGCAACGACAGGGTCGCATTCCGACAGACAAGGGGTTGTGTCGGGGCAACATGGCAACATGACGGCAGGGTGATCGATGATTAGGGGGGGGGGGTCAGGCCTAGCCAGTTGGTGGCGCGTGAGTACTCAATGCTTGGTGTTTCGTTGATGAGGGAGTGAGGTGATGTGCGCGTGGAGTGGTTTCTTTGTCTTTTTCCCTTGTCCTTTTTTATGTGTGTTTTGGGGGGAGAAGAAGCGGATGCAGTGGATTGCCGTTGCATAAAACAATCTTGAGAGCATCAAATATTGATGTGCTGGCCGATTGAGGAGCCTTTGTACAAGTACCGGCCGCATGCCGGGAGGCATCAACCTTGTGCAAGTATTAGTACAGAGGACAAAGAATGGATTGATTGAGAACCGGGGAAGAAAGGGAAAAAAGTGTGGGGGTTAGCGCGTGACCCCGCACGATACAGGCTGCGAAAAGGGAAAATTTAGCGGGTGAGGGGAAGCTACGGAGGGTTACGGGGTCTCAGGCGGAGACATCTCGCAGTTGGGTTAGGGGATGAAAGCGGGCTTAGTAATGTATTGAAGTTTTCAGGCTCGACGCCTCTACCAGCAGCATCTTGCATCTACTGTTTAGACCATAGATGAGGAAAATAAAGGAAATTAGTTCAAAAAGCCAAGTCTCTGTTGAAAATTTTTCAGGCAGACCCTACTATAAGACTTTGTCACTTTCCAGGCTGGCAGCAGAGTCCTGTGGTCACTGGACTGGCTGGTCAGTGGCCACACAAAAGCGGCCCCTCCGCCAGCCTGCCATTGCCCACCCCAAGGCCCCCAAAACCTGGTCCGTCTGTTTTCAGCCGAGAACAGGCTCCTTTCCTAAACATTTTCCCCTTCCCACACGCGCTCACCTCGTTTTTTCCTCCTCACAACCATCCCATCCTTCGACGACAAGACTACCAAAGTACTGCAAGGTCTCAAATAACAATAACACCATCGTCTCGCAGACCTTCCTGCCTCTTCCATACACTTGCTGCCGATACCGAGCCAACCACTTTGCTCAGCACACAATTAATTTCGACCACATTCCCACCACTACTGCAACCACACCATCACATCCTGCGACAACTATCACCAGGCTGGCTAAACCGCCCGTTTCGCTGCCATATTTCTCTTACATTTTAACACTCCCATACAATATCCATCGTCATGGAGAGTTTGCAACTTTCTCAGGTCCTCGCCGATCTGAGTAACCTCGGCGCCGCGGTACGTGTGCTTACGCTCTGCATGCAGTCTGGCGCTGCGTGTTTCCATTTCCCGAGAAAAAAGAAAAATGCTGCCACATGGACAATCTGTCACTAATCCATCATTTACAGGAACCCCAGGCTGCCGCCGCCATCGTCAACGCCAATGTCCCCATTGTCCGATCCGAAAGCGCCAATGAGTCGCCGACCTCACAGCCCCAGCAACAGCAGCAGCGCCCTCCTGCCATGCGCCGCCACTGGTCCACGGAACAGGCCGGCCTTCCCAAGTTCGACAAGCTCGGCCGCCGTATCCTCATCAGCTCACCCAACATGTCCCGCCCCTCTTCCAACACCAGTTCCATCCCCGGCACCCCGCGCGGCGGCGGTTCCGACGTCAGTATACCCATCACTTCTGCGCCCGCGCTCTCCTGCGTGGCCTTACGCCAAAGGGAACAAAAAAAAATTAACCCCCTATATAGGTTGACGATGACCTAGAACGCGCCTCTACCCTCATGGCCCTCTACGACATTCGCGCCAAGATCAAGCAGCAGGACAACAGCAGCCTGCTCAAGGCCCGCGAGAAGATCAACGCCCTGGCCGCCAAGCAGCAGGCCCAGCAAGCCGCCGATCGAAACGCCAAGGCCGCTGAAGAGGCACGACGAAACCGATATTCTTTCCCCCGCAGCGGGCTCTAATGTTGTTCGTCAAATGCGCCATCGAGCGCCTACATGCACGTGAGTTGCGCGCCTTGTACGCCGCAATCGCGTTTCGCCTATCTATATATATCCCGGCTTCTCCTACGTGATTCTCTTATACGACCTATGACTACGATACCACCACGCCAACAGCGTGAACACTACAGATGCGCAGTTGACATGATGCAATACCCCCTTAATGACCTACGACCTACGGCAGCATGATGCGTGAATTGGCCATCTGCGATGGATTCCTGAAGGCACAAAAGTTTTTCGTTGGTGTCTGATGCTGGCCACTTTTTTGTACTTTTGGGGGACAACATAAGGCAATACTTTTACGAGAATTTTTCCCCATTGCGGCGCGGCGTCACGGGTGACTTTTTGTACGGATCAAACTTGGTTTTCCCACGCATATTCCATTTTATTTCTTTTTCTTGCGACGTTTTTTTTATGAGACTGGCGAGGGAATACAATGGCAGCGAAGAGTAGAAGGCGGCGAATGGGGACTTGTCCTCTTCGGACAGCGAGCTTTTTGGACGGATGATTAGAAGAGGGTGAAAAAGGTCGCTAGCCCTTTTTGCATCTTTATGAAGCCTGTACGGAGACGTAATAAATACTGTCTTAATTCTTTTCCCTACTTGTTTAAGTGCCTTTGTGAGGTTTAGCAAACTCAAGAGACGTCAGAGTTGCCTGGGAAGAGATTGCCGATACTCGAATTGTACAACTTGGCAGAGCAGGGCGTCATCAGCTATCGCAAAATGCCATGTTCGTTGAAAAGAGAGGTTATTCGGCCGCGTATCAACGCTCCATTGAAAAATTATACTTTGGTTGGAAGCGAGGTAGAAATGAAGGCAGATCTCTGAAGATTAAGAAATGGAAAGAAACATTTTTTTAAAGAGATCGGAGTATTTGGGCCGACCCATATGTTTTTCGTGTCAGTGCAATCATCGTTGGCATGCACTGACATTTGTCACTCTGTTATATCATACGCATCGCCCTATGTATAGCGGTTTCGAAGATCAGGTGTCAAGAGTGCCCGCACACGTCAAAGGCAACAGTTCGAATAGTTCTGGATTGGTTATTGCCTGCTCAGCGCCGCCCCAAATACTGGTATGCCGTGGCGCCCCGACGGACAAGTCTCTTCCGTGCGGATTTGTTTCCAGCATGTCGCTGTTTTGCCCGGCGATGCTGCTGAGCCACGTCGGTGGCCAAATGAACGCGCGGCCGGCTGTCGGTTATCGGCGCCGTTTGGGGGCGGGTTCTTCTGTCGCGATCTCGAGCCATGTTGCATAATTGGGAAGAATTTGTCAGTGGCACTTGGATTCCATGATGATGGTTATTTTTTTTTTTTTGGGTGGTGCTCTTGGCGTTGGGCCGCAGGCGTGGCGGTGATGTATGCTTTTCGTCATACATGCGGCGGGCACACATACGCACACACAAACGCAAACACGCAGTAAGTATGAGGTGCCTGAAGTTTGGGGGTTTTCGGTTTCTACTACCGGGTTTTGTAGGGAATCGGTGGCATTTGTTCAATTAGGTTGAGCACTGAAACACGATCATCTCGGGCTGCCTTGTACGTATAGAGTTGCTGCTCGACGGCGAGGCCGCCACAGGCAAGCCCACCCGACGCTCAGCCACAGACCATCATCCCCTGCCTGCAACGAGAAACAAGTGGGCTGAATAAGCTTCGCCCTGCAGCGGGCGCGCCCCACAGCCTGGGCTGCATACGATTTCACCCAAATGACGTCTGCACCGCCACCAGAGCCAAGGATAAAAAAAATGGTGACGGTTGACAACGGCAAAGCTGCGCAGGAGAATCAAGGAGAAGGCAGCAAAAAAGTCGGGAGAGAAGGGGAAGAGAACCAGAATCCGTGCAGTATCAAGGTTGATGGAAACTCATTGACGACATTATAGGCCGAGATCAGTCACGCTAAAAAGAAAACAAGATGAGCTCGTCAACTTTCCCCATTGCCATGGCGGGTCTCGTCAGGACGTGCGCTACTGAGGAGTCTCTGTCTCTTCTTTTCAGCCCGCCCAGACACACCTAGCCACAAATTGTCAAGAGCCGTCTGCCTGGGCTCCGCCTCTTTTTCAGCTGCTGGCGCCTTATTTTCGACTTTAATGCTGCCCTGCCCACGTATGCCTCCCAAAGTTCCCTTTGCATTCATCGGCTGCTACAGAAACGTCATCTCTCTCTTTGTCTTTACAGATACTGTTACTTCTCTTCGTCCTCATCAACAGCATCATCATACGCAGAGACACTGCAAGGCTTCCCATCGTCTTCCCCGGCTCTGTGACTACCCGTGCCAGTTTGGCGCCTCGCTTGGCTCAGAAATCGTCTCCACTTTTAGCTGCAACAAGTGGCACCATAGCCTCTTGGACAAAGGCTGCTCACGTCTGGTTTATCTTTTGGGTCCCCATCATCTATCTCCCACCGAGCCATACCATCCATAAATTTCTTTCCTTCATCTTACATTGTTGTCGAATACACAAAGTTCCGCTAGGACAGTATTTCGCCGCTTCGACTCACCATGGACGCGTCACAATTGCTCGACACCCGCTACATTGGCAGCCGATGCCCTAGCGGCTACAGCTACCGAAATGGTTACTGCTACCGCAACAGCTGGTACAGCTGGGGTCGCTGGGTCCTCGTCGGCGTCCTCATCTTTTTCGCTCTCATCTTCCTCTTCCTCTGCAGGTATGATTTTCCATCATCTCAGAACTGTCCGACATTTTTTCTAAACCGAAAAAAAAACACGTCTAACTTGTTTCTAGCTGCTGCGCTCGTCGCCGCGCGCGCAAGGGCTCCAAGCCCATGTATGGTACCGGCTGGATGGGCAACAAATGGGGCGGCAATAACAACAACCAAAACACCTACAACCAGGGTTACAATCAGCAGCCCTACAATCAGCAGCCCTACAACCAACCCTACGACTACAACCAGCAGCAGGGCTACCAGGCACCCCCCAACTACGGCAATAGCCAGCAGCCCCAGAACACCGGCACCACCTTCAACCCCAACGATGGCTACTACGGCAATCAGCAGTACGGCGGTCCCCAGCAGCCTCAGAACACGTATCATCCCGACGGCGGGTACGCTCCTCCCCCCGGCCCTCCTCCCGGCAAATAAGTAAAGAGGCGACGTTGAAGCGGCCTATGAGGGGGGACGAAAGGTCCAAGAGATGAAGGAGCAGACGACGGTTTGAACTAATGAATGCAACGTTGGACGGAAATGCGAGACGGCTGCAATTGAGCAATGGATGCTCAAACAGCTTGAAGAGGATATCAATTACTGGATGGACGGCGTTGAGCTGGATCTATATGCTACTTTTTTTTTTTTCCAATTCTGCTTCCTTGGGCTGCGCTGCTTCGTTTGCGCTCGGTTTTCAGAGCCTGTCGCCTTTTTTTGTTCATATTTGAACAGTTGAGAGATATGATTCCCCAGAAGATGGCTGGTCTTTTAGCTTTCTAATATATACAACTTGGATCCAGCATTCTGACACACAGCTGATGACCTAAAAATTTCTTGGAATATAATTAAGGCGCTGTATAAAATGATTATCGCTGTTGATGAAGTTCATATGAATCCCAAGTTCAGGAGGACAAAGTGACATGGTTCACTGGCAGCACCGTCTTCTTCACATGCGACATGCATAACGTGTGTCGGCTGTGTGCGGCTACATAAAAGCCACCACAGCTTGCAGGGCTTCAAGAACATGTGGTTGCTTCCATCCCAGCATCGAGTCAAATCACCATGTCCATTGCCCAACTATGGGATTGCAGCTTGTCGCTTTTGATGCAACCGCCGAGGCCGCCTAGGCCGAATCACCCAATCACGGAATCGGCCTAATTACGCCCATGGCCAGGCTCCATGCCGGGGCAGCGGAGCAACTGGGGGAGCTGCCCACTCGAACGCCACCTCCCCCCAGAATCCCAGATTACCTACTTACCTACTTGGACCGAGGCACACTGGCGACTACAGATGGCCGCCGTTTGACAGATGAATCGCAACCCTTTTCTTATCCACAACATCTACACATATCAAACACGACAGCTAGTTTGATTTCAATCCAGTCGCCCATCATGCCTTTTAGCACAAATGAAGAAATTGACGAGGCAAGTGCCGGCTCTTCCCTACTTCGCGCCTACACCAGCTGTCTACTCTACTGCTCTCGATAACCTCATCAATTCGCCCCTCCACTGTCCTCGCGCTAACTGATGCTGCACCCAAAACCTCTAGTCTGTCGACGTCGTCACACGGACTTTCAAGTCCAATGTAACCAAGCCGCTGGCCTGGCGCATCACGCAGCTTCGCAAGGCCTGGTGGATGTTCGAGGACAACAAGGAGCGCATCGTCGAGGCACTCAAGAAGGACCTCAACAAGCATCGGCAAGAGGCGCTGCCCGTTGACGTTGCTGGCGTCCAGGCCGCCATTCTCGAGGCCCTCAAGCACATCAAAGCCTGGAACGCCGACGAGCGGCCCGCCCGCACCAACCCGCTCAATCTGCTCGGCGGTGCCCGCATCCGCCGCGAGCCCAAGGGCGTCGCCCTCATCGTCTCGGCGTGGAACTACCCCTTTATGGAGCTGTTTGAGCCCATGACCGCCGCGCTCGCCGCCGGCTGCGCCATCATCCTCAAGCCCTCGGAGCTGGCGCCCGCGTCGCAGGACCTCATTGCCAAGATTGTCCCCAAGTACCTTGACCAGGACGCCGTGCGCGTCGTCACCGCGGGGCCGGCCGAGATGAACCATCTCCTGGGCAAAAAGTTTGACCACATCTTCTTTACCGGCTCCACCGTCGTCGGCAAGATTATCGCCGCCCGCGCGGCGCCCAACCTGACAACCACCACGCTGGAGCTCGGCGGCCGCGGCCCGGCCATTGTCACGGCCAACGCCAACATCGACCTCGCGGCCAAGCGCATCGCCAACATCAAGTTTCTCAACTCGGGCCAGGTCTGCGTCGGCGTCAACCACGTCTTTGTCGATCCCAAGGTCAAGGCGCCCTTCCTCAAGGCGCTCACCAAGTACTTTAACCAGTACCTCGGCGGCAGCTCCGTCACCAACCCGGGCTACGTCACCAACATCGTCAACGACCGCCACTACAACCGCCTCGAGGGCCTGCTCGAAAAGTCGTCGGGCAACATCATTTACGGCGGCGACCGCGACCCGGCGACGCGCTACTTTTCGCCCACCGTCGTCGACAACGTCACCACCGACGACTCGCTGCTCTCCGAGGAGCTCTTTGGCCCGATCCTGCCCATCCTCGACGGCACGCTCGACGAGGCCATTGCCTACACGTCCGCGCACGACCACCCGCTGTCGCTCTACGGCTTCACCGACTCGCGCGCCGAGCAGCGCGCCATCCTCGACCGCACCAACTCGGGCGGCGTCACCTTCAACGACGGCATCCTGCACATGGCCATGAAGGACGCGCCCTTTGGCGGCGTCGGCGGCTCCGGCACCGGCGCCTACCACGGCATCTACGGCTTCCGCGAGTTCACCCACCTCCGCACCGTCGCCTCCATCCCCGGCTGGATGGATGGCCTTCTTTCGTTCCGCTACCCGCCCTACACAAACGCAAAGGCGATTGCCCAGATCAAGGCCACAGGCGCCGGCGGCGCCGTCTCGTTTGATCGCGAGGGACGGTCCACAACGTCGGTGCTCGGTCGCATCCTCGGCCAGTGGAAGCTGCTGGTGCTCTTGGCTGTGGTTCTCAAGTGGCGCGGCTGGACTGTCGAGGACGTGCGCAGCCTGTTTGGATGAAAGACATTGTGTGGTATGCATCTTTGGAAAATCGTTTGAGACTGGAAATGTATGTTTTTTTTTTCTTAAATTGGAAATTTGCCCTGTAATTTCGTCATATCTTTGCCCAAGTCCATCGACTCTCATATACAATGCATGTGCGTAAATTGCCTGTCCTGTCGGCGTCCATTAAAAACCTTCCTCTTTCTTCCCCTTCTTGATACAACAATTACATTGTCGTCGCGCCCTCGACATCGAAAAATGGCCCGCACGTAAAGCTGTGTCCCCAGTCCATGGACGCATATCCCAGCCCGAGCTCTCCCCAGTCGCAGCACAATTCCGTCATCGTCGTCGCCGCCGCCGCCGCCGCATCACCAGCATCAAGCTGAAAATCTACCAAAAAGTCATTCGTGCTAAACTCGACCGTGTTGAACCACGCCGACGCCGCGGCGGCAGCAGCAGCGGCAGCAGCCTCTTCAGACTTTTGCTGTTTGGGCTCGAAAAACGCCCTGTTGATCCGGATCCTGCCAAAGTACGGCACCACGACGTCGTAGTCTTCGTCGGCCATGTACACGCCGCGCCGCGCCGCATCCAGCGCGTCCAGCGTCCTGACTGCTTGCTCCGCGACCGTGCACTCCATCACCGCCGCCGTCTGCCGCAGACACAGCGCCACGTCCCGCGCGCGCTCCGCATCCGCATCCGCATCTGTTCCGCCCACTTCCTCCTCCTCCCCCTCCATCATCACCCTCCCCGCCGCCGCCGGCGCGATCCAATGCCCCAGCACCAGCACCAGCGCGGCACTAAACGCCCGGAAATCCATCACCTGGCACAGCTCGGCGCCGCCTTTGCTCCAGCGCCGAAACTCGCAGTACGCCGCGCAGACGCCGCGCGCGGCGCTCATGGCGGCATGACGGCTCGGGAGGTACCGCGCGTCGGCAGCGGCGCGCGCGAGGTATGGCAGGTGCAGGAGCTGCAGCGCTGTGAAGAAGAGCACCTTGCATGACTGACGGTGCCAGCCGGCCGCCTGGTCGAGGTCCGGGGCGAGGTGGTCGGCGGCCCACCAGTGCGCGGGGAAAAGCCGACGCTGCGCGTCTACAAGCTCGGCGTCGAGCCGCAGCGTGGTGGCGTAGTCGTCGTCGTCGTCCTTGCTGCCGCTCTGGTCCCGGTCGATGATCTTGCCGCAGATGACGGCGAGGTGGTACAGAATCGTCGAGACGACGCTCTCATCTGGTGACAGCACGAGGCCCGGGTGCAGTGCCGACGTGCACGACGGCAGGCCCAGCGTCATGGCCATGTAGCGCTCTGCGCGCCACGCCATGGCCCACGCCTGCGCGGCGCGACAGTTCCCGCCCGTTCGTGCCGCCCTCGCCGGCAGACCCGCGCAAATGGCCGCGGTGACGGCCTCCCGATTGCACGTCCACGCACGCTGCGGGCGGCCCGCGTTGATGCATAGCTTGTACATCATGTTGAGGGCCTCGACGCCATCAATCGTGCCGCCATTAGACGACGCCTCTTCCGCATCCAGCCGCAGCAGCGCCCGCGCCGTCTCGACGTACGTGTCCACGAGCGCCTGCTGCGTGACCGACGACGGCAGCAGCAGCCGCCGCGCCGCCCGCTTTGGCGTCTGCTGCACGCACAGCGCCAGGAAGAGAATCGCCTTGGCCGTCGAGCCCGGCCGACCCGAGACGAGCGCGTTGTGAAACGTCGTCTCCGCGACAGGCACCTGCTGCACGGGCTCGAGGAGACGACCGTCGTCGTCGACGTCCTGGCCCGAAACGGAGGGGTCGCCGGCAAAGTAGGGCGGCCACGTGCCCCAGTACCGCTGCGTGGTGGTGAAGAGCTCCGCGACGCGCTCCGGCCGCGGCAGGTAGGGTGCGAATTGGGTGAGGCACTGCCGGAGCCGCGACGAGGCGGTCGGCGTGAGCAGCGGTGGTGGCGGATGATGAATGTCGGCGTCGACGCAGGGGATGGGGTCAAAGATGGAGGTTGCGCGGAAAAGGTTGATCAATGGCGAGTTTTGCAACGCGGGGCTCATCTGCGCTGTGCTGATCAGAGGCGGGCAAAGAGGGTGGTAACTGGGAAGCTGTAGCATGCTGCCAACAGAGGCAGGGCTTCGGTCATCGCTCAGCGAGGGTGAGATGCTGCTGCTGCTGCCGCCGCCGTGCGAGAGTCCTCCTCCCTCTGCTCCGTGGGCGCTGCCGGACTGACGGGAGACCATGTCCCCCGGCAGGCCCCTCATCAGCGCCTCCAGCTCGTCCAGTCTCCTCTTGAGCGCCGCCACGTCTTCTGCGCCCGATGCTGCGGTCCCATCGCCGCTGCTCTGCTTCTCCTGCGGCACGCAGCTGCTGCCGTGCGCTCGGCACGCGTCGCACCGCTCCTGGTCCTGGGGAAAGATGCATCGCACCTTGCGCCGGCGGCATTCAGCACAGCTCTTGGTGCCGAGGCGCATGCGCTTCCCCGGTACACCCATGCCGGATGCTGTCTTCTTTGCCGTTTTCTTTTTTCTCCCCCCTCTTCTTTTCCCTCTTGGTGGGCGGAGGGGAGGCTCAACGGTGTCCGGACTTAGGTCGGAATGCCGACAACCTAGCGGCAGTGCACCATGAACGGATTAGCTGAATAATATCACAGGGGTCTGAAAACACTATTGCAAAAGTTCACGGCTTGTCTTCTTCATCTCAGGTAGTCTGCTGAGAGAAAGGAGGATGGAAAGTTGTAAATGGAGACATCAGTCGAGCTCGGCCGAATTCGCACCAAAAAAGGTGGGACCGACCCTCGAGACGACTCGTCCGTATTATCAATGCTCCGACGAGGGAAAACACTTGCAATTACCTATCATTGTCAGTGGATAGTAAATCGAATCTAGATGTAATACGTGACTGATTTGCAATGGCGAACGCGTGGGACCAAATCTTATAAAAGACGCTGCCAAGGGCCACTCATCCCACGATTTTTCCTCCAGCTCAACTACACTTACACACCTTAATCGATTCATATCGCAGCTACATTATACTATACTATTCCACCTGTTCCTCTTCACATCCATACATCATCAAAATGGCCACACAGACCGAAGCCCTCGCCGGCATCGAAAATCACGTCCGCACCAACGTCCCCAAAGATATTAGCGACATCATCTTCACCGCCGTCTCCGACCACAAAGCCACCTTTGACCTCTCCAAGGTCATCCAGCCCGGCACCTCCTTCCCCGCCTTCTCCCTCCCCAACGCCGTCGGCGCCTCCGTCTCCCTCGACGCCCTCCTCGCCTCCGCTCCCAAGGGCGTGCTCCTCACCTTTTACCGCGGCGAGTGGTGCCCGTACTGCAACATTGCGCTGTCCTTTCTCCAAAAGCACGCCGCCGACTTTGCGGCCAAGGGCGTCGTCGTCGTCGCCGTCTCGCCGGAGCTGCCCACCACGTCGCTGACGACGGTGGAGAAGAATGAGCTGCGGTACGAGGTGCTCTCGGATGAGGGCAACGCGGTGGCGCGCAGGCTGGGCCTGGTCTGGCGCCAGTTTGACTCGCTGGCCGAGGTGTCGAGGGCAATGGGCGTCGACCAGGTCGCGCGAAACGGCGACGACTCGCGCGAGCTTCCCGTGCCGGCCAATATCCTGATTGACAAGGCGGGTGTGGTCAGGAATGTGCATGCCGACCCGGACTGGAGCAAGAGACTGGAGCCGAGCGTGATGCTGCAATGGGCCGATGCTCTGTAGCCGTTAGCAATTGAGTCAACTTTGCTCATGTGTTCACTACCACCTCTGTTGAACGCTATATAGGGAAAGTTCCCTTGCAGGAGCTTTTATAGTCATGTTATTTAGTCTAGATTTAGTCCTGTACGCTTCAAATTTATATACCGAAAATGTCCATCAAATTCCTTGCCGTGTCGCGCATGACAATCTGCATGCCGTCTTTGCCAGTGCCGACTTCGGCCTTGATCTCTCCATGCACGGTCTTGTTGTTCCACTCCTTCTCCCACTCTATCAGCGTCTTTTGAAACGCCATTTGGTCGTAGTCACCGGGATCCGTGGCGACGAGATAGTCCACAAACATCTGCCAGCGGTGGGCGTAGTAGTCGCCAATGAGACCGGCCCACTGCTTGGAGGCGTAGTCCTCAATCTCGCCGTTGGGGCCCCAGAGCGTGACCTGATTGCGGGCGTTGTACTCGAAAAAGTCGGCAGCGTCGCCGCCGCTCTTCCGCGCCGCCTGGATCCAGGTGGACAGTCGAAAGTGGACATTAGTCTCGAGGACTTGGTCCATGGTCCGCAGAATCGCCTGAAGCCTGCTACCGGCGCACTTGACGCCTTTGATGTTGTTGCTCTTGTACTTTTCAACGAGCTTGTTGTACGTCGCCTCGAACGCGTTGGCGAGTACCTGGCGCGTCCAGTCAGTAAGATCGTAGCTATAAGCTTCGTTGTCAAAGAGCCATCTCGCCTGGCTGCCGGCGTTGAACATGTCGTTCCAGGCGCTGATGAGTGTCTCGGTGTCGTACGTGATCTTGGTGGCGTGGTGGCCGGTTCGGTTGACGAGGCCACTTGTGCTGGGAACAAGCTCAAATATGGACTTTGCGACTGCTGTGACGGAAGAATCCGTGTTGTTATAGACAGTCGACCGGACCTTGTCCCAGGCAGTGTACAGGTCTTTAGGTATCTCTTTTTGATCCGCTCCGTAACGAACCGTCACCCAATCGGAAAAGTACTTGTCGGTTTCGAGTGCTTCCTTACTCCACGCTTGATCAAGGAGAAGATTGTACATGATTTCATTGCCTTCCTGACCCTCCATGGATAAGCCTAAACCGACAATCGACGGGGACTTTTGTACGGCCTCGACAGCATTCCTAGTGACATTCTCAATCTGGCCGTAAAGGCCCATGTTGCCTCCGTAGCCGTGTAGCTGGCACCAGATCCAAGGCTTGCCGTAGAATGAATCTGTGCGCTGCCACTGAGGGGTAGACTCGGCGAAGAGGTCAAGCAGCAACATGTCTTCATTGACGGGGACGCCGTCCAAAAAGGACTTGACACGATCATCAGTCCAGTACGCCTTGTCTGAAGCAAACAACCAGCCTTGCATCACCCACACAGCACTAGGATCAGCGTCCTTGAGCGTCTGCCAGGTGTTGTGACTGACGTTTCTTAGATACCCGAGCTCTCCAGAGGCAGGCTTATTCTCGTTGAACTGATCGAGCGTCCAGAAGCTGGTCACGTTGCCGTAGGCTTCGTTTTGCTTTGTGAGAAACGCCTTTTGCAGCTCGGCAAAGCGCGGGTCATACGGCGTGATGTACTTGTCCGCGGTGAAGCGGCCGGAGAAGCCGCTCCATGTGGGACTCTCGGCCAGGCTGACGTTTGGCCAGACGCGTGTGATGTTTTCAGGGACAAATCCGGGAAAGGCGGGCAGGATTGGCGTCATGCCGAGCTCAACCATGCGCTTGATAATCTTCCTTTGCAGGGCGAATTGGTCATCGATCCAGGCTTGGGGGAGGTCGCCGCCCCATGATCCCTGGATGTTGCCGAAATGCTGCCATGCCAGGAACGCGGGGCCGCTTAGAAAAGAGTTGATTTCCTCTTGGGTGAGACCAATGTCAAGAAACACGTCGGTAAAGATCTTCTCGACGCCTATCCAGGCAAGAGCGAGATTTACGCCGCGGAGGGCCATCCAGTCGAGCTGGAGCTCCCAGTCCTCCCATGACCAGAAAGCGCTGGTATATGAGGTTGTCACTGTAAAGCCGAGTGAGTTTTCGTTCGCGCAAAAGATTGTATGCAAAGACACGAAAAATCCTGCAACGCACCAGTGTTCCAGTGATAGCGGTACGGGACGATGCTGGCGCCCTCGAGCGTCTTGTTCAGGCGCGGAAGCGTCTTGGGAGCCTTGTCAAGCTCGCTTCCGACAAACCACCAGATGTCGACGTGAGCGACATCTGCGAGGTAGCGATGCAGCCTGCGGTGTGGTTTCCAGATTAGCAAATTAAACGCGCCAAGGCCCAGGCAGCATTCCTCCGCCTCATGCGCGCGCTGGCGGTGCAACACTTACCCTTGCAGGACGGCACTGGGGGAGGTGCCCTGGATCTGGATCTTGCCGTTGCTGCCACTGGACACAGTGTAGCGGTCACCGGACGTGGCAGACGTCGCAGCGGCATTGTCTATGCTCACTTGAAAGCTAGCAGCATGGTCTGGCAGCCTGCGCTTGATAAAGGCCGTGACGCCGTCGGTGGAGGTGGTAGTCGATGCAACGGCGGCGGTAATGGCCAATAGCAGCCATGCGTGTTGGAGGAGACGCATGGCGTTTTGGGACTGGAACAAAGACGGGTTTGCAGCCAGGTCAAGCCTCCGCAGATGCCATCGTGAAGAGACAGGAGCAAGGAAAACAAACGTTGACGAGTGCACAGTTAGTAAGTTCAAGACGGGAAGGCTTCCACAAAGAACAGACGAAACGACGCTAGTGGCCGGCAGCCTAGGTACCTATACTGTATACTGTATAAATACAACGGCACCACTCAGCGAATAGGGCACCCCCACGTTGTCTTGTTGGTTATTTAAGCCAATACCGAGCCACGAAAAAAAGGGGGCGAAATTGATTCTTAAGTAGAGTAAGTAATACGATGCTCTACTTGGAACCCAGATCTCGGAGTTGATGCCAGATTTTGCCTCATTTTCATGGCAGCCGACGCTGTCTGCGCGACAAGCAAGACCGCGGTGTGCATAATGCAGGGTACAGTGATGAGGAGTGAGGGCATCGTGAGGATTGTATGATACGCTCTTCTGAAGATTTTGAAGCGCTTGTATCATGCACTTTTATTGCTACCCCCTTAGCACTACTCTATTTATGCATGCTTTGCAGGTAGAGCGTGTGACTAACATGTCGACAGTTTATGGCGCAACGGTCTATTTTGGCATATGACTGACTAGACTACCTGTGAAGATTTGTTCTAGTTAGAGAAGAGGCGCAAGAGGCGCTCTCCTATTTCCGTCTCTGGGCGTCAGATGACATGTAAAGAATGTAAGATGATGCCAAGTCGACAGCGCCCCTCGGCGTAGTTAAAGTGGGATTGCCAGTTATTAGCAGACTAGCAGTGACCCAGCACTAGCAGTATGCAGGGATGTATTTACTTGAAGTTGGCAGCGAGTAATGAGGCCTGGCTACATTGACATCCACGACAGCCTACAAGACGCTGGGCACGAATGAACCGAAACAGATTCTAGATAATTACTTGTAACAAACGTCGGGTTTGACTGCGGCACTGATTGCACCAGTGTTGCACAGTATTGCAGTCCATCACTCAAGTTTGGGCAAACCCTAAAAATGACCAGACACTGGCGCAGGTCGCTTAGTTGACGATGAAACTCGAGCAAGTATGCAACCAGGCGACGCGCTGCCCAAGACGTACCGGACTGGAGGTTCTGAGGCGAGCAAGACAACGTTTGAAGCAAAGCCTGCAGCGGCCGGGCCCGACCTGTTTCCGATGAGCAGAGATGGGGACAAGAATTTGGTGACAAGGAGGAAACAAATCCGCAGCGTCTGAGCGAGTAGCTGCGCCGTCGTCTGTCAGACTGTCACGCTGGAGCGCAGCTAGATGGACGGACGGCACGACGGCTTTGACGGGAGACGGCCCACGGGGGCATAAAAGGGGAGCTGGAAAACGGGGAACTGTGGGAAAAAAGACAAACTTTTGGACATTTCGTGCATCTGACACTCATGGTGAATCGGGTGTAATGCGGCCCCCATCATTATTAGGCAGAGCGTATCGACAGGGTCGGAGGTCGGCAGAGCGGTGTTTGACCGGGAACGGCGGCAAAGAGCAAGTTTGGGGTTGAAGGGGCGGGGAAGTGAAGAAAGAGGCACAAAGGCAAGGGGCAGAATTGACAGTCTGACAACGATGCACTATTTACTTACCAACTCCGTACTTTTATCAGTACATGGTTGCAAAGAGGTCGTCACATCTTTTCATCTCGGGGTCTGTAGTTTTGGGCGGGTATACGTCAGTGGCAGGCTGGCAGCCCACTTTGGGGAGCAGACAGGGGCCTCAGGGGAAATGTTCATACCTGTCTGTGGCGCAGGAGCACTGAACAGAGTTGCGAATGCGACGGAATGCGACGCAGCGAAGGATGCACAAGAGGATAGACAGAGAAGTGCCCGCAAAATCACAACGAAAGAGGCATTCAATGCATCTTGGCAAACGCTCTGAGGCTAGTTCAACTTGATTTATCTCTAAATGATTTTTGAGTTTTACAAGCTGTTGTCTTTCAAGCCTGTTTCTGTCTCCAGTAGGTATTTACCTGGTGATGCAGGCAAAATAAAAGTACCGACGAGTAACTACCTCGCTAGGTAGCCCACCTTGCCACTGTTCCTCCACCAAACGCCTGGGTATAAGCCCACTTTTACAGGCACAACACCATTGAGGACGTCTCGGGGCTTAGGCCGGGTCAGTGCTCATGCTACTACTTCCAGGGCGTAGGTACCTATGTTACCCCCAGGCCGTACCTAAATGCTGTTGAAAGGCTTCTAAAAGGGCTGCTTAAAAGGCTCTTGGAAACACTTTTGGCAGGGCTACTAATATTCATCAACGGTAAAGGCTGCTGATAGGGCAACAGGGCCCCCGAGCAAGAGGTAATTATCGCTCCAGGGAAATCCCCAGTTCCGGGCCTGTTTCTAGCGGCCCCGCCCCCTGCAATAGCCCTTCCGCCCTGCCGTCACCGCTAAATTTGCCCGCACTAGAGCGCTGTCTGGCTGTGCTTTGTTCTCTTTTTCTTTTATTTTTGCTTACTTTTTTCTTCGGCTTTTCGCTTGCTTTGCTTTTTGTCTCTCGCCCTCATCCTGCGTACAATGCGCCATTCTGTTCTGGGGTTCACTCTCGCGCCCCTGCTTCCTACCCATTTGTCCTGCATCTCGTCTTTTTGCCCTCCTTTCCTCGGCCCCCTTCCCTCTTCATCATCGCCACCGGCCGAGGTTGAGTACGGCTTCTTTTTCACCCGTCCAACCTTGGACCACTCATTCGACTCCTGCCTTTTCACGCCTCGCTCATTTTGCTGACATTATTCCTTTAATTTTCACTCTCTTTTTTCTCCGGTCAGCTCTGTGCCTACCATTGTGGCTGTTACCACGCTGCTCTGCTACGCTACGACTCCATTTCATTTGCGCCCACACATGGCCATCGTCTTGATCGACACCTGCGATCTCAGATCATTCTTTCCTTATCACTAGTTGCTTCATCAGCTAGATACCGAACGACTCGCAACCTTTCTCAATCTTCATTCTTGCTGAGATCAAACGAGCTTCCTCACACAACATCAAATCACGCGCAACGCTACGGCTCTGGCAGCCTCCATTTTGTCGCTAACAAACCTCTATCGCAACCTCACGCCAGACAGCTTTCGCTGGTATTCGCCTCCAACCCTCTCCCAGCTTCCGGTCAGCCGATACTCTTCGCGTCTCCCGACGATTATCACTGTGTCATCATTGCACCACCTCCTCGCTCTGCCTTTCGACGGCCAACGTATACCTGCTTACGCTGCCTGTTTCAGCAACTCCCTCGGTAGCCACTCTATCGACACTGTGCGCCCGTTCCCTAGTCTCACCTGGCGCCTGCCGCTTATGTTGACGCTGTTAGATTTCTTTTAACGACTCGCTGTCAAAATTGTGCCCCTGCGACCACAGCCAAGTCGTAATGACCATATAACGGCTCGTGCAAAAGATCAACCCTGTTGCACGACCCCTTCGCCGTTATCCCTGTTCGACCGAACCGTCTTGTCTCGCCATCGCTTCGGCCCAACGACCTCAAAATGCATGAAATTGACGTGGCAATGGCTCGCAGTCTGCGGCCAACTACCTGGGAGGCTATAACCCACGTCTTCGCGAGACATTTGGTCGCCCAAGCCCACAAGCGCGACATTGTTGGTGATGCGCAGCAAAAGGTTGGCGACGTCAAGACGGCCTTTTCTAGCTGGGACAACTGTATGCAGGCTGCTTACTGCAAGTATGTGATGCCCGTCCTACATGCTCACCTGTACTCCTGTTGCTAACCATGAACCCAGGTGGCCCGTCATCGCAATCATAATCATCGGCAGTCTCATCATACTCTCGATTCTCTGGTGCATTGTCCGTTGCGCCTGCTGCGCTAAATCATGCTGTTGCGGCTGCTTCTCATGCCTCAAGTGCTGCGGCAACTGCTGCGGCTGTTGCGATCCTCCTGGTGGCCGCAAACACAAATACCTCGACGAGCCGTATATTCCGCCCCATCACGGCTACCAGCAGCAGGCTCCTATGCAGCCCTCCTTCCACCCGCCTCCTCCTCAGCACCACGAGACGCCGCAGTATGCTACCTTTGATACGTCCAAGAACCAAGACTCCTTGCCACAAATGCCCAGCTGGGAAGGCGCTAGTTCTAAAAAGGTCATGATCGAGGAGCAAGATGACGCTGTCGAAATGAATCAGCTCAAGAAGCCAGCAAATGACCCGCGTACGGGCATTCCCGCTGGCGCTGTCAGCCCCATGACTCCTGCCGACAGCCACGGTCCCTACAATCCGCCCAATCGTGGTCCTCCTAGCCGCGGGCCCGGCGGACCCGGCAGGCCCGGTGGCCCTGGCGGCCCTGGACGAGGCTACATGGCGAATAATATCGCTGCAAGCTCTAGTGGATATGGTAATCGACCCGTCAGTCCCCTCAACGAACCAGGATATGGTAACAACGGCTACAACCAAGTCGGCCTTGGTGGCCCTGGTGGCCCTGGTGGTCATGGTAATAATGGCTATATGAATGCTTATAACCAAGGCCCTGGTCAGAATTACAATTCGCACCACGATTACAACAACGGCCGTGTGCTAGATGGCTATGGCCTGGACCAGCCGTACGACTCGCCTGACGCGAATGCTGGCAGTCATACTGGTGGCCATTCCGGTGCAGCCATGGCCGGCGCAGGATTAGCTGGGGGACTGGCCGGTGCCGCCCTAGCCGCTGGCGCTATTCGCCATCAATCTCCTGCGCCCGGATCACGCAGCTACGGCACACCTCAGCAGCAGCCAGTATCACCGTATACTGATCTCTCTGCCGCGCCCAATTCTTTGAAGTCACCACCAGGTGGTGGCTATGTCGAGATGCCTGACGAGCCCCGGCGCAGGGAGGAGCCCCAAGTCAACGTCCATGCTGCTTTTGCTGAAATGTCTGCCGTGCCCACAACCAAGAGTCCCGTGCATGAGGAGCTCAAGAAGGAGCCGGAGCCTATTGCGTACGAGATGGCTACTGATCAGGTAGCCCCAATCGAGCTCGATGGTGGATATGTTGGACCAATTCAGCCAAACCACACTCAAAGCTCGCCCTATGCAATGAGCGCTGAGCTCGCTGCTCAGCCTGCCACCCGCAGCCCGACTGCCCGAAGTCTGGCGACCCAGACTCACCATGACGCCCCTGAAGTTTATGACCCTCAGCGATCACCACTCGGAGGCGCAGCCGCTAGTGGCGCCGCTGCTGGGCAGTACGGGCAGTATGGCCAATCTGCTCGCCAAGACGGCATGAACACCAGATCGGGTCCCGAGGGCTACGGAATGCGACGTCAGCGTACCGGCGATAACGGAGCGCCCTCTCCCATGGGCCCTCAGCCACCATATGGCATGGATCCTCGCATGAGACAGTCGCCTGGTCCCATGTCTCCCAGATCGCCAGGTCCTCGCAGCTCCCCCGGCCCCGGTGCCGGACCCCGACGCGCACCCGGCTCGCGACCCGACCAACACTTGAACACTTCACCTCTCAACACACCAGCGCCCAACGAAAGCCCGTACAACCGTCCCGGCTTTAACCAGGGCCCTGGTCCCCACCGCGCGTACTCGCCTGCCCCGCGCCAACCGCGCAGTCCCGACCACAATGTGCCGGTCGGCCGGCCCAATGGCCAGACCGCCTTTGCTGAGCCCCAGCCGCAGTCTCCCATTACAAACAATGCCGGGTTTGATTTTACCTCGGGCTTCGCGCGACCGCAGACCAGCAACAGCGAGCGCCGCCAGCCGCAGCAGCAGCAACAAGGCTATCAGGAAAAGCCCCGGCCGTACAATAACCAGGCACAAGGTGGCTGGAACGGGTACTAAATCACAATGCGATTTGCAATGGTTTCATTTCGATGCGTGCCAACAGGAGCGAGCATTTGCAACCGGATAAAAAGTTTTTTTTTTCTCTTCGCGAGTGATGATATTTTCTTCTACCTACCGAATGGGTGTACATTGATCATGGTGGGCACAACCCAAAATTTGCATATACTCCATCTATATATACACTGGCGTTTCTTTCTTGACGGGGATTCCTTCTTTTCCACCTTGATGATACAATTATCTAGTCGTTTTTTTTTGTTGCTTCTTACGTCTTCGCTTCAAACCTCTTCTTCAATTCATAACGAACTCTTCTTCCATATTCAATATTCTTTGGTGTGTCATGTTGATTGTCAAAAAGCCAGTGCTTCGATCTACGGGGCTCGATTTGATTTGGAAAAAACTACATTTGTAGGCGGAAAGTTGCAGAAAATTCACGTTGAGCTTTGCGCGGTAATTGTTTTCCTGTATATTTCGAGCATCTAGAACACGACTGCCCTATCTCACGGCCCTCTCTGAATTTAAGCTTAGAGACCCAAACTCCTGCGTTTATGCCAACCAAAGAGCGTCAACCAAAAAAGCAAATGCTGGGACAAAAGTCATCAAAAACAAGAAAATAATCGCTGTATCCAAATGCTTGCGTATTCCCGAATGTGCCGCTGTATAGAATTGATTCATTCCTTGGGTAATAGATTGGTAGTCACTGGCGTCGACGGCTTGGCGTCAGTCGCTGATGAGCTGCTACCTAAAACGGTACGCGCATCGCCGTCCAGATCTGGGTCGTACTCTTCGTTATTAGTGCTGATCCGGTCCAGATTCCGAGCCCGCGTCGACCTCGTCCTGGGCGAGGCCTTGTCGACGAGCGGCGCCTCATCATCGGCGTCGCCGTCACTGTCAAGACCTTCAGGAGAGTCGTCATTGGGGTGAAGAGGGCGAAAGTGGCCGCGCTCGTCGTCGGTCGAGTCAACCTCGGTGATGGGCTTCTTGATGAAGGAGTCGATAATGTAGTATTGAAGGGCGTTCATGATGAGGGGAAAGATCATCATGACGAAAGCAATCTGCAGCTTCTCATTGCCCTCGGTCCAGCTGAGCGCCCAGTCGCCAACCTTGGATATCCAAGGCATGGTGATGAAGATGATGAGAACGCAAATCTTCATGAGGAACAGGCCGCAAAAGTAAATGACGGACTGCTTGAGCCACCACCATGCGTTGGGCGGGTTGCCATAGTGGCCAGACTGGATTGACTCACGGGGCTTGCCAACAGGCGTAAGGGCAACGATGGCGGTCAGAGCGTGGAGCAGTCCAATGAGGATGGGAATGCCGAGTGTGGTCTAGTCTTTTGTTAGTATGCACGAGGCACAATCTGGAAACGGCGGTCTATACTCACATCAATGCCGAGGTTGAGGAGGTAAAAGGAGCACGGGTTAGGCATGTACGGAGCTGCGGCGGCGGAGGCAGGTGTGCCCCGACCGACGACATTGGTGGCCGTGATGGAGAAGCGCCCACTGGTGAGCATGGACATGAAGATGTTGGCAATGTGAACCAGCACCGATCCAAACACCTGCTTGGATGCGTCAAAGGCCCATATCTTGACGGGCCGCTGCGGGCGCTCTCGCCAGCGCTTGTAAACGAGGGCCAGCAGAGCCAGCCCGCCGAGGGCGGCCTGCACAAGCAGGGCAAAGGAGCCCAGCAGCTGGCACTCGCCGTCGGAGTCGTTGGGGCTGGACGGGGCCGTCGGGGACGGCGAGGCGGCGGTAACGAAGATCATCGAGGCCGTTGTCGTCAGCGTCGGCGTCGTGCTGCTGTGGGATGTGAGGGTGGCGGCGAAGCTAGTTGCGTCGGGATGGTCGACGCCAATGGCGGGTGCTCTGAGAGCATCCATAGTATTTGCCACAGCGAGCGTCGCTATGGAAATCGAGATCTGTCTGGATGTTGACAGCGGCTGGACAAGGGAGGCGGTGATCGACTCTTCCGCTGGCCTGATGGTGTAGCAGGATAGAGATATCTCGCCACGTCGGAGGCTTGGTTTCTGGGGGCTGGTTTCTGTGCAGTCTGAAACAGGGACTGTAAGGGCATGGATTGCAAATGGGAAAGGTTGTCAGATGGTCATGTGTATCGAGGCCGGAAAGATGAAAGTCTGTTGAATGGAAAGAGAAGTGAGAGCGGTTGCAGCAACTGCGTTTGGACGATGGGGTGTCGAGAACCAAAAAGGGCAATAATGATGATGTAGATGATGTGGGATCCGTGTGCAAGGCATCACCGGATCATTGAGGCGTGTGTCGGGCTTAGCGTGGTTGGCGTGGTTGGCGTGCAAGTTTTAGAAGGCCAGCAATGGCTTAGCGCTTCAGGCTGTTGAGGGGGGGGAATGATGGTTGGCTGCTGTCAGCCTGGTCAGTGGTGCAGGCCTAAAGTATTAGGTGTGAGCGTGCAGGCGGTCAGGCAGGCCGTACCGTTACAGCGTCAGAAGAAAAAAGCTGAGAGGTAACCTTCGCCATGTGATTGAATTGACAGATTTTTTCATGTCAGTATAACAATACTATAGGCAGGTGAACAACTTGTAATTATACATACACTCCATGATTAAATCGCCCCTCCCCCAAAACGGCACCCACCTGGGCGCTTCCTCAACGGCCTACCTAGGTACCTCCGCTGCACCCGTCTACAGGCAGCTCCATCGGCTGAATGTAGCTCCAGATTCCGAAGGGGGCCGTCGTGTGCCGGAAAAAAGTCACCATGAGCTGGAACCAGTCGCGCGACCAAGTACCTACTCACTGCCAATCCAGTCATTTTCTGCCCACGAATTGCGCCCGCGCGCCGTTTATTCTTTCGTTGCTGTATTACTAGTTCTCTACGTCTCCGGTTCCCCAATCCTCAGTCTACGCACATGTTTCGCTCCCGGTTAAGAACGTCGGGCCTGGCCCTGGCCCAGAGCCTGCGACCCTCGACGACCTCGACAACTTGCACATTCGTCGCGCCGCTCGCCGCTCGCTCGATCCACCATGTACCAAACCTGACGCACGACTTCTCCAATGGCATTCCTACCCTCATGAGCCCCGGCGGCTTCAGCATTGCCTGGTCAGAATACATGGCGTTTACGGTAGAGAAGCTCAACGCCCTGACAGCAGGTTCGTTTACCCTTCGCTTCCGTCGAATCACGGCTTGCGGCCCTGCGGAATTAAGACTTGGACACCTCGCGAGGCAAGAAAACTGACTATATCTTCCACCCCAGGCACCGAACTCGAGGATAAGGACACCAAGACCATCGCCCTCATGACGGCTCGCGAACCCAACCAGGCGCCCATCTTCAACTACGCCTCCATGGCTCACAACAACCACTTCTACTTCCAGGGCATCGCCCCCGCTCCCGTCGCGATGCCCGAAAAGCTGCGCGTCGACATTGAAGCTTCCTTTTCCTCCGTCGAGACGCTCCGTCGCGAGATGGTCCTTACGGCTTCAGCCATGTTTGGCCCCGGCTTCGTCTGGCTCGTCAAAGCCGGTCCCGGGGCCTATCGTGTCGTCTCGACCTACCTCGCCGGTTCCCCCTACCCGGGCGCCCACTGGCGCGCCCAGTCAACCGACATGAACACCGTCGGCGACCAGGGCAGCGCCCGTTCTTGGTTCCGCACCCAGACGGGCCCGCAACATCGTGGCGGCAACCTTCCCCCCGGCGGCATTGAGCTGCAGCCCCTTCTATGCCTCAACACCTGGGAGCACGCGTGGCTTTTGGATTGGGGTCACGGCGCCGGCGGTCAGGGTGGCAAGGCTGCGTTTGCCGAGGCTTGGTGGGGGATTGTTGACTGGGAACTTGTTTCGAACAGGGCTGGCCTAACGCGCCTTGCCCTCAAGGATGCCCAATAAGCGCAAACTCTGGGCTCAGGATGAGGTGTTTGCGTGTAGTGTACCAAGAAGCAACAATCAGCGATAAAAGGAGAAGGACAAAGTAACACCTGGTGTCTAATTCGGTTCGAGACAAGAAGCTTTCGCCGAGAGATCTAAAGTGTATCTCAAAACTTGTACGATACATGTATACTTCATAGAAGTCATATACCACGACCGTCAAAACACAGCCGCTGTTTGTGCAGAAGTTGTAAGCTCCGCTTGGACATTTGTTGTCTAGTTTATCCATCGGCTGGTCACCTTTTGATGAGCATTACGACTTGTACTGACTTTATGTCAAAGAGAGTGTATTGCTACGGAGAATGCTACCTATCCAACTCCTGCCCATGATTCAGACTTGATAACGAGGGGGCTTCCTCCACGAGGGAGAAGAGCGAACGATTGAAATCTCAAATTGGTATAATAAATTTGGCTTGCGCCCAGGTATTCCCTTCGAAATGTAAAAGCGGAAGATTGAAATGCTAAAAAAAAGAAACGTGACGGGCGTAAATTGTGAGGAAGAAATGACAGAATGGAAGCTCATGGTTTTTTGTGTTGTTTTTTGTTGTCGTTACTGGAGCAGATGGCAGTCGAGGCTTGCTCAGATACTGATGCATGGATGGAAGGAAGACGGAGATGAAATGATTGGGGGCATGAGAACAATAAGAGAGGAGTGCGCAATAAAATAGAAAATAAAAATGAACAAGAGCAGAGGGATCTGTTCAAATCATGTTGCCATTCACGCTAATCTCAAAGCCGTCGCCCTTTTGCTTGAGCGCCTTGGCGAGCATCATCTCGCGCATCCAGTCGATGCGCTCGTCACGGTTCTTGACAGCAAAGTGGTGCGTCTTGCCCGTGCCGTCGACACCTTCACCCGACACACCACTGGCGCTGCTCATGGAACTCTCACGGCGGCGCATGCGGGCGGCATTCTTATCCTGCGGGATCAGCTGAAAGCTAAAGGCGGCCACGGGGTCGCTCTTTTCGCGATTGTGCGAAATGTTGACGGCCTTGAAGGCGGCGCTGAGCTTGGACGTGGACGCGAGGCTGGAGCAGGCAATGGCGTAGTCGTCAATGTCAATGTACTCGAGCGTGCGGTCCACGTCGGCCATGTCCTTGTGCATGTTGAGACGCGTGCCCTTGAGGGTAAAGTAGCCGTCGTGCCACTCGTTGCGCAGGAGACGCGTCTTTCGCTTCTTCATGGGGCCCTGAAACGTCACGCCTCCGTTGGCCGCACCTGCTGCTGCTGCTACTGCGGCGGCAGCGGGCGCGGGGGTGGCCGTGGCCGACCGCGAGCCCCCCCTTAGCAGCGACGTAGTGCTGGCCGCGTCCCGTGCGACGTCGCCGGGCGAAGGGGACGATGACCACGGGTAGATGCCACGAGGGGGCGCCTGGCGCGGCGCCTGTCGCACGGCGGTGCGGGAGCCTGCAGTTGGCGGCGACGATGCGCCCTGCTGCGGAGACGGCGTGCGCGATGCTGAAACGCGGACGGGTCTGTGCTCGTTGACAGCCGGCAGCAAGGGAAACGACGGCCGCCGGCACGAGGCACGAGATTGTGAGCGAGGTGGTGGTGGCTGCGCCGCCGCCGCCGCCGGCACCACGTTGCTGTACCCTGGCGCGGCACGATAGTTCATGTCGGGCGGCACCGACTGCGAGGTGTCCCGCGCGACTGGTCCGAGGGGAACAGCGGTCACTGGGACGTCGAGCTCGGAAAAGGGCGTGCCGAAGCGGTATGGGTTCCTGGGCGTCTCGAGATCGGGAGAGCGAGGGTCGGTCTTGGACATCCTGTAAGGGACGAAATCGTGCGAGTTGCTGCGCTGGTGGTGCGACCGCTGCTGCTGCTGCTGTGGCTGTTGGTGTTCTTGCGGCTGTTGCTGCTGCTTGGTGAGTCGATGCTGCTCTTGCTCCTGCTGTGGCTGCTGCTGCTGCTGCTGCTGCTGCTGCTCCTGGTGCTGCTGCTGCTTAGGTGAGACGACAGACTGCTGCAATGTCGAGATTTGTCGCGGAGCGTTTGAGGAACGTTGTGCTTGAACATTGGGAGGAATGGAAAGCTTGGGAAGGCGGCGTAGGCCTTGATGAGGTGCCTGCGCAGCTGGTGCGAGCTCAAAAGGAGGGGTCGGCGGCACCTCGTTGAGGGACACGTCCTTTGTGTGCTGAAAGTTGAGAAACTGTCGCACATTCTCCTGCGGATCCCGTTTCTGCACGTTGCGCAGAGACGCCTCTTGCAGGTACTGCAGTGGCGGCATGCCGCCCGTGCCCAGAATGTCCGACGACGCGACGAGCGACGGCGTCGCGTCCGAGAACGGGCGCAGGTCCTCGTTGGGGTCGAGGGCCCTGGCAGTCGCGGGGTTGCCCACGTCGCCGTAGATGAGGACCTTGCCGGCGGCGTCCTTCAAGTCGACGTGCGGGTTCAGGCGCTTGAAGTTCTCCAGCACGCGCTGCTGCTTCTTCCACGTCGAGCACGACTCGCCCTTGGCGCAGCGGTGCGGCTTGGGAATGACCTGCTCGATGCCGATAATGGACACGGACTCGTACGGCATGATGCTGTCGCCGCCGACCTCGGGGCTTCGTCGCTGCCGGCGGCTGCCGGCGCGGCGTCTGGGCGCGGGCTGTTCTTCCTTGCGGGCTTCCTTGCGCACTTCTCGGCTCGGGCGATCCTCGATTGGCGTCGCGGGTCGTGATTCTTTGTCTTGGTGCTGACTATCGCGGAGATGCTGGATCTGAGTCCAGACATTGGTGCGGATGCCAAAGGAGGGAATGTCGAGCTCGCGCAAGTCCTCAAACTTGAGCGTGATGAGAATTGGGCCGTTGATGTCGTTTTCGATGAAGCGGTCAGCCATGGAAACATCAATGCCAGCATTGAGCATGGACTGCGCAACCATCTCTGGGGTCCACGAGACGAGGTTAGACGCGTCGAGCTTCTCCCGTGTATATTGGAACGGCCCGGGCAGTGGGAGAGGCGGATGCACCGTAATTTCTCCGCACCCGCGCGGCTTGGGCGTAATGGGCGACATGCCCAGGATGAGGGGTTCGTCGGGAACATGGTAAAAGTGGTGGCTGTAATCAGATGACGGATGGAACAGGTGAGGACCACTCGGGCCTTCGATTTGCTTTGGCGATTGCTCATGGCGGCTAGATCTCGGCGTCACTGCCTCGTCAAACGAGTCAAGCGTCGTTTGTCCCGACTTGCGTCGCATCAGTTAAGAGTCCGTCCCGGTCCGGTGTGCGCGGTAGATACTCACAGATTGGAAACTGCCGCGAGGCGAGCTGTCTTCAGCGTCGGTCAAGACTGTCTCTTCTTCATCCCAGTCAGTATCAACAAACTCTGTGGCGACAGACGTTGGTCTGTAGTGCTGCGAGTCATTGATGAGGTTGAAGAAGGTGTCGTTGGGCGCAGGCTTTTGACGCATTTCCGAATATGTCCGCCCAGGGCCGGACCGGAATCGTGCAAATTCCTATGAGAAGCATTAGCAAAGCGAGGCACAGATATCGGCAGTCATATCTCTGATCTTGACTTGCCATTTTCTTTTGGTTTGAGGGCTCGAGTTAGTTAGTACTGGGAATCAGTATCTGGCATCAACCGGGACACCACAAGCCCAGAACAGACTATTAGAAAGATGGGCTTATGCGAGAGTTTTGGTGCTGTTGCCAGCGAAATCTAGGCTTATAAGCCGATTATAGTAGAACAAGCTGCCGTGAGACACGAGTGTAGTAACATCTAAGGAAATAACAGAATCTCGTGAGAGACGTATACGCTTTGCAAAAATCCGAGAAGGAGGGTCAAGATAGATGCCGCGCGAGTGGCCCACGTAGCGTTATGTATTCGAAGCCCGCAGACATAGTCGGAGTATCAACGGTGACGGCTGTCTCGAAGCGCCAGAGAAAACGTTGGGGCGTGTGGACGACGAGGAGTAGGAGGAGGAGGAGGTGTAGCAGCGAGTGACGGACTGCGACGGCCTACATGCTGCAGCGCGAGTCCCCTTGTGTGAACCAGAATAGAACAAGTGACAAGCCAGCAAGCAGCCAGTAGCCAGTATAGACGCAACCAACCCAAGGCGCCACGCCCTTTTGGCGGTCGAGGAGGGGGAGTGTCCGTCCATGCACCCGGGGGGGGGGGGGGGGGGGTGTCCTAGAAGCCTGCACGGCACATTCACGAACCAAGGTGTTCCAGTGAGTACAGTAGTCACAGCGCCACAAGACAGGCAGTCAAGAGCACGAGAGGACGTATCAGTAAAAAAACCAGAGGGGTCCCTTGGTCCCTTGGTGATACCAGTACGAGGTCTTTTTGAACAGGCCCCAGCAGCATCGCGAGCTTATTGGCGCAAAAGCGGTATGCTGGCGCTGGTGCGGCCCAGGGTACGGCGCGAAAAGAGGCATCGCAATTGGACAATGAATAAAGGTCCTGCAGGCTGGTGGCAGCGGGCCAGACCACCCAAAGTTCTGTTCTGTGCCATGCCAAATAGGATCCCTGACCCAAGTTTCCCAACTAAAAAGGGCCGGATGAGCTATATGGACTGCTTCATGCATGAAGAAAGCTGGGCGAGCCAACGATGTGCATGTTGGATGCTACTCACGATTCGCTGAATAGTACTCATCAAGAGCCAGGGGGGGGTACACTCAGTATTCAGTACCACTTGGTTTCGAACAAGACATTGTCTGCAAACTACTAGTCACCAGTAGCCATTTGTTGGCCCTTGTAATCCGTGGTAGGTTCGGAGTAGGTTCGGATTGCCTAAAAGAGGTCCACCAGATAGTGATTGTTCCTTCTCTTTTGCTGTAAGCGCTGAGTTTCCGAGAAGTTACGGATTAGTCTGTCCCAGTTATACCCTGCAATTTATGCGATGCAACACCATCCTTTCCAACGGCATTCCGCTCCTCGCCGACCGCCCTATTCCCCCGCCTCTTGACTTTTTTCGTTTTCCCCCCGGCAACTGCCCTCTTATTTTTCTTTTGCTATTCGTCATTAATCTATTCTGCAATGCCTGCAGGCTGCAGCCACCTAGATGGCTGCTGGGTCAAGCCATTGTTGCATTAGACTAGGCGAGGGAGAGGAGCCATGCAAAGCTACAGTCCACCGCCAATACCACCGCCCACTCACACACACAATGTTGAATGGATGGTGTCGGTGTTATCAGGTTCGCGAGGGCCCTGCGCGGCCGCCCTAAAGAGCTCGCATGCAAAACTGCCGTGTGACCGGTCGACATGAGGCTCTACATAGAATCGCTCCAAGGTTTGTGTAAGACCACATTGTCATCCGTAAATCACCAGTATATATAGAAGCTAGCGGTCGGAAACGTGCGCGCAACGAGATATGCCAAAATCTATGCTTTTTGACTTTTTTTTGTTTTTGCGAAACAGATAAAAAGCCCGATTCAAAAGGCTATTTTCCAGCCTTTCCCGCTCCCCCTCTCCACCCTGTGCCGTGAGTCACGGCACTTGCAAGAAACAAAGACACCCATCCGAGACCCATCTTCCATTTCGTGAAGGGAAGGACTAGCGGGAATGGGCTCCGACGTTGACACCGAGAGAGCAATTGGGGGGCGAAGGATGGAAGAGGGGGGGGGGAATGGGAATGGCAGGTGTCACCAAGCATTCAGCAGGAGGACATCTCGCAGCGATCGAGGAGGCACAACATTTACCTGTGTTGCACCGCAGAAGTTCCTTGTGCATGGCAATATTTAGCGAATGTGCAGCTAACATGGATGAATATTACTTGGCGCGCCGCCGCCTCTGCTTTGGGAAGAGGAGGGAGCTGCAGCGACCGAAGAGCATATAGGCAATACCAATTAGGCCATCAAGGCGGACGAGGTACTCTGCTTCCGCAGCAATGGCAACTAAATAAAATCAAGTATCGCAGTTGCAGCCCTTCTATCACGCTAGTTACGTGGATCATTTGCACTGAGCATCTGTATACTTGGTAAGACTACGGATTAGATTCTCTGGTATTCCTGCATAGTGGGTATGGCAACTGAGGTGTAAGCCCCCTGCACACAAAGGATTGAGCGAGATGGAATCCCAGACTCGATTGATCAGCAGATACGGAGAACTCATGTGTAAGTTAACCTTTTCCATCCCGCCACCGAGTCAGTCTCTGTCTAAGATGTAAGTCTGACAATCGGTTCAACGGTTGCCACATTGCAAATCTGACAGAAAGCAATTTCTGGGTGTACTGGTAAAAGGCCAACAAACTTTTTTCTAGCCACGCATTGTGCGTCTTTTCCTTTCCCGTTCTGCAGAGTGACCCCGGGTTCAGCTTCTGGCGATCCTTGCAGCTGTTTTACACATGACTTACACAGCAAGCCTCATGGGCAACCCCAGTCCCTCAAGGTCCCACGTTTGCGCCACAACCTTTTCCGCCGTTCCAAACGACACAAGTAGAATGTGAGAGAGAATGCTCCGTACACTGTTGAGATCCATCTCCTCCGGATCCGTACTCTCGTTTGAGGATTTGGCGAGATCAAGTGGCGTGTGCCCCGTAATCCGATCTCTACAATCTATTCGCATCCGCGACATGCGTGTAGTTTGCTCAGATTCTACAACAAGTCTCAGTCTCGATTCCAGCCCCCAAAGATGTATAAAAAAAAACGAGTGTCCAAGAATTGTCGCAAAAGAGCTGTAGAAAATGGACCTTTTCGTCCTTCCCCTGTCATGAGAGCGGGAGAGACAAAGTGCAGACGGATGATGGTGGCATAAAAGTGGGGGAGGGGTGCCGTCAAGCCACAGAAGGCAGGGGTCAGAAAGCTTTCATAGTGGCACTGTGCTACACTGTGTCGCACCATGCCTCACTGTGCCCTTCTGCCTCTCTTCCTCGTTGATTACCAGACGCAATCAATTAAGCAGCCACGGGAGAAAAGTGCGCCGAATCCTCCATGGCATTTACAAGAACATGGCCACCAGCCGAGCAAACAACCCACTCCTCCATCATCGTTCCCCTTGCTGAGGAGGCTAGCAGGCAGGCCCTGGACCATGTTGACTTTCCTGCTGCAGTTTCCCGGCTCTTCCTATGCGGTACGAGATAGTCCTCGCTCTCTACAGAGTAGCCGCGCAATTGCTAGCCTCTATCTCTACTCTTTCTGACTTGGAAAATTACAGTATCCATCTCTGAACTTACCTCGGACTGGGTATTCCTCTGACATGACAACATGACATCCAGGATCGCAGCGTAGCAACCTCGACTTACGCCGGTCTTACTACGGTATATACACGGCCTGCAAGCCAGCCTGCTATTTTTCACTTTTTGACCATCACTCGGCATCTGCGGGTAGACATGCATGCGTCTGTCAGAACCAGGGGGCGGCATGACACCACAAAGCCAGGGTTTGTTGCCCAGGGTCAAGTGATGCCCAAGCAATCAAGCTACCAAATTTCCATCATGCCCAATCGATGAGCAGCAGTGAGCCTGCTCCTTGCCATTGGCGAGCTTGGCCAGCCACGCTTTCAACCGCTAGTTGCAAGCCACGCCGGCCGCCGCCATCCTGCATGGGACAGATTGCCGGGCTTTGCAGAGGAAACGGCGAAGAAAGAGCAGATTTACAGTGGAGTCCAGCATGGAGAAAAGCCATGCCGCTCGCTTGTGGCTGTCTTTTGTGCTGTCGACCTTGCACCATTCTATGCGAAGCGAAGGGCACACATCCACATCAGTTATTCTGATTGCAATCCCTGTAATAATGCCCAGTGGCCCCAGTCTCGGAAATCAACGTCGTTGATTGATCATTGCAAGCCCCCCATTTTCTATTGCGGCGCAGAGAGGCACACACACATCAACAGCAACGCTAAACGGTGTCGGCCCATCCATTTCTGTATGTCGAGGCCGGATTAGAAAGACTTGCAGATCCTCACCGACTCATTCAGAACAGCAATTGCGGCGCCCTAGTTCAGCCTAGCAGCGTGTCTCGTGATAGCTTGCAGCAGCCCTTTCACCCACTACGCTGTGGGTTTCGGAACACATCTCTTTGCCAAAACTTGGCGCAGCATGGCCCGCAGCTCAAAGAAGATGCCTTGATGATGAATACGGCAGCAAATTAAGTGCTGTGCAACCCGGGACGGAACAGCGACAGCCTTTGCCACGGATCAAGCTGCGAACAAGCACCTCCGGAGCTAGCTCCATCAATAACAGTTTCCTAGGATTTCCACGGCCGGCCCTTTTTTTTATTATTATTTAGAGTGCGTCGGAACTGCTAGTGGTCTTCCGCCGTGATGCGATAAGCTACAGAAACCATCACCCGGCTAGGCAAAACACTTCCCCGCCCCGTCACAGCGCTCACGGCCTGCCCCACGAACCGAGCTGGACCCTGGCAGCTTGGCAGCTTTTGATATTCTCATCCTGATCCAAGGCTGTACGGCCCGCAGCTTGCTCCGAGACAACCAGCAAAAGGAACCCTTGCCATGTACACCTACTGGTAGAAATGCG